GTCACGTGTGTGCGGGGTGCGGGAACTGGTGGGAGGTTTTGGGGGGGCGGGGGGTGGTTTCGCTTGGAGTGGAGTAGATATGTACGTGAGATGAAATGGAGTAGATTTGGACGGAAAGAAAAGGCTGGAGAAGTATACTGCCTGTGTGTATCTGAATCATAGGAGGAGTGAGATATACATATGATTAGTCAATTAATCTTTAGTAGAATATTCAGAAATATATACATATTACCTACCCTACTTACTTACTCTATAGCCGAAGAAACATATATATATATATATCTATCTCAGCTTCCTTTCCTATCCATATAATCAAAAGCCAGAATAGGACAGTTCTACCTACCTACTTGCATATAGTTAAACATTTATATATTTCTAATACATTCATTCTACTTACCTACTAGCTCGCTTGCTTAATCTATCTTTCTATTATAAATAACCAAGAAAATATTCTCTTATAATCTATTTCATACTTTATGCTTATCAACACTACCTACTACGCCAAGTATAGTATAGTATAGTATAGTATAGTAAATCTTCTATCCACGCTACGTCCAGATATGTATATATCACGTGGATGGCCACATAACCTTGGCGCGGACGACTAAGAAATGCAGAGGCATAACCTCTTCGCCTCGTCATCTACACCTAGAAACCCAACCAAACCAAACCAAACCACCAAATAGAGCACCAGCAATACCAAGATAAGTTACTAAGTTAGCAAAGTGCACTATGTGATACCGACAATCTATCCATCTATCTATCACTTATCTCCGCTTAACATCTATCTATCCTCGGCGTGCTTTACCTAGGTACGGTACGTACTATATGTAAATTCTTATCAATCAATTCTAGACTTACTCACATACCTACCTACTCACATACTCACATACTCATTTACTCACTTACTCACTTAACATCCCTTCCCTCCAATCCACTACCTACCTATCTACTTACTATCTAACCCATCACGCTCCACCGTTATATTTCCCCTTCCCCTTTCATATTATTATCTCCTATAATCCTAAAATACCATCTATAAATAGATGTCTCTCTCCTCTCCTCTCATCCTCTCTTCTCATCCCATTGCATCCCATCGCATGTTGTTATTAGCAGCATCTACATCCCTACACCGGTACCTATCTAAACAGGGGAGTTGAAACCGTTGGGTTGTCTATAAGGTATTAAAATCGGATATTTGGTCTATATAGTCACAATCACGGCACTTGTTGAATCATCAAAGCTGCGTTACTAAACACAATCTCCTAATCTCAGTTGGACATCTTTTGCCTACTGCAGTATATGATTGTGAGAATGGAGCTAGGACTTTGGGGAATGTTGAGACATAAAGCGCGGATTCATTTTTCACCGGTAATATCAGACAGATTCATTGTGCTTTCCATTTTGGTTTCATTCTCATTAAAAGTATTAACTGTTGTGCTTGCAAAAACGCCAAAGAATGCTCTCATTTCTCATGTCCATCAATTATTCGTGCTGAACCTTTGAACAACCTAGGTGACGGTGAGGTTGAATGTTGGGGAGCTGGGAGTAATCTCGACAATAGTGGGACCAGCAAGGATGAAAGAGTCAGTGACATTGCCAGAGTTGTCACTTGTCAAGAAGACGTAACTCTGACCAGAGGCTGAGGATGGTACAGGGGCAGTAACCACGCCATTAGCGACAGTGACATCGACGGCAACAATGTCCAATCCGGAGACAAAGGTGGCATAGAATGTGCCAGTGGGCACGGTCTTTGGCGTGAGCTGGATTGAGGCAACAATGGACGTGGGCTGACCACCAACGAGAGTCAGGGATGGGTATGCTTTGACTGGCAGAGCTACGTTGGTGGATGGGCAAGCAGTGATGAAACCACTGGCAATGGTGTAGACAGCGTTGAGGCCCATGGGAGTACCGAATACGTTTGCCATTGGGATCTCGCCAATTGCATTACGCTGAGCAGATTGGTGGAGAGCTTCGGTGACAAGAATACTGCCAGCTGCAGTCAGGTATGCCTTTGAGGTAATGTCGGCGGCAGCACCAAGGTATGCGGAAACACCAACACCCTCGATGACTGAGGCAAGAGCGACGAATGATTTGGGGTCGGTCATGGGGAAAGCGTAGGTACAAGCTTCGACTGGCTGTGCACCGGCGGCAGTGAGACCAGCCTCAAGGTAGAGAACGTGTCCCTCCTCATCGTGCGCAATGTACTTCAATTGGTCGTAGAAGTCTGCGGAGAAGCCGGCATTGGTGAAAGCTTCTTGATCCCACTTAGAAAGGGCTTCCTTGTAGAAAGCATTCTCGAGGTGCTCAAGCTGTGAAGGAAGGTCAGTCAGTGTATGGTTTGATGGGAAAGAGAAGGGTGAAGACTGACAGTCAAGGCGTATTGCAGAATGACTGGGTCAATGTCGGTTGCCTGTCGCTTGGTCATGGGTGGGATGGTGAGAGCAGAGGCGCCCATGATGCTGGACAAGGCCAGGGAGGTGATGGTAGAGAAACGCATGACGATGGAATGATATTGAAGTGTGCGTGCAAGTCAGACGTGATAATGTTTGTTGATTGAAGTGTGTTACAACTGGTGGTTGTAAAGTGATGTGATGTTGTTGTGTGGTTGAGAGATGGGAGAGAGAGGGAGAAAGGGAAGAGGACGGATGGGGAGACTATATAGGTAGCTACTACAAAAGACGAGGCAAGAACTGTGGTGGTTCCTGCCCTCCTTCTAGTTTACGAGACTCGCCAAGCAGGTCGGAAGCATCAGGACCCGGTTGTGGGGGGGGGGGGAAGGAGCTCAGGAGGAGGAGAAGAAGAAGAAGGCTGCTAGTACATGATCCCGAACTTTTCTTTTAACAACCTACCCTACCTACCTTCTTACCTACCCACCTTATTCAATGACAATCTTCAGGAACAGTATCTACTCTGGGGTAAGGCTCAGTAAGGGTAGCTGTACGAAGACTAGCTCTCCCAACTCCTCCCCCTCGGATCCAATCACACCGGCCGCTAACGTTGTCCAACCCACGTCATGGTTCATAAGAGAAGAGCTCAGCTGTCCGTTTGCGGCTAGTCCTCCCAATCTCAGCCGCTTTGGGACTGGAAAGTCTTTTGACATGTTGCATTACCGCATGGCGCCATTTAAGCTTATTGATCCACAGGGTCCTGGGTCTGGCTTGGCTTCTTGAAATACACGGAGCTGAGCATCTTATCAGATCTGATAAGGGGGCATCTACCGTAAGGTGTGGTGTGACTGCTGCTGGACACTCCCACCTCCAGAAGTAACTTGTATACATCTCTGTATTGATTTAGACACGTCAGAGTAAATGCACCCGATAACTGAGAATATACCACTACTTGCCACCAAATACTTCATCCGAACCAGATTCTTGCTGCCTCCCGAGGAAATCGATCCCCTTCCCTTCCCTTCCCCTTTCCTTCTCCCCTCACTCGGAAAGTCAGCAAGCCGGTGGTGTGGCGAGAAAGCCAAGTCCTCTTACTCTTGGAAAGTAAGAGCGACAGTGATGAGCCGTTGATGTGTCATTTACTCGTCCAACAAAGAAAGAGTGATGGTCATGTCTGTTGTTCGGCTCCAAGGTCTCCCGCGTACTACATGCCAATAGCGTGGGTTTTCCAGTTGCGCTAATCCGAGTTAGGATGACTGCTGCATGCGGATCACGGGATTCTTATCTCTACCTGCGGCACGTGCCTCGGGAATCATTTCTTCTGTCCAAGCCAAGTAGCCGGCTCCCCGTTTAATAATACGATGAGACCCCTCCCTTCCCGATGTAACTTGTGTTTGTGTTTCACAAGACCCCTAAATAAGATTACTCAGCAGCTTCAATTCCAATGTTCTGTTCCACATACATTCAAACATGACCCAATATATTCCATTGGGTTTTACTCCATTGGGTTTTACTCTTTGGTATACGCACTCGAGTTGGTTAGCAAAGTACATGCACTCCAACCAACCTTTGTGCATAATAAAATTCTTCCACTTTATCTGAGATGAATATCGATTTTGGCCAATCAGCAGACTCGTGTTATCCATATTATGTACAAACGCAAGATATATTCATTTCATCTCCAAGGAGAAGATATGTAAAGACAGGGTATCATGTTTCGCGCAGACGCTAATAATTATTGCAAATCCCGATATTATGTGCACTTCTCAACTCCTTACGCATATGCAGCCCAGCCTGAACAAGTTAGTCTAGGGAAAGAGGCTGAGATGTACTGAGACTTACCAGAATATAATACAGCTAGATTTTTTTCATCACTGGCTTGATTGATGAGATCATTCACAGTTGCTGTGACGCTCAAGCTCTTTGAGAGTTTCTTACTCACAACAGTCAAGACTCTGGCAGCCTCGCCCGGCTCATTGACCGCCGCTTTTGCTCTTTCGTTGATGTTAGGAGCTGCGCTTTGCCCCTCTTGCAATTTCGCCAATCGTACAGGGGAGACAGACCAGCTGTGGAGAGGATCGTATCGGAGCACATCGAGGATAGCCATAATGCTGTCGGCTTCTTTCCTCAGAGCTTCGAGGGTAAACTCGCAACCTCGACGGAAGACCCCTTCAGTCTTCGTGATTCCCATTCCATCGACAATATCACGAGTCAGCCGGAACGGGACAAGCTCTGGCACAGGCAGGACGCGACCTGCCTCGAAAGCCACACCGAGATCGATGTGAACAACCTCCCCACTTTGGGTATCAAGGAGTATGTTGTGGCCATGCCTGTCTCCAAGACCAAGCACATGCCCAAGAATCGAGATGGCGGCCGTGGTTCTGGTATAAGCCAGTCGCTTTACGAACCATTCGTCAGGGTCAACGAAATGTTCGGTGAAGAAGTACCTCATGACCGGCTGGAAACGTTCCGCAACGCTGCGATACCTACGAATCCTGATTTCTGTCGACTGTGTCTGAACCTCGCCAATTTCTTTACGGCACTGCGTACCTTTCAAATCTTTAGGGTGATACCTCTCGTGAGCGGGCATCAGATACTCGTGAAGCGGAATCGTATTTGCCACGAATTCCATTACTCCAGCAACCGAGTTCAACGGCACAACTTTATATGTTCTGATTCCCAGATCCCTCTGACGAGTTGACTGGCTAGTTTTCAGAAGTTCGCTGACTTGTTCAAACACTTGCTCCATTATAGCGTCTTGGCGTAAGTCATCCTGGCTTCCTTTGACCTTGAGGAACATTAGCAAATTAACATCAAATGGTCTATACCGTGGACATACCAGCTGTCTGAGCCTAGCTCCATTGTCAGCAACGACAGTTATGATTTTTGGCGTGCTGACGCCAGATGCAATGGAGAAGACTGGCTCGAGTTTCATCATCGAAGGTAACTTCGAATAATCCAGATCTGCAGATATTTGAATGGGCATCGTTGGTGGTGGGATTCGATATTTAGGGAACGCAGCGTTCAGGCTGCTAGCAGCTTGGGAATCTTTCACGGCTACCTTTCGCCCAGATTTGTACTTGTGATCATCCTTTTCGACCGCGAGACGCACATAGGATCTGCTGATCGATTTGATTGCGTGCCAAATCGAAACAGCCTTTTTCGTTGCCTCTAACTCGTTTGCGACCCTTTTTGTTGACTGATGTCGCGACATTGCCGCCTCATCCTTTGAGTCTGGCAAACTGTTCGTCCCGGCGTAGAGGACGTACATCCCATGGTATGGATGGTCTGTACAAATTCGCACTACGAGAGAGAATAGAAGCTGCTGGAATTTCGCCTCGGAGTTTTGAAGACGGGATGCAAGTTGATTCATCAAAGATGCCAGCTTTCCACTCGGGACGTGCTTGATATGTTTTGAAACCGCGTCGTTTGCAATATCTTTCTTCGCATGCTCTAGCCAAAGAGCAGCGAAACGAAGAGCGGCACCGTCATGTTCGTCAGAGGCGGCCAAAGCAAGCAAGTAGTTCTCTAAACTCTGCCCTAGGAACTGCTCCCTGTTGGAAACATGACGCTGGAGCTCTTCCTCATCAAGTTTGAGCCAGGTTTTCGCTTTCCCATGTTGGATCCTAATTTTGGATCGCTCTGCTGTTGACGGTGTGCTTTTCATAAGTTTTTCGCATTGCGTGATCTCATCCTTCTTGTTCTCACTCATTTTCCTCAGGCGCTCTAGATCCTCAAGACTGTCTTGGTCTTGGAGTTGCTGATCACAAAATACCGCGAATTGGTGAAATACCTGACCAGCTTCGCTTCCACTTGTCTTTCCCTTGAGTTCTTTAAGTGCGGGTTTGAGATAGTTGTCAATAATTTGATCAGGCTTTTCGAGCCTGGCCACGGAAATCCGGTGGCCAATTCGGGAGAGTAAATCTGAACGTCCGACAGTAACGGTTTGCCTCTTTAGAGCGACTGGATTGTCTAAATCTTGTAGCATTCCGATGGACGACGTCATATCCCCCTGATCCCACAATGCATTGGCAGCCTCTACTCGAATCGCGATCTCGACGTTCAAAGAGGCTTTTTGGCATGGATCAATGAGTCCCATTAGCGACATGGCTAGGGACAATGATTCTTGAAGAGCATTATGAGCTCGATTTAGCGTAGATGCGAGGAGGGCAGCCCGCACTTCCACCAAGCTAGTGTCGATTTGATTAACCCCCAGTAAACTTTGGAGTCGTGGTTGCTGGCTCAGCGTGCTTAAAGTAGTTCCTCTACAAGATAGAATTTGATTGATGTCATCGAATCTAGGCGAAGTCAGTTAAGTAATGATGCAGTTGTCCTGGTCTACTCACCTGCCAGTTCTCATCCAAACTGATCGGTCCTGGAACCTAGAGAGCATTTCCTCGATTTGTTCGGAGCCTTGAGTGCTCAGAACTTCATCCATCTCAACCAGTACAGCCAGTGTTTGGAGTGAGTCATGGAGAGCGCTCGCGCCAATATTTTGTTCCGTTAGACTCTTCATTGTGCATTCAAACCCTTCGTTTATTGCCTGCAGTATTGTATCGTGCTCTACAGCTGTTTGAATTGACTGAAATGCTTTATAAGTAGTAACCGCATTATTGCTGCAAGAGCTCGGCACAGGAAGATCCCATTGCTCAAGCTTCCTGGCTGTACGAAACATAGAATCAAGGGATTCAGCACTCATTCCGACAGCTTGTTGGGCCTGGAGAAGGGAATGAGAGAGACCACTTAGACTGTGATTGTCGAGAGCTTTCACTAAAGCTTGAGCGTCTTGTTTGGATTCAGGATCCCGTCTTCTCAAGTGGGTATCATATTGAGCACTTCTAAAAGCGAGACTTTTTGGGCCATCCTTTTCGTACTCAAATCGAGCCAAAGCCGTGTTCAGGTCGGCCGTTTGTTTGACACCATAATAGACGTCAGGGTCGTCGATGTTTTGGAAGATGGTAAGCATCATTTCAGTTGGCATGTCGGCTTGCTCGAAACTATGGTTAACCGACGAGCGGCGAGATGACTTCACCGGCGCTGAACAGAAATCTTCAGCGAACAGTAGTGCAGTTTTGAACATACCGCACCGTGTTGCAGCGGCCGCAGCTTTCAGATAGTCAATTTCAAGCCAATATGATCTGTCAGCTATTGAAGTCTCTCTAGGTAGTGGCTGTGTTCGGAGATATAGAAGAGCATTGATCAAAACTTTCAAATTGTTCTTACTGACGTCTGGGATGTCACCGAGCCAGTTCATGAAAGACTTCGAAAGATCCTTCTTGGCTGTATGCTGGCTTTGATAGGGAGACGATAAGACAAGATGAAGAATGAATGGAAAGGCTCGTTCCGCGAACGTTGGGACCTTTAATACGATTGGTACTAACGCGAATAGAAGAATATCGTCCGGAACAGATCTGGCAAGGGCAATGGTAAGGTTACGCAGCCAATCCGTACGGAGTATTGCATCCAAATCGTAGGGCTCGCTGTGTGATTCGATTTCCAAATGGCCAAGAGTTTCCGACGGCGGCGCCTGATAAGGGTCCCATATGGAGGCAATATAAAGCCCCTCTGCACCGCTGGCAAGAGTTTTCCTGCAAGTCTCCTTGAGTGTTTCATCGGACGTTGTCATAACGACACGCAGAGCAGCTTCAGCGAGACCTGCATGAAGCTCACTGTAGCCGAGAACAAGGTCCCGTAGTAAATTGAAGACGCAAGTTCTCGAGTCCCCGTTCTTTTCCGAGGCTAATGAAAGGTCTTTGATCTCGGATAACGCTGACTCCCTCAGAAGCTCCTGGTGGACATGCCCTGATGCTGCAAAGGCACGCCCAAGGATTCTCCCCGCCCAGGAGAGATATTCCTTGCTGGACGAGTTGCCCTTGCAAGATTTCCAAACCACAACAGCATTTGATATCGCAGAAATATCATCACCTAGCACATCCGTACGGAAAGACGCCGGACTTTGGAAGTCCGAGCATAACATGTTGAGCGCAAGCTCTCGGGAGGGTTTGCTCAGAAACCTAATATTTATCTGCTCATCTTGCAATAAGTCGAGAAGGAGTTCACTTTCAGGTGTCCCGGACTCGGGATTTCCGAGCCAGTCAGACGTATAGGCAGATTGAAGGAGCCTTTGGATCTTAGGTAGACCCTTTAGGGCCGGAAAGATGTACATGGAAAGGTATGTGCCAAACCACTCACGGAACCCTTCGACCCGTGACACCGTGGTCTTGTATTGACTTTCTTGTGTGCTGCTTGCTCGACCTGTTTTTAAGAAAGAACGTAGTGACCCGAGAATTGCCAACGTGATTCCCGCAACAAAAGAAGGCACTTTCGAAAGGTACTTTGAGCCTCGGCTCAGAAGATATTGAGTAATCCCGACTGCGTCTTCAGCGCACTGTGGATCGCCGATGAAAGGTCGAATTGCTTGTAAGAGCATTTCTAGCGGGTAGCCTCTGACTGCCGTGTCGCCAGCCAACGAGATCAACGTTCGAGCTTTTCGGAGAACAGAACAGGCGTGCAAGGACCCCAATGCAGAGTGAATAGTACCAAATAGTTTCCTCGCGATAAAAGTGACTAGAGCTGGGGTGTAGATACTGCGACTTTCAAACTCTGTTTGCAAACACAACTGTTCAATCTGGCGAAATAAATACTTGTCCTTGAAGGTTGGCTGTTGATTCGGAGGTAGGGATAACTTGGAGGAGCCTGTGGACTTGATTGCCACCATAATCTCGGCCGCATCGTCAAGGTGGCACCTCTTCAGGTACTTCTCAACAGTATCTTGAGGGTCGCTAATGTTGAAGAACAGGGCAATAATATCCGCAAAATGCGCATTGATACATTCGAAAAAAGTCTCCTGGCCAAGACGTTTCCGCACCCGGGCCTGCCTTTCCCCACTGCTGGAAGAAGCATTGATATCCTGAGCGATTGCATATGCCGTGACCTTGGTGAAGCAATCTTTTAGAAGCTCGCTCTCCTTGACGCCAAGAATTGCAGCAATTTGCTGAACACCTTCATCTTGGCCACGCATCATCATCAAGCCTGTTATCTCCTCTTGTGCAGCCCGTAAGAGGTCCTTAAGACAGGAGAAACCAAAGATTTGGAAAGGAATGCCTTTGAGGTCTTCTCCTAATTCGAGTCGAGTGTACAAAAGCTGGGGGGCGAACAGTGTGAATAGTTCTTGTGGATTATGCAACTTGAGGGCAGATGATACCTCTAACAAACATCTAGTGGTGTGTTGTAGGCATTCTGGTACCGATCCAGCAGTTTCAAAAAGACCATAGAGGCACCTGCGCAATAAAGTCGGCCACTCGGAGGCCATCTTTGCAAGGGAATAAAGCCGGAATGATATACCTTCTATGCAGCCTGGATCAGACGGCAAGATTACAAGAAGATCGACAAAAATATCGTCATGGCTCTCGAGCACGAAGAGGTGAAAGATTTCTGAAAGGCGATCCCCAATGTAGAATTTGACCGGGGAAGGTCCCAATTTGAGTAGATCGAAGAGATTAGACCGAGCAGAGGGTATAGATTCCCCGTCACCAAAGTGGGGGGCCCTTTGAAGGAGGAGAAAAAGTAGCTTTGCGATGCCCTTTTGCACTTCTACAGATACGCTATGCTTCTCCAAACTCGCTGTTCCGAGGCTCTTGAAGAAATGCTCATAGAAATCGAGAGCTAATCCGGCCAAGCTGCCCGCAGCGTTCTCGGCTGACCAAAGATGTCCCAAGCCGACAAGGAGATCCAGGCACAGAGTCAATGCGACTTCACAACGCTCGAATTCGTTGGACTCAATGATAGGACCAAGACGCTCAAGTAAGGAAGCCGCGTCTTTGATATCTATGGTGAGATCTGAGTTCATGATTTCTTTTAGTAAATTTCGACTTAGCAACAAATCCTCATCTGACAGCGCAATCAATTGATCGATGAATGAAGAAGGTATAAAGTCTGTAAAGTCCGGGGTTACGCTCATAGCATCGATTAGCAGTAAGCGCTGAAAGACGAGAAAATAGAAGGAGGTTGGCGATGTGTCCAGCGCAAGAACTTGTCTCGGGACGATGGTTTTTTGTACATCGACTCCACGATGGCTGTTTTGCGTAGAAAATTCGTCATCCATATCCATGGGATCATCGCCATCCCCTGAAGTAGCAAGAACAGCGCGTCTTTTTGTAAAGTCATCTGCCAACACGACAAGAAATTCACCTAGATGCGAGTTCTTCAAGAGCAGAGAAAGCTGAATGGACCCGCATACGGGCAAGTATGGTTGCACACATTGAAGGAGTGTATCGATAAGAACGCGGGTTCCATCCAGATCTTTAGCTTCTGATTCGTTTAGGAATGCGATAATCTCCTTATAAAGATCCTGTAGACTGGTCTCAAATACGTGCAGCTGCAGTAAGCCTGCGCCCGAGAAGTGAGGCATACACAGTAGCATTGAAATACAACTGTAAACAGCATTGCGAAAGATTTCAGTGGAAATTGACGATGCTCGATCATTGCTGTAGGCCTTCCAATTTGAAAGCAGCTCACTGCATTTGGGAAGAATGAGTTCTAGAATGAGCTTGCGAGTTGAGAGGAAGTGGGACGAATCTAGAACATAAGCGATATTTCCGGATGTCTCGTGATTTGGACAGGAACGACAAGGGGTCGTATGGAGTGGTTCTGTTCCTTCTAATAGCAAGAGATATTGGATGATAACTCGAGAATCCTTGTAGCTCTGCCAAGCCTTCCCAAGAGGTCCACAAGGCATGATAGTGTCAGAAGACATGCTTACACGACGTAAGCCTAGGCAGGAACGGAGTAGGTTTATAATGTGCAATGGTTGCACATGCATTGCATAATGAGTTGCGAAGTAACGGTCAGCTTCAAAAATTAGCAGGCAGTTTAGAGACGCCAGCGTGGGTGCATTTGCGTACCTGGATTCCATCTGGCGAATAACCATCGGATGATATGATTAGACGTCGCAAGATTGGCCCCTGGGACCTCCGTGACTCTAACATTGAGCAAATGTGCAACCAGAGAAATCGCGGAGTCGGAAAGGGTGACCGGGCCACTGCTATCAGCAGCAGTAATCATTGAGTTGACGTCTTCGCCAACATTGTGATATTCTACAAGGTTCTTAGCAAGTATAGTATGTAGTTGCAAAGCAGCAGCGCGACATGTGTTTGAGAATGTCAGTAATCTGGTTCCAAGATGCCAAACTCCTGTCCAGTGAAGCGAACTGATCTCGGGAGCGGCTTTCTGAAATGCGCAACTAGAATCAAGCGTCAGTTCTTGAGCCCAACAACAAATCTTGGCAAGTACATACCTGGCAATTGCAAGTAGCGCCCACGAAGCAACGTTCCCTCTTTTATCAGCAGCACAAGAACGCAGCTCGTCAAGGAATTCTTCTAATACGGCGGCTGAAAGTTGGTAGTCACGGAGGATGAATGGCAAAGCTTGTAGAATTGAGACCCGTGACTTTTCGTTCTCTGACTTCAGCGAAAAGAATATTCTATCCGAGCTTTGGGCGATCCGTTGACGCTTACGAGGGTGCTGGTCAATACCTTGGTCCTCAGTTTTGCCTGCTAAGCTGCTCTTTTGATGACCAAGGCTAACAAGTCGCTCAAGTATGCCAATGGCCTGGAGGTTTCCCCAGTTGCGTTCAGCACGAATGTTGTGGGGTCTGAGTCGAAAGACATGTAAAGAAAATGGGGAGGTGCTGCTCGTTTTCGCTCCAAGGTCAACCATTTCAAGATCATCTAATTGAAGCTGGTCTCGATCCGATCTTCTCGTGTAGTCTGCTTTTATGGCATCTGATAAATCCTCCAGTACGGTCAGAGTTTCATGGCTCTCTTCATCCATTACACTTCGTTCCAAATGCGGGTGCACTGCAAAGAGAAACATTAACATTTCATCTTTCACAGAGTTTAGCATCTCGTCCTTTGCGATGGTTTTTCCTTGCCAGAAGCGTAAAATTACCGGAACAATATCCTGGGCGACTAATTGCGAAAACGAGGTCTGGTTGGTGCAAGTGTAGGAGAGCACAGCATTGACAATTGAGAAGGCAAGTTGATGCACCTGACTGACACTGTTGCCTTGAGTCTGCAGAAACCGCACGGCGATATCCATAACTTCATGGAATCTTTCTGCAATAGGTGCGTTTGATGGAGAAACAAGTAGACAGATGGTTTGTAGGAGATCCTCTACATTTTGCCTGGACATAGAGCTAGAACGAATTTGAGAATGGCCATTGGAGGTACCAGACTTGGCCATCGACAAATGAGTGCCCGAGAGACTACGAGCTGAGCTAGAAGGACCTCTATGGTGACCGTTTAAATATTGGTCGATGCCTTGAACACAAAAGTCAATCACTTCATACCAGGCGCTATTTTTCAGACGCTCGGCGTTTGGCGTGTGCTCGAACAAGATGCTCAGTGCTTTGAGATAGTGTTGAGCAAGAGGTTGGCAATACTCATTATCTGCGGTCGGTAGCGTTAGTGTAATGTGGTCGACTATTGCTTCTATAGTCTTCAGCTTGATTTTGGAAGCTCCGGCTTTTACTACAATGCGAACCGCATCCGCACAAGCCGAAAGCCGTGTTATGGTCGCAGCCACCGTAGTTTTCCTCGCAGAGAGGAGGTTTGCTTTTTCGGAAATGACTGCTTGGAAGAGCACCTCGTAAATTTTGTGGAATGCCTTGTCTCCGAGAACGCTACTGAGCAACTGTTATCTGAAAGCCCCCCTGAAGTGGTTTGATGAAGGGCTTACACATTTTTGGCAGGGCTATTCGGATCAAACAACGCCTTCAAATCTGTCTGGAAGTTAGCCACAAGTATTCCGTTCAAAGGCGGCACAAGTACCTTTAATACCCTCCGTTCGTTGTTTGATACTGGAACCCTGAATATCATCTAGCAGGCTTAGCATTTGCTGGGCAAGACCGACATCAGTAATACCTAAGACAGCAGACAGTTTAATCTCCCCCGTGTCACTATCTAGTCCTCCCATCTTGAGGGTGCAAGGCGAACTCGCATTGCTGATCTGCAGGCGGCGAAAGATCAGGATGCTCGACGGATGGGGGCTGAAGAAAAGAGTTCATGGAGTGTGGATAGCCAGCTGGATATGCTTAATCATACAGTAGGACGGCAAGGAAACTGTAGTATAAGTTGGCTATTGAATGTACATAGAAGGCAAGGCCTCGAAACTTTTGCTTCTTGCAGCGCGAGGCTGACAACCGAAGAATACCCGTACGTGTCTGGAAATCAACAACTTTTTAGAAAGCATGTCAACAACAGCTACATTCTCAAACCTCAACGCTTTTTCGATCCCAGCAGCGTATTGTACGCATCCATGTGTGTTCTCTCGGGACTTCAACCACCCTCTGCTGGACGGGCTGCCATTTGAGCTGTGTCCGGCGCATCGAATTTAATGGCGGCTCCGAATAGCTTGGAGAGCTTCCAGGCTCTGTATGCTGACCTTGTTGACCTGTCCGACGCGAAGCTGTCAGATCTGAATAGACTACTACTCCAGATTGAAAGCAGTATCCCGGCCTTCACGAACGTGTTGGATAAGCGTACGCGAAATGAAGAGAGCCGGAAGAGTTTGGCAACTGGTAATTTAAACACTCAAATCTGCGATATATTGGCAGGGCTAATACGGACGGTTATAGGAAAGCTTGACGTGGACGGCGAACAGTATGCGATCAACGAGGAATTCCAAGCGGCGTCCTTACGGCTCGCTGACGACTTGAATATTGACGAACTCGATGCTGCACGACTATTCTTGGACTCCCAAAATGATACTTCTGGCCAGCCAGCCCATACTGCCGCGATCATTCGATTTCACCAGCGGAGGAAATCTCTGTTGGACTGTTTACGGACAATATCTGAAATTTCCGCCGATATTGAGCAAGAAGATAACGTGAGGGTTCTGTTACAAGAATTTGTGCGCAGGATTGTTTCCCCCCCAGGATCTACATCGAGATATGTCCAAAAATGTGTCTCGAGCATGGGGGACATCAAAATCTGGCTCCAAAACCTCGCGGACAAAGTGAATGGTGCATCCGTTCTGGGCCAGTCGCAACAGCCGGATTTCTTAGAAACTATTCAGTTCCAGCAAACGAGTCTTGTGATTCAGCATGAGTCTTTGGGCCTCATTGTGCTCTGGCTAGTGAAGTTGAATTATTCTGAAATGGCGGATTTTGACTTGGTGCTTGACACTTTGAAGAAAACGGATCGATATGACAACTTACTATGTAAGCAGGACTCTTCTGAAATCAATCTTTGCAATCCTTTCTTTAGGAATATTCTATAATATCGATCAGGCTAACTGACGGGTCATTTTAGTACATTACTTTCCTGTTCTCGGTGCCTACATATCATGTTTTGGTGGTACAGAAGGAGGCGGGACTATGACCGAGGCCAAGAATCTGAATGATAGATTATTTGCCCCAAACCAGAACCCATGGGCATTGCCTTATGTTCAAGCCGCATTCCGGGCATGGTGGCTTGCTGAGTACAGCGGTTGGTATGTTGATATCAATGATGGTTCGATTCCGGAGAATCAATTAGAGGATGGTAAGTTGAATGCGACAAGATATTGCGGGCTAATATACTGACATGGCTTGCAGAAACTACACAGCGTTCCAGGCAGTTTACTGAAGCCCTCAAAGATGGGGCGTTTGATTTTTTATTGAGCATATCCGCTGATGCTAAGCCGATAGACTGGCATGACCCTGCGCGCCAGGGTTTGCGCCAATGGTTACAGCGGAAAACCCCAGTCATGTTGAATGGATCATTTCAATTCTCAAAAATGTTTCAAGAGGCGCTTATGGAACAGTTGGAAGCATTCATTGAAGCCTTCATTACGAACCTTCCGGACGTTCTGAGGAAACTGAGAACTGACGAGGATGAACAGCGCCAACTCAACCAGGAGCATGACCATGACCTCGATCTGGAGAGATTTCTGGTTATTATATCTTTCTCATTTGAAAAGCGACCTAAAGCCGCTCTAGAGGGCTTCTGGGATGTTCGAGATGGTGCCTTGATGGGATTTGTGCACTGGGCGTCGAGGCGAGCATCTACACCTCTAGTCACCGCGTTCTGTGAGATGCTCCAATCCATCTCCGAGGACGAAGAATGCGCGACTGCCGCTCATGAGTTCCTCTTGGACGATGGCCCACAGTCATCTGGCAAAATGAGAAGGACCCATTCTTTATCGTGGAACCAGATTTTCAAGGAACTCACATTTTTCTCGTCCAAGATTCGCAACCGCCCAGCTCTCCCACAACCTCAAACCTATCGTGCTGGGAAGCCACCTAGTGATTTTGCCGAGGCAGAGCCGGAGTCTTCAATGATGTTAGAGTCATATCTGCGCCTAATCACCCGCCTATGTACAGAGAGCACAGCTGTAAGAACCTTTCTATCGCAGCACTCTTCGTTTCATATGACCGAGCTTCTCTTCCAACTAGCCAGTAGTGCTATTGGACCACGTCTCAGGGCTTGTGCATTTACCACGCTGCGATCGTTTCTCAGCCACAAAACGAGAAATGTTGGACAGTTCCTGTGGACGACTCTCGATATCTGGGTATCCGGTGGCTATGCTCCAGGGTCTTCTGCGCCCAAGGCAACTTCATCTGGGGGAGCAACGAGTTCTGCATCTGCAGCTGGGGCTATCCTGAAAGGCCTTACGTCAGGTTTTGAAGAGCCCACTGCATTTGTTCAGCTTCTCCATGCCCTGGTGTCACCTTATGAAGACGATTGTGGCCTATATGATAGCCTCCCATTCCCCGAACAGCTCGGGATCTCAAGTCGCATGCCTGGTATTGATCCTTACATCGACTATGCTTTGGGTGAGATATTCGGGTCTCGGGTCTCCGATCTGACTGATATCGTCCAACAACGACTTTTGCGATTATCATGTCTGGATTTCATTACAACTTGCCTAGACACTTTCAACGAGAATCTGGTCATATTCGCAAGTCAATCTAATGTCGCTGTCGATACGGCCATCAGTACTTCGAATCTCGAGAACTATGTACTGCTCCATCCGTTCTCCAGAGTGATGGAGTGGATGTTTAACGACAAGGTCGTGACTGCCCTATTTGCCGCGATTCATCAAGAAGTTAGAGACGTATATTCTGCTGAACCGGACTCACCCTTGGTTTTGTCGCTCTTGAGAAGCATTCACGTTGTCACGAAGGTCCTGGATCTACAACCTACATACCTGGACATCATTAAACCTCTCATCAAGTCGAATTCAACATATCGGCGGAGCCCTGTTCCCAATGCCGCGTTCACAGCCTTTGAGGATGGATTCCTAAGTCACCTTAATATAATTCCAGATTTGGGTCGATATTGTGGTACTGGGCATCCAGAGCTGGTTATTGCATCACTCAAGTTGCTGGAAAAACTCTCCGCGTCCCCCAGACTTACATCCGGCCCCACGTCAGGTTTAAGCCGAGGAGTTGACCGTAATAAAGCTCTTGCTGCTCTCGATGATGATGCTGAAGAAATATCGAAAATTCTACTTCGTGAGATGGAGGTGAACATTGATATCAACCGGGGCCCCGACTGCTCGGAATATATTGTCAAGCTCCGGATCCTTGACTTCCTCATCTCTTGTCTTCGGGCGTCTCCGGGCCAGCCTACCATAGCTCATATTTTACTGGGCTTCAAGTGTGGCGATCACATGGTCAACGTTGACGGCGACGGCTTATTTAGTCGTGGTATATCGCTATTCCACACGATATTGGAATCGATCACAAACTGGCCCCTCTCAGATGACTCTGGTATGTGCACTTGGCTTGTCTCCCTTAATTATAGAGCAATTCAAGTAATCAAGGAGCTATGGTCATCGCCAATATCCTCAAACGTGGTCATGGCTGAGATGCGATCCAATGATGCCTTTTTCATGATGTTTCCTCAGGAAACCATGATTCAACCCGGAATGCTTTGGGACGGATTAGAAATTGGAGATCCAGCTTTTGAGTTATCTCCTTCTGTATCCTGTCTATCTGATTTTATGTACCGGCGTTCCATTGTCCTGCAATACCTATCGTCAGAGATGCGTCAGGTCATGATCAGTCACACGCCATCTCTTAAGCAGAGAATATATGAGACTTTGATGGGATCAACAAGAATCGAAGACGGACAGATGTATTCACACGCCTCTATTTTCGAACTTTTCGACTTCATGGAACCTAATTTTGGTACACTAGAGAGACCATCTGATCTGTCGTACTTCCAGGATATCGATCTTCATTCCTGCTTGGATATCCCGGATGACCCTGATTCCACGTCAAATATAGATAGAATCGAAGAGCTCCTGATACTGCGACGCGCCGAGCTTGCAAACTCAAAAAGAGTGGAGAGTCCTCAAGATTTGTTGATTGTAAATCAGCAGGCTGAAATGCTTCTCAAGTTCTTCGCTGTGGACAACCAGATCAAGTCGATTCGCGCAGCTCGATTGAAAGTCCTGAGAGCGTGGGTGCAATTGATGTTGTTACTAGTTGGAGGCGGCGACTTCGAAAAGACGTCCAAGACATCTATTATGCTACGAACATTACAAACCATCATGCCAAGGTTAGAAAGCGATCTTCAGAATGTTCCAGAAGCCACGGAACTTGCCAAGCTTGCAAAAGTCGTGATATTCAGCCTCGACTTTGATCCTGAATCTTTCAAAAAGGGCGATATGGGAGATCTTGTGAATGACAGGTTATTTCATCTGTTTCATGTATCTCTCAAAGCGATCAATTCCCTTGGTTCGAAGACTTCTCTGAAAGAAGCCTTCTATAATATTAGTTACCGCTACTTGACGGGCATGTCAGATATCACCAGCCATCCAGGAATCCATCGTCGACACAGCATTCAGACCATCAAATCGGCTGGAGAACGATTGATAGATGTGGTCTGCGACGATGCATATGCCAGTGAGCCAACTTGTAGGATAGCAGCATTGCTCCTGCTAGGCGCACTGGTCAATATGGGAAAGCATGAAAATTCGAAATACATCATCGAATCTCTAACGCGCCTAAATTTCATTACAATCCTTGTCGCGTCTATTCAGAATATAGCAACCGATCTGCGTGACACAGAAATGGAGCGTAAGGTTTCGCCCTTTTCTACTTGCATTGATTCCCGCTAACTTAGAAATAGATGTGGACTTACAACTTTCATACTGCAATGCAAAGCTCGCGCTTCTGCTTCAAATAGCACAAACTCGTTTTGGAGCCGCGACTGTTCTCAACGCGGGTTTATTTCATGCAATTAAAGAGTCGGGGCTATTTGTTGTTGACCCTGATCTCGGCGTTGGTGAGTAATATCTACTGGCATATTGTTGCAATTTGTACTGATTAGTCCAGATATCGAGGGACCGGATGTTGTTAGCAAGCACTACAGTCTCCTTGCCGCAATCATGAGAGTGGTCTGCGCAGCTCTGTTGAGCCGAGGCGCCCAGAATGAGCAGTCTCTGGAACAAGGACGTCGCTTTCTCACCGAGAACCGCCTTCCTATTCTTGCTGTCCTCAAAAAGTCCGCGGGATTGGTTGCAGGAGTTGTTGTATCGGAACAAGTAGAAGATCTGGCGGAGTCATTCATATTGCTCGTGACATTCACAGGATTTCTCGAAGTAGGTATTTCCCATCAATTCATTGGTTCGGTTACTAAAGTCTTGACAGTTCGAGGAGAAAGTTGTTCCCAAAAAGTCATCATTGACGGCGTTTACTTGAGATGTAAGGGTGGGTTGGAATGATGTACAGTACCATAGATACCAAGACTTTGAGAAGAGCATATGTCTCTTATAGATGTATACTCTTGGAGAGATCGTAGTAACTCTCCGGATCACCAACTGTATAATTTAGGGCACATAAAAGCCAAACATCTCAGCAAAGCTACCCCTTTTGTATTTGCAGAACGTGCACGTGATCGCGGCGATAAGTAATCCAAAGCTTTGTTATCGCCATCCGCCCATCGACAACTTATCTTCGCGTCATATTTGTTTCAATCTCAACTACACAGCGCGTCGATATGAAGCCCGAGGTCTTTTAAGAGAAATGGTGCTAATAGAGAGGAGTTTCCCAACCAGAAATTGAAGTCGTGACACCCGCTGCAACCTCCCGAGACCCGATTAACCTCATTCCCCGCATTCATGACCTTCGAACGAAGGACCTACTAAGGTCGATGCCGCCTTCGGAGAAGTCGCCTTTGGATAGTATCAATAAGTTCTCCGGCTCCCCATCGAAGAGAAAGCTTCACGACCAACATCAGCACGTCGACGTGTCAAAAACAAACCGAAATCCTTCCTCCGCGACCCCTGAGACTGCTGCAACTAGCCCAGACCCCGCACGCCCTACGATCCCCCCCTCTGGTTTCAAACGACTGAAGACGTCGCATTCGGCAGGCAATCTTCAGAAGCCCGCAGACATGAGTAAGGTGATGGGCAGACCGCGGCCCACACCGGTAGACCTGACCGGTGGGGGGAAGTCGAATTTCCAACCACATACTGGGGCAAAGAGACTGGTCATCAAGAATTTGAAACCGCAGAAGGATACGGAGCTTTACTACACCAAGTTATGGAATGAAGTTGACTCGGCTATAACATCCGTGCTCAATGTTGAACAGCCTAATACGGCCTTGGACTCGTTAAGCCGCAGTGTCGAAGACCTGTGTCGTCACAGGGAGTCAGAAAAGCTATCTTCACATCTCAGAGACCGCTGCAAAATATACCTTGAGAAAGACCTCCTTCCGTTGATTGAGAGCCATGCGGGACCAAGCAACGTAGACGCGCTGCGAGCTGTGTATAAATACTGGACAATATGGAACGAGCAATCTGTAAGTGACGGTGCACGTCTCAAAGCGAGCTTATGTCTAACCAATACCTTCCAAAGACCCTCCTCCGTTCCATATTCAGTTACCTTGAACGATCCTATCTCCTGCATACGAAAGATGCTATTCAATTAGAAGATCAAGGCATCAATCAATTCCGACACGCAGTCTTCACAAAGAGTAAAGCAGCTTCTAAAGGTCAATCGCTAGGTGGAAAAGTTGTATCTGGAATCTGTGACCTGGTTGAATACGACAGGATCGGCCAGGATGACCTATTCGATGCCAACCTTTTAAGGGACTCAATATCGATGTTCCACATCTTTGGGATCTATGGAAAGTCATTCGAACCTAGATTTCTCCATCTTTCCGAAGATCACTTCCACGCATTCGTCCGAGATCGTAGCAATTCGACTATGAAGGATTACATATACTTTTGCGACAGAGTACTTGCTCGAGAGGCTCTTCGTTGTCATGCGTACAACTTTGATAGTACCACAAAAAGGGGACTGTTTGATTCTGCCCATAAAATTCTCATCGAGGATTGTAGAGAGATCTTGCTAAACCCTACTGGGCTTTCAAAGTTGATTGATGCTAACGAGATAATATCCTTGAAGGCGCTTTACAACTTGCTTTCTCTGTCGAAAATACAGCAAGATCTCAGGAAACCCTTTGAGAGCCACATCAAGACGGTTGGCTCCTCTATTGTTCGAGATGTCGAAAAGGTTGATACTATGGTTGTTCAACTACTTGAGCTAAAGAGATCATTGGACCTCATAATACGCGATGGTTTTGACAAGGATGAAACATTTTCATACAGTCTTCGTGAGGCGTTTGGTAACTTCATTAATGACCGCCAGAACACATCCGTTTGGGGTACAAATAACTCCAAGGTGGGTGAGATGATTGCAAAATACATGGATCAACTTCTTCGTGGAGGTCTGAAAGCAGTTCCTCGTTCGCTTGCCTCGGATGCTAAGGATCGGGATACCGCTGAAAAGCAAGGCCAGGCAAGCACTGGGGATGAAGATGCCGAACTCGATCGACAGTTGGAGCAGGCCCTGGAGCTCTTCAGGTTTATTGAAGGAAAGGATGTGTTCGAAGCTTTCTACAAAAAAGATCTTGCCCGACGACTCCTTATGGCCCGTAGTGCAAGTCAAGATGCCGAAAGGAGTATGCTTGCTAAGTTGAAGAGCGAGTGTGGCTTTACATTTACGCACAACCTCGAGCAGATGTTCAAAGACCAAGAGCTCGCCAGAGACGAGATGATATCGTACAAACAATCCCTCAGCAATACCAGCAGAACCACTCTCGATCTCCAAGTCAGCGTTCTCTCCCAAGCAGCTTGGCCCACGTATCCTGTTGTGGAGGTCAACATTCCATCCGAGGTGGCGAAACATATTGAGAAGTATGAACTTCACTACAGACATAAGCACACTGGACGCAAACTGGAATGGAAGCATGCCCTCGCTCACAGCGTTGTCGTCGGTCATTTCAATAAAGGTAGAAAAGAGCTGCTTGTTTCGGCCTTCCAAGCTATCGTTCTCGTCCTCTTCAACCATCTCGGCGTAAAGGATGGGAAACAAGAGCACTTGTCATATGGCGACATCCAAACCGCAACCGGTCTCGTGGACGCCGAACTCGAGCGCACACTTCAATCCCTCGCATGCGCAAAATTCCGTATTCTCACCAAACATCCTAAGGGCCGAGATGTCAGTTCAACAGATACATTTACCGTCAATCTTGGCTTCGTGGATCCGAAGTTCAGGATCAAAATCAACCAAATTCAGCTCAAGGAGACGAAGGCGGAGAATAAAGAAACTCATGAAAGGGTTCACCAAGATCGACAATACGAGACTCAAGCTGCGATTGTGCGGATTATGAAGAGCAGGAAGACGATGACGCATCCTAATCTTGTGGCTGAAGTTATCAATCAAACGAAGGCACGGGGTGCTGTCGAGCCTGCTGAGATTAAGAAGAATATTGAGAGTAGGTGCCCCATTAGAACTGTTCTGAGAAAGACACTAACCAAACATAGGGTTGATTGAGAAAGAGTATATTGAGCGTGAGGACGGAGGATCGTACGTCTACGTATCGTAGATCAGGAATGGATTACATGGTATGCGTTTAATGATGGCATGACTGCATGACTTGAGTGGACAAATAAGCGGCACTGGGTGTAATGGCATTAACAGAAAGAAATCAAATATGATAGAAGAAGATTTCTTCCCAGCTGTACGGAAGTGCAGGTCCGAATGATTATAACTCGGCACTCCCTAGACGCCATTTTTGAGAAAGGTCCTAGATAGGCCCTCTGCATAGCGATAGAGATCCACGATCTTCCACTGAGCGTAGAATATTCTTAACGCAGTGTGAAATTGAGCAGCCCTCCTAATCCCTCCACTACTAATTAGCCACGCCAAGGGTCATACTCATTCATGCCTGCTCTGTATGTGTGTTTATATACATGTTTAGGCCAGGCTTATTGAAGTACATACTTCCCTTTCCCAAATCCTACAGTAGCATCTTCTAAGGGGTACATAAAGCTTACATTCATTTTATATTGTTGTCCAACCTCAGAAGAAGGGGCATTTCCCCAGCTAGTTGTAGAAAATATGACCATCCGCATAATCGGCTCAGCGAAACTGCTTCCTGCACAACAAACTTCTAGAAGCATCCCAATCCTTACCCAAATCCCCTGCTTCAAGTCGAAAGGTCTCGAAAGACTTAACAAAGTCCACCTAGTCGAGGAGCATATCTGCAGGCCAGAACACCCAACCCATGAGCCGCAGGAACCGTCTTGTACCTTCCACATCCTCAGAAATTACACGGCATTCTTTACGTTTTGCGTCGAAGTGCTCGAGTTGAAATCCGGGATAGGTGCTGGGCATCTATCTCCGATTCCTGCCAGGGCCGCGGTATGTATCGTAACCACACTTTTGGCATTTGATGAATACAGTTCGGTATATATCCTCGGGTGCTGCATTAAAGACGTCTTGCTTATAGACGGGTCTAGGCTGTGAAAAATAGCAGTAATCATCCGGATCCGCATATCAGAAGCCGTGGGACTGTCTAGCAAGGAAGCGTCGCAGATAACTTTCTCCAAAACCCGTCGGGGCTGCCATCGTATCGTCCAGGGAGTGTCGTAACTGCGTCAATCCTCGCTGATACTCATCAGAACGCAACGCTCCCTCGGTGGAGGTGGGGGAACTCTCCAGGCAAAATACAAGAACTTGGTACATGCACTTAACTTCTTCAACCTCACATCACTCGCAACGAAGCCAAAACACCTCTTGCTCATGAAACCGTTCCTCCCAAGCCGACACGCTCTTAGCTACATCTCCTGGCAAACATCCCTTGCTGTCAAGAACTCCCTTCCATTCAGTTATTCATTTATCCACCAGTCTCTTTCCTCCACTTCTCCCTTTACATCCACCGCCATCTCAACCACAACCACAAAATACCACAAAGTATGCTTGCTGTATATCAAAGCACCCTCCTGTCAGAATTCACGTATGAGTAGATTCCTCAGTCCCGCTTTTCGCTTTTACAAAACAGAGTATTCGGATAAAGAGAGAGATGGTTTGTACACGCTTCCCCTCCTACTAATCCACCTCACCTCACCTCACACATTTCCACCTCACGTACCTAGGTACTTAACTAAACGAACAGTTCAATTTGCAGCAAGAAGACTCAATCGGCGTAGATTTGTATAGCATGGGTATAAAAGAGATATCCGTTAATTCCCTCCTTTGACTACCTCAGTATCTACAATCAACTGCTCTGTTAAAAATAAAGGACAGGAAAGAGGAAAAGCGTATCATACATCTTATCCAACCCAACATCTAGATCAATACAATGCCAAGTCGAGTCAGGTTTCGTAGGTATATATCCGTCTCTGATCATTTTATGTGTGTATGCATGTTTGTTCTGAACCTGAATAGAATCCAGCGCAGCGCTCGTTTCAAACGCCCGAGCAAAAGAAAAATAAGATAGGAGAAGGGAATATCTCTCGTTCGTTCTTCCATTTCTCCATCATCGTTTGCCAACCTCGCAAACTCATACAACTCAGCTCGCCTCCGCCTCGCTCAACCATCCTCCTCCAAGAAGCCCATAATAGCTCTGATACCCCCAGCGCCCAATCCACCCCGCGGATAACACACGTAAACCGGCTCATTCCAACAGCCCATCTTCTCTCTAAACTCACTCTTGTTCGTCAGCTTGAAGCGCGCATTGATAGTCTCATACGCCTTCTTCAGCGCCCTGACCTTGTGCTTCCCCAAATTCCTGCCTCCCTCCAAAGTAGGCATCGCACCGGTACCGAAAGTAACTTGTTTTGCTTCTGGGTCTGCGACTGCGATCATTCGTAGAGAGAACAGGATCAGAGATTCGATTGTCCCCGAGGGCGCGCCGGGGAATTCGAGGGCGAATTTCACTTGGTAGCCATTTTTCGGGGACAGTTGGTGGAGCACGCAGATTGCATGAATGGTGCCATCGGAGCCGGAAGCATAGTAGTAGTGCCGATGCGCTTCATCAGCCCAGGGTCTGATTTCAGTGAGATGGACTTGTGTTCCTTTTCTGTTCTTCTGCCAGTCCTTGACCCGCGCGTCGACTTTAGCTTTTAATTCAGCGCTGACAGCCTCGGTGTGTGGGACTTCAATATTCTTGACGCCTTCCTTCTCCGCGTGGCGCACTTTACGAGCCAAGTCATTGTCCTTGAGCGCTGGGTTGTCTTTGGGGTTGGTCCGCTCTTCGGAGATACAGGCGAGGGTGCGCCAGAGGAATTTCTCGCCGAGGTATTCTTCTACTTGTGGGCCAGCAATCATCCAGAGGGGGTGGATGTCTTTGTATTCCTCCTTAAGGAACTGAAGGTAGGCGGAAATTACTTGGGAGTATTGGGACTTGGCGCAGAGAGGGTCACCAACGGCGATGGCGAAGTTGTTGTGTAAGATGTAGCCTTGTGCTGCTCCAGTTGATGGATGTCTGAATACGTGGTATCTCCGGTCGAGCCATGATGTATTGGCTGCGTCTCCGTAATTTGCGATGAGCTTCTCGAGTGGCTGGAGCTGGGCTTTCTTTTCCAAGGAAGTGGTGGACTCTTCGACATCTTCTTCTTCTATCTGTTGTTCCCATGGGGGATTGGTGGTGCTTGCTTCTGGGTGTCTGAGAGCAAGTACAGGTGGTCTAGCTGGAAGAGATTTGGGGTCGCGAGGGAAGAGGGACGCTAGTCGGATGTTGCCGAGATTCAAGAAAAGGTAGGTAAGACGCTCGAGACCAATACCGCAACCAGCGTGAGGTGGTGCACCCCATCTGAAACCTTCAAGATATTCAGTCATTGTGTCTGGCTTGATCCCCTTTTGCTTCATTCGCTTCTCCAGGAATTTAGCGTCGTGAATACGCTGACCTCCGGTCAAGATTTCCTGACCTCTCATGAAGATATCAAAGGAGTTGGTATAACGATCGTCGGTAGGGTCTGGCATCGTGTAGAAGGGTCGCACGGAAGCCGGGAATTTATCGAGGATGTAGTAGTCTGTCTTGAACTTTTCCTTCACAATAGCTCCCAGCCTAATCTCTGCTCGTGTTGCGAGATCCTCCAACTTCGAAGGAGGCTTGCCATCTTCGTCAACCCACCCGTCATCAATAAGCATCTGGACACCTTCTGCGAATGGGATTCTTGGCGTTACATCCAGCCATTGAACCTTTTCTTGGGGATAAAACTGTGAAATCAGTTCAATTTCTGGTTGGTATCGATCGTAGATGCCTTTCCACAAGTGCTTGAACATGCCATCAATGATTGTTAGCGCTTCATGGTAATGCTCCTCCAACGCCATCTCAAGATCCAATCCGGTATATTCCGTCAGATGGCGAGGCGTATTACTGTCTTCGGCACGGAAAACAGCCCCAATCTCGTAGACGCGTTCAAAATCCGCGGCAATACACATTTGCTTTGCAAGTTGAGGAGATTGAGCTAAAAATGCGGGACGTCCAAAATAATTGACCTCGAAAACGGTAGCACCAGACTCAGTGGCGCCGCCTTGAAGTTTAGGGGTATGGATTTCAATGAATCCCTGAGTATCAAGATAAGAACGGAACAGATTGCATATGCCAGACTGGATGCGGAAAACGGATTGCGCAGGACCTGTTCGTAGATCCACGATACGGTTGTTCAGCCGAACTCGTTGGGGGAGTGAACGATTTGGCCTATTGACATCCAAGCTCTCTGTTTATTGTTAGCAATTGGAATTCTCATCTGGCAAGCACTGTACTTACTGCGGTTTCTCAATTTATCAATAGAGAATTTAGAAAGATCCGTGGAAACACGGGCAAACTTCCCCTCTACTGGCGATTTGGAACCCTCCGGGGTACCAGTACCAGAGAGTATTGAAGAATCCTCTACATCCTCCTCGTCGACATCCTCCGTATCTCTGTTGATATTTTCGGCATCATAGACTGTAAATGGTACATTTTCTGTCAACTCGGTAACCTTGTGGATCTCGTAAACCTCCAGCTCATAATCGTGTATTGTCGCATTCTTGATTCGATGCGGGGCTTTTCGAAGCAGGGCGTAGACGACCACAATTGTTTCGCTGGGGTAATGTTCCACACTTCGAACCATCTGCTCGGAAATAGTGCCGGTATTGTCTTCATTGGCTGGGATATATTAGCAGAATTATTAACGCCAGGCAGAAAACATACGCTGCAATTCATTCTTGGGTTTGAAGCTCTGCAGGACTCCTTGAACTGTGATAGTTTGTTGACGGAACACGATGAATACAAGCTTTGCGCTCATTCGGCGGAGGGTGTGTATGCGAGCTCGGAAGGTAATGACCTCGCCATCCATTTCTGCGTTCAATTAGTGGGGGTTCTGTGATTTTAAATTGCCAGCCTTACGCTTGAAATCCAATTCTTTGAACAGTTGTCTCTTTTCCTGATCCCATCTCTTACTCATGTTCATACTGAATGGCTTGTACAGCTTGGTGAGCTGCGGAGGACCCTCCTTCAAGAACCTCTCGTCTTCTATGCGTGCTAAGGACTGCCTCTTCTTGTTTTCGGCCTTCGTCCGCAACTTGTCCACGCTTGCCCTCTTGCGATCTGTATCCAAGCTTTGTCGCTTGGACCCGGGCGGTGTATCTACATTTCCGATGGGGGTGCTGGTTCCATTGATAGCATTGTTTGGGGTAGAAGAGCCACTAACGCCATCTTCTTTGCCAGGTATCGAGTCAGAGGAGTTGTTCGAGGACCCATTGATTCCCTTGAGCTTTCGGAAGGGCTTCTTGAGGAACGACATTGTGATGGGATTGTAGTTCAATAGTTCCTTGTGGCGAGGAGCGGGAGAAAAGAAGGGCAAGAGGTAGAGGGCGCCGGGAAAGTAGTTTGTACGTGTAAATGCAGCTAGCTGAGTAAGGGCGCGCGCGAGCGTTGTGATAGCCGAACTTTGATTTAGGACCAGGCCAGGCAAGGCTTATACGGAATAGCTAGGAGGCCGGAAAGGCTGGGGGAGGTAATAAAAAGTTACGAGTAGTGAGGATGATAAAGCCGCAGAGTCCAACGGAACTGCCGGAGTCCTCGGTAGGATTAGGATTAGAGGTGTGGCGTGACTTCAAAGGGGAGTTAAGAGTGAGGGTGAGAGTGAGAGTGAGAGTGAGAGTAAAAGTGAGAGAGACACGAAGAAGCAAGTCAAGCGACGGCGACGAGGAGGGTTTTGTTTATTCGCAAGTCGCAAATTATTGACGGGAGTTGATACCGAACATGGCCCGCTCATAAATGCACGGGCGCTTGTACAAAACACTGGTAGTTAGAGTATGATGTCAGTGACGCTACTCGGAGTAATATTTTCGTAATAAGACAATCACAATTGACGGGAGGCAGGTATTTTACTTCCGAGTGCCACTAAATAGCGAGGTATTATGTATAGGATATATACATAAAACGCGTATATCCCCCTGATCTTTCTATGCCCTTCCATTCCCATCCCATCCCATCCCTTCCCTTCCCTTCCTTGCTCTCCCCTTCTTTTCTCTCATGTACTCCGTACCTACCATGGCTGGATCATCGCACGTTTATATATTTCCCCCCCACGTCATCGCCAAAAGGCGTACGAAGTAAACATAAAAGACAGTCCCGAAGATGCCGGAGTAGTAGCGCTCCGACTTATAGCCTAGCATAATTAAGCCTCTGCCAAGCCGGTTAATGGAAGTGGCTGACTCAGGTGTGGAGGAAAAAAGGAGCCTCTAGAATTGGTTCCAGTAATAGAACAAGATAAGAATTCAAGCCTTGGTTGGGAAAGATAGAATCAAGGCATTTATGCATTATAGCACGTGACTGTGCTCCTGTGATGACCTGATGACGCACTCTCGCCGATGTCCGTCTGGTGTGATACACTGATACCACACCCACACCTAAACCTAAGCTAAACCTAAACTGGGACGGACCCTACTTCGTACTGAACCTAAGTATCCCTTGAGCTTACATTGGTTCTTCTTGATCTCTCCTCCACTCTTCACCCTGAGGTACCTAAGCCACCTACCAAGTACCTGCTACTTCGAAGTACTCCCTACCTACCTAGGTACCCACGAATTGAAGCGTCCAAAAGTCATCCTCTATGCCCTCAATTGGTATGCTCAGCGAAGCCATAGTATGCTAGATATGCACCTCAGTGACTGAGCCTCCTTGTCCACGAATATCAGCCTATACGGACGTATGCAAGAAGAAGCTGGTCAAGCATACCGTAAAAGAGCGTGCAAGAACCCTGGAATCATTCCATGATTTCCATGATCCATCCATCCCACCCACAACATCCCGCAGCAGCGAGCAAGCCACCAAAGCTAAAGCACCTAGTCGTCCCGCCCGCACTCTAATACTATAACCCCTCCTTCCCCCTCCTCCCCTTTGCGAGTAGGATATGTGCCTATCCTACTGCTTCTCACGCCACTCCATCCTCATGGTCAAAGCTAATATATGGAGGGGCCTCATGGCCGTGGGCATGAAGTTGCACCACTTTGCCGGTCCCAAACCACCACGTCCAGACTTCAAGATCGTCATCCCATCCAGGTTATCTCCGCGAGGTGGCACATTCAAACTGGTATTCTACGTCCCGGAGTCGTATCACACAGCACCAGACGACTACCGCTTTCCAGTCGTCGTCAATTTCCATGGAGGCGGCTTTACTTTGGGAACGGGCACTGATGATGCGAGATGGGCGTCGACCATTGTGAAGACCGTGGATGCTGTTCTGGTCTCAGTCGAATACAGACTGGCACCCGAATACCCATTTAGCACAGGCGTAGAGGATGGAACAGACGCGGTCATATACCTAGCATCCCACGCCGAAGAGCTTCGCCTTGATCCCCAACGAATGGCTCTGTCTGGTTTCTCTGCAGGTGGAAACTTCGCATTTACGGTTCCCCTCATGCTACACGATCTCCAAAAAGGGGTTGGCAAACGAAGCCTAACGTCAACCAGCGACAACTACTACCGTCCCCCTTCCTACCCCTCCTCCTACGCTTCCTCCGCCCAAAGCTCCTCAACCCTTCAACTCCCACGGCCCCTGCCCCTCTCAGGCAATTCCTCTACCACTTCGATCCTCAAACTCACAGACCTCGAGCCAACCGAATTAGAAATGCATCAAAAAGTCCCAGACCTCAAACTCCGAGCAATCGTATCCTTCTACCCACCTACCGACTTCCGGATATCGCGCCAAGAGAAACGCGTCACAAACCCCGTACCAGAAATGAACCTCCCCCCAATGCTCACCAATCTTTTCGACGATTCCTACATACACCCCACGAGCTCGATCGACCTAGCCGATCCCTACCTCTCGCCCGCAGCGGGTTCAGACCAGCTTCTCAGAGCTGCGTATCCCCAAGACATCATACTATACACTTGCGAATACGACATGCTGAATGCAGAAGGCATCGCGTTTGGCGAACGGCTTTCGGGGCCGGAAGTAGGAAAAACCGTACATGGGGGCTTGGTGAAAGAAGTACCACACGCGTTTGATAAGAAGCCCAATCCGATTAAATTCCCCGTGTCGGCGGATACATGTTATGCTGAAGCTTGCTCGGAACTGAAACGGGTATTTGGAGGACATGTGAGTGCTAAGGATCTAAGACAGCTGGACAAGATCAAGCAGGTAGATCGATTCGAGGATGATGATCAGAGGGATCGGGTGACGGGGCAGGGGTTGAGACTGCTGGATGAGACGGATATGGGAGATGGGATAGGGGGGAACGATCATGGACGGCCCAGTATTCCTGATAAGTATCCAGCGAATAGAGTTCCTTGAAGAGGATTTTGTATTGCAATATAGACTTTTTTATTCGCCCATGAAGAAAAAGAAATCCGGCGAAATAGAATATCCTTATAATTGTTCTATATTCCGTGAATTTCACGTCCGAGTATATATTCATATTCTTTAAACTTCTCCATCCAGATATTTATTGTTTTATAATAGGAGGTAAGCGAACCGCCAATTTTAATATTTAAAAGATTCACGTGACTGCAACGTCTCTGGGATCTTGGACACCTTGAAAGTACATAAGTAGTAGAATACCTAGACCTGTCTTTTTATTCCGAGGCGCATCGAACCTAAATACTCTATAGCGAGCTTGCAAAAACTTCAAATACTATCCAAGCTGCTAAGATAACGTGACGATGGTCGAGCCATGAAACTAGAAAGCCTCGCTTCTCTCTCTCAGCGGAAAAGAAATAACCAACAACAGACAAACATTAACAGATTCCAACACCACGGCTACTGTACTCTTTATCCGGGCTTTCCGTTAAAGGATTTCTTTCTCCATTCCCATAATGTCTGAGATCATGGGGTCCGCACAGGTCTCCATGGCTCTCACACTTACCCCGTACCCCTGACTGTCTGAGAAGCCTTGGCGCAGGGTGCCCATTGCTTCGCTTACCCACACTCCTTCTTTTCAAACCCGCCTGCGGGTTTCATCTGTTTTACACTCAGATGTCAGAACTGCCCAAACTCTCAAGAGCACGGTGAGAACAATGCCATGGAGATGCGTTGCCGTGCCGTCAGATGCCAGTGACATCTGGTTGTTAATGCCGGGATGGGATGACTAGATAGTTTCATGTAGGAAAAGCTTAACTTTCGTCCTCTGCTTGATTCTCAGCCCTTTGATGCTTGCTGATGCTTCTTTCTTGTTTACAGCCAGAGAAGAGATTTTATCATTTCTATTTTCTTTACATTGTTATTCTAATCGGGCTGGTCCTATTAACTACTTTCTTTCGTCAAGCGGGTCTCTTTTTAATTTAATCCATATCTTATTCATTGTAATCGATATCCTTCAGTATGAGAATCAGCGGTCTCTTCCAACGGGCTCAGGTCCAGAGCGTAGCCATTGTTGGTAATGATGTCGATGCAGAGGATGCGTTAATCGGTGCAACGGAGAGGAGAAATCTTGGGAGGAGGCAAAGCAATTCTTCAGATCCAGAAGCAGCAGCTGTACCTGCAGAATCAAAGACTACGACGTCGCCTACCCAAGAGGCAGCGACCAAGGCGGCTCCAACTCAGCCGGCCAATGTACCAAGTTCAAATCTAGATGTAGGTACCTACCTTTTGTATGAGAGAAAAGTCCAATAGCTGAGTGACGTTAGCCAACAACTCTCGTGACTTCTGTCGTTAAATCAGATACAAGTCTGCCTTCGGATACTCTGGCAACGCCTAGTACAACGCTTCAAGGTGCAATACCAACACAAGAGGTAGCAACTAAACAGCCTGCTCCAACGACAGTTCCAACCACGCTCGACCCCGCAGCGGTCGCGTCTACCACCTCAATCATAGGGGCACCAGATGCGCCCCCACCAGTTGCTGCAACTTCCGCGAGTTCGAGTCTGACTGGTATCGCTGCCCTGGCTGCCCCGCCCTCTATAGCCGGTTCATCAACGCCTGCTACGAATGCAGCGACAGCCACTTCAAATGCCGACCCGAACCCAGCGTCTATAAAAACTTCTCCCTCTGTTGCATCCGACGTGGTTACCGGCGCCTCTGCATCAGGTGCTTCAAGTCCCGCGCCTAACTCAGCATCCACTCAAACATCGGGACTCGCAGCTGGGGTGAAAGTTACCAGTGCCTCAGTATCCGCAACTCAAACTGGAAGTACGCCGGCCACAGGAAGCAATGCAGCGGCAAAGACAGGTACAGCTGGTATCTCTGCCTCAGTGACAGGTAGTGCTGGTTCCGCATCTGGGTCTGATGCTTCGACCTCATTAGCAGCCCTCCTCGCTTCCGGCAGCTCTTTATCCCAAACCCTTATCCCAGTCTCAGCCAGTCTCACAGATTCCGGAAGCTCCTCAGCCACAAGCATCTTCGCAGAAGCCCAGTCCGCAGCCGCCGGTACAGGCGTCGACGGAGGAATCCTCAGCAGCGGCGTAAAGGGGAAAGGCCCATTAGCTACAGGTGGAACCGGGGGAGCCAACACGATCAGCGCCACGGCTACCATTCTCAAGAAGCCGCAAAACATAGCTGGTATTGTAGTCGGCTCAGTCGGTATGTTTGTTCATCACCCCCTCCATCTCTAAGAGTTTTTTTCTTTCTTTCACAGCAGGCAGGCTAACAGGAACAGTCGGAGCCGTGGCCCTAGGCTTCGGCATTTTCTTCTTCATGCGCCGTTTCTACCGCACGAGACGTGAAGGTAAACGCGCCGACACGCCTCCGCAATCACCCCTCCTAGCCTCGCTCAACTCGCCACTCCTACCCATCGGCATCGCGCGCTCTATGTCCCAGCGCAGTGGAGGCGAGGGTAGCTTTTGGAGTGCACAGGGTACGCATGGGGTTAGTGAGAAGGAGTATGGAGCTGGTGGTCATGGGAAAGAGTACGGACACGGATATAGTCCGTACGGCAGAGGCGTCTCATCTGCTCCACTTAGCCCGCTTCCTGAATTACCCAACGCGGAGGGTGGAGCGGGGTTTGCGGGGACGACGGGGGGCTGGAGTGGGAGTGGTAGTGGTAGTGGTAGTGGGGCTGCTGGAAATGGGAATGGGAATGGGAATGCGGGTTTTACTTTATTTCCACCACAGCCGAGAGGGAAGAACGTGAAGGATCTCCCGAGGAATTTTTGAGGGCTTAGTAAGAGTTGTGCTAATGGGGATGAGAGTGAAAATGAAAATGATAATGTGATCTGACTGTATTTCGGGAAGCGTGGGAGGAAAATGCGCGGTGGAGGTTTGGTAACAAGGAAAAGAAACAAATGTGCGAGGAGGGGGGAGGGGGGAGGGGGGATTTTGGAGGGGTGAAGTAACGAAACGGGTAAAATGGGGAATATAATCTTAAAAACAGATGGAATAAATCAAATGCATAGTGTATAGTCAGTCAAGTTCTGATGATATGAAATCAGTATCCTCACCGCTATCGTCATACTATGAGCATTCTGTCAGTCTGCGATATCGAGAGCCGCGGCGCCGCATTTTACTTCGCAGGCGAAGGAAAGGAAATATGTATAGTACGTAGCTATGAAAAGAGAACAATCTGTAAGATCGCCAGTAAGCGGTTCAAATCTTTTGAGCTGATCTTCCGTGAATGCCCACCCAGGCCAGGCCAGCCCGAGAATTGCAAACCCTTTTTATCCCTGGCTCTACATCATGAGAATACATCCAGATTGTTCTGGAGCGCCACTCTACAGCTCTTTGAAATCATATAATTACTCGTGTAGATGTAGCTTTTTGTTATATTTATCACACACATTACTTTGTCCGTAATTACCTATCCGCTTGCCTGAAAGACCAGCTTATTACACTAATAAGCAACCATACTCGTCAACCCATCCAACTCCCTCTGGAAATTCCTGTGCTGCGAGATGTTATACGCATACGCATCCACAAAGCCCTTAGCCCCCTTCACCATATTCAGAGCTTCCTTCACACCACTAGGCTCGAACCCGCCTGCAGCTGTGACAACACCATAGGAATCCACAACCTCGGCATTCGTGCTGAAAGCCATGCCCTCAATCCCACACGCAGTCTGCACAAGCTTGACTGCCTCCCCGGTCGCACCAATGGCCTTGCAATGCCCAAAGGCCTCCCGCACCCAGTGCACGACGCGTCCTTGCTTCTGCAACATAGCGACGTGCTCGCCGCCAGGAATGTAAATCGAGTCGAACATTGTACTTCGCATACCCTCGAAATGATGATCTGGCGCTACGCTCTTCTTCCCACCGGCGCTCGGCACGGGCTGTCTCTTAGGTCCAATGGTAAACACGAGTGCTCCTGCTGCGCTGAGCGCGGCTTTCACGCCTTCGTATTCGACGAGGTTGAAGCCGGGGCCAATGATGATGGCGATCATGCGGGTGGCAATCGTTGGTGGTAAACCGAGCGCCTCGGGCGTGAAATCCATTTGTGAGAGACCCTTGGCCTTTAGGCCATGGTTGGGCTTCCCTTGTTTGGTAGGTGTAGGCGAGCCGGCTTTCTCTGCCACGGCTTTGGCGAGGTCAATGTCAATATCGCACAAACGCTCAACCATGCGGTCGTAGACGACAGGGTCATCACAATGATCAAACTCGAAGCCGAGAGCGTTGATGATGTGAGCTTGCTCATGGGGAGACATGGAGTTCCAGAATAGCTGGGCTTGGTTGAAGTGCTCGGAGAATTTGACGGAGTGAAGGCGCTGCTTTATAGCGACGATTTTCTCGGGGTAGTCGATGTAGGCGCCTTCGGCTTGGGATGCTGGCTGAACGGCAGATTCACGGTTGGGCCAGTAGTTTATCTTGCCTTTGGTTATTTTGTGGCGAAGCTGTCCGTCACGGTGGTTGTTCATGACGGGGCAGACCGGCCGGTTGATGGGGAGTTCTTGCCAATTGACACCCAGACGGGATAACTGAGTGTCGAAGTACGAAAAGTTGCGGCCTTGCAGGAGGGGGTCGTCGGAAAAGCCAATACCTAATGGGTTGTCAGACCAAGAATCTCTGAAAGGTAATTGATTGCTTACCGGGTACGAGATGAGCAGTACAAAATGCAACCTGCTCGGTCTGAGTGAAGTATTCGTCGACATTCTTGTTAAGTTGCAGCTCCCCAATATATCTCACAGGCAAAAGTTCTTCAGGCCAAACCTTGGTAGCGTCAAGGATGTCGAATTCAAACTCGTCTTGGCGCGACTCGGGGCAAACTTGTATACCAAACTTCCAAGTTGGAAAGACTCCCGCATCAATAGCGCTGTAGAGATCCTTGCGGTGGAAATCGGGGTCTTGGCCGGCGATCTTCAATGCCTCATCCCAGACCAGCGAATGAACGCCGAGCGTAGGGGTAAAATGGAACTTGACAAAGTGTCGGACGCCTTGAGCATTGGTCAAAGTATATGTATTGACACCAAAACCTTGCATCATGCGATATGATCTAGGAATACCACGATCACTCATAGCCCACATGAACATGTGCGTGGCCTCGGTGTGAAGGTATTGGAAGTCCCAGAAGTTATTGTGAGCAGACTGAGCTTGGGGGATCTCAGTGTCGGGTTCAGGTTCTAAAATATGTCAGCTAATTGATTAAATGCCTCTTTCTAATGAAAACATACTGCCTGCATGAATGACATCTGGGAACTTCATGGCGTCCTGAATGAAGAAAACAGGAATGTCATTGCCAACAATATCCCAATTGCCCTCGTCAGTGTAGAACTTGACGGCGAAACCTCGCACATCTCGGACTGTATCAGCACTGCCTCGAGATCCCAGGACTGTTGAGAATCGAATGAAGACGGGCGTGCTCCGAGAGGTATCTGTGAGGACTCCAGCACTGGTAACATCCTCGGCACTTTCATAGAGCTTGAAAGTCCCAAATGCACCTGCTCCACGGGCATGCACAACACGTTCAGGGATTCTTTCATGGTCGAACTTCATGATCTATGGCACATATTAGCCACAACCCAAAGCTAGCGGAGGTGGGGACTTGCCTTTTCTCTCGCAAAGTTGTCCTCCAGCAGAGCAGGACCTTGACGGTCGCCAGTGGAGGCGTGGAGCCAGACATCAGTGTTGTTCTGCCTGACACCAAAATCGCTGGTGAGACGATCTGAGCTTGTGGGCTCAACCATATTTGGCTTCATATCGGCCGTCTTCTTGTTGGTAGACATGATTCCGGAAACTGCTTCACTGGCCTTTTGTCTTGCTCCGTCTAGGACTTTTTCCATACCTAGGTACCTACTCTTTATTGAGATGTCTCACAGGGTGTGAGAAGGAGAGTTGAGATTGAGGTTTGAGAATTGACAATTGAGATGTTGTGCACGGGGAAGGGGATTTTGGAGAGACTCGGGATGTTTATGAGATGCCATTGACTGGACTGTTAAGTTTATACCATCACCGTACATAGGGAGTGACGTGACCCTGCCATTGCGGATGGGGATCCTGATATCTGAGGTTGACGTATACAAGAAGGGTACAGTACCTTACTGCCAGTCTTAATTGCGGCAGCTAGACTAAGACTAGACTGATCACAGATGCTCCAGACCAATAGGATATTGGCAATTACATCACCACTTCGTCTGATATGGTAAGCAGTGCAGTGCTGTCCAAGTATCTAGCAATGGAAATGGGTAATTCCATGTGGACGCCCGCGTGCAGAGGTCCGCATCGACGCGTTAGCTTGGCTTCGACACATGGCATAGCAATGTTTTCTAGCTGCCGAACGTATAATTAGTGAAAGTCGGTGTGGGGAGTGAGGAAGAAAAGGTGATTCTGCATTACGTCGTTGGTTTTAAAGGGAGGGCGAGGTGGAGGAGGGGTTCCTCGCTTACATAAGGTACTGGAACTAACTCTAACTATACCGTAAGGGGAATGCCATTCTGAGAATCCCATCTCATCCTTGGCATTACTACGCAGCCTATTTAGTCCCCGCCCCGCAGTATGCACAAGAAGCTGCAGTCTCCCGGAACACGCTGCCACGCTGCCGGTATTGAAGCCATCCCCAATAATTTAATCCCGCGCACTTCATCGCCCACATCTAGAGCATCATGACTGTGCTGTGTCGTTGCACTACAATACACAACACTAGTCAATGCCTGAAGACTATCTCCCTCCTTCTGTTCGACAGCCGAGATACTGTTAGTTTCCACACTCGTCTTGACTGCTCCTATTCCCAGCACCGCAGTACTCCGCTTCCGAGCCTGGACAAGTGAAACTACATCGCCAATAGCAGCAAGAGTAGAAGTAGCATCGAGAGAGTTCCCGCAATAGCCTCACGTCTGTTAGCAAGAGTAAAGTTCATAGATCACGGGACTCTTACATTTCCCCCCATATTCAACCACCCAATACGCAAAACCGGCACAATTAGATGCAAACATTTCAAGACTCATAGCCATGTAATCATAGAACGAGCTTCCTGCGAGCGCCCCAATGCCCGTCCTTTCAGTGTAACACCCCTAGAAACCATACGCTCCAACAGTTGTCTTCACAGCAAGCGTCGGGGTTAATGAAGCAGAGGACGAATTACTAATTGCCGAGCTGCTTGTGCTTATTGTTGATGCCATAGAGCGAGACAAGGAAGTGCTGTTTGGGGTCGTGGATCCAAAAGGTGCACAAGCCGCGCCTAGATCCGCAGCGTTTTTGAACGTGTCGGAAAAGGCTCCGCTCAACACGCCGTATTTAGTCCCAGCAGTTGAAGCAATCGTGTAATTGGTGCTGTAAAGCGTGTACGGGCCAACCGAAGCCCCTATTACCATGGCTACGGTTGCATTCACTAATGAAGGAATCGGAGTTCCAGATGGTCTTGCGACTTTTTGCTCCACGGTCAAGCTTGGAGCTGTTGTATTCCCACGAACCTGTTGAGTAATTAGCATCAGTGCTTTCTCCTTAACCGTGGTCTCGTAGGGAAATGCAAACTCACTGCAGCGACAACAGTGAGAGTTCCATTGCTTTGACAGCTTTGAGTACTCTGGACAATAATTGAGTCCTGAATGGGGAACCCATTGCCATTGTTATCATATGTTTGCATCGCACCGGTGGTATAAGTAACTGCCACAGTGAACGATGATATCGAGCTACCAGCGGGCAGATTCGAGCTGAATCCGTAGAACTACACCACGATTAGTAGCGTTCGATAAAGATAATATTCCTGAATATAACACACCGAGAAACTGTCATCGAATCCATTTGCTGTTCCACTTGTAGATGTTGTAATACTTGTGCTCCCCGTCCCGTTTCGGTCTTTGTATATAACCGCAACACTCGATACACTACGAGTTGTCGTTCGAACCCTAATGTCTCCTGAAAACTGGATTTGAGTGCCCCCAGAAAGTAATGTAAGTTGTATACCAGTAGGCTTGACCTCGTATGGTTGAATGATATCTGATAGGACCACTGCCGGGTCTACGGTCTCGATCATTCTCTGCAAAATCGAGGTGCACATGCTATTAAAGGTATCAGCACTCGTCATAGCCTTCAACGTAACATTGTTGTCCGCTGTAAAAACAGCAAAATCCGAGTTCCTCGTAGATGCTACTGATGGTCCAACGGCAAGCGGGTCACTGTTCGGGCCATTGATATATTGCACTGCAATATCATTATCAAAGCTCGTAGTGGTGTCAAAGAGTTGGAAATCATCTGGCGAGACGCCAGGAGTCACAATATTGTTGAAGTCCCCAGCATGAACCCCTCCAAGCGTATGTCCACAAGCAGTCATCTGGATCATGTCTGTAACATTGAAACCCATCCTCGTAAACTGGCTCTTGAAAACCCCTTGGCCGTTCTGCGGCTGCGGCACACCTGCAGGGCCCGCAGCGGTTGCATCGACGCGACCTCCTCTCATGGGTATAACAGGTCCCCCACAGCCTCGTACAGATGCATATACCCCCAGGGCAATCATATCCGAGATAGGTAACCTGCTGTTAAAGAATCCAGAGTATGTAGTAAGCGATGTATTGAAACCGGCGCCGATATTCTCCCCATCACCCAATTCAAATGCAATTGAAGCATCGATGCCTCCATGTGGGGTGAAAAACACATTCGTCGTGGACATATCGTGGAACCCAATTCTGAGCCACTCTGCAGCAGTTTGTCGTCCAGCCCCGAACTCCGAAAACCCGCATGGTGTTATATGAGATGAGAATCCTCGACTTTTGTAGCCGGTGTTAAGAAACATAACATCCTCCAGCTCGTCAATCGAGGACGGCCATGTTGGAATTGCCTGTCCCAGGCCCGAGAATACTACGGCACATGCCAGCAGAGAAGAGAGCTTCATGATTACAAATTATAAGATGCCGATAGATGAATACTGACGAGCGAACGACTGGCTGCACTGGCAGAGGACTTGCAAAACAGCGGAAACAAAACATCAAGGAGAATGAGGGATACCGAACCTTACATACGGACTTGAAATGTTGGTCTCGGCTTTGACTGACTGACTGCAGAAGAAGGTCATGGCTCACATGCAGCTTGCAAGGAATAGAGCCTCGTATCTGCTATCAGGCAGGGATTGCTAAATGGTGGGCCGACTTTAAATCGATCAAGTGTCAGCTTCGGGCCCAGCGAAGCCATTCGGGTATTTTACTCCGTATTTTGCCCAAGACGAAAAGTCTGGGTACAAGACGGGATAACCCCGAGGCTTCCTTGAAGTTGATGCTAGCCTCGTATATTGAAGTAGGTAGTATATGTGGGAGAAATGATATGTATCCAGGTCTGAGGAAAGGTACAAACTGTTGCATACCTAGGTGGATAGTTGTTCCCTCGTTATCGTGAAAGCTCGAATATGGCAAGTGGAGAGGTATCTTAAGATCCGAGATCAAATGCGGGTGGCGCTTATTTCCATTTGCGGAGAGATAACGGGTGATGTTCGAAACCTATCAACCTACCCAACCTGTCTAGGTAGGTAGCACCCTCAAGAGTCAAGACTCAAGATTCAAGGGATGTATCTTCCAATCATCTGGCTCTTCTTTCTCTTCCATCCGCCTTTTTGGTTCCGCGGTGGTCAGGTTGGTTGGTTAGTTCCGACATTACCTGGATTACTTGCATATCTATTTATAGACTTGACTTCACTTAACAAGTCGCAACCAGACCTCACAATATCAAAAATTTACCTATAGCATGATTTTCTGCAGGAATACACCTATGAATCCTATAGAAATATAATAGAGTGGATTTTAGAAAATACATGTGATCCATTAACAGGTTCAACACAACACAAGACGAACCCTCCCTGCATGAAAAAAAATAAAAAATTCTACTTACCTATCCCTCGTCCTCGTATATGCCACTCCCCTTACCTCACATTACCAACAACCATCTCCAACACCATGACAGACCCCGCAGCTCCCCCCATGCCCAACCCAATAGCAGAACTCCTAACAACCTACAACGCCCTAAACAGCTCTATCGACGAGCTCACCGAGATCCCCTCCCCCCTAGAATTCATGCGCTATGTATCCCGCAACCGCCCTTTCGTTGTGCGCGGCGGTGCGAACGATTGGAAGGCGACGCAGACGTGGAGTGTGGATGTGCTGAAGGAGAGGATGGCGGGGATGGGTGTTAATGTTGCTGTTACGCCGAAAGGGTAGGTACTGGTAGGTGTGTTCTGAGAAGGAGGAGTGAGCGCGAGTCAGCTGACGGGGTGATTGAAGAAATGCAGATGCACCCGTGGAGAGCGAGGATGGGGAAATACTCTTTGTGAAACCGTGGGAGGAAGAGCAGGATTTCGAGGAGTTTATGGATTTTGTGATCCAGCAGGAGGGGAGTGGAGAGATGAATGGTGAGGTCAGATATGCACAAACACGTTCGTTTCACCTCTTTCCATTTCATATCTCTTCCTGCCTAATAAATCAATCTTACCTCCATTCAAAACACCACACGTATATTACTCCGTATATTCCCCAAAACCCTACACATCTACATAGATCTGGTCTTGACTGTACCGCCCACCATCAGCTGACCCCCTCAACTAACCCATCCTCCCCCATCCAGAAAACGACAACCTCCGCGCCGAATACTCAGCCCTGTTCACCGACGTCGCCTCCAGCATCCCCTTCGCACGAATCGCGCTGCAGAAGCCCCCAGAAGCCATAAACCTCTGGATCGGCAACTCCGCCTCCGTGACCGCGCTGCACAAAGACAACTACGAGAACATCTACGTGCAGATAATCGGGCAGAAACACTTTGTTCTACTCCCGCCGCTCGCTTACGCGTGTGTGAATGAGCAGGAATTGAGGCCTGCGAGTTATGTGCGGGAAGGGGGGGAGTTAGTAGCGAAGAGGGAGGATGGTGATAGAGTGCCGTTTGCGCTGTGGGATCCGGATGGGCTGGGCGTGGGGACGAGGTATTCGGGGTTGGCGAGGCCGGTGAGGGTTAATTTGGGGAAGGGGGATATGTTGTATTTGCCTGCTTTGTGGTAAGTTCCTCCCATCGTACCCTTAACCTCGCAAGATATTTTTGTTAACAGCTTGCTTGTTTATTAGGTATCACAAAGTCTCACAATCCTGTGAGGGCGGCATCTGTTGTGCTGTCAATTACTGGTACGTTATACATGCCCTTTTGCTTGAATGAAAGTGTAGATTATAATGATTATTAGGCATGATATGGAGTTTGGTGGAAGTTTCTACCCACTTTGTGGATTTGCTAGGAATGTAGCACTGAATACTTTTGTTGATTGAGGCGCTCAAAGGCGGCGGGCCGATCCTTCGGCTTGTTCTTTCTTTATGGACCTCATGAACCAATTCATATCATACCACAGCAAAGCAGAGTCATGCAACAGTCGGGAAGTATTCGGAATGCCATGTCTTATTTTGTTATAACAAAAACATGTAAAATTACAAACGAAGCATCGCATGCACGCAAGCCACCCCTCCATGATCTATGCCCTAGTGACTCGCCAGCCGCTTTGTGCAGGTAGAATGAGAGGAAGAAATCCGTGCCCAACGTTGCATTGCATCCCATGAATTGATCCAGTACTTTTAAAGAGAAAGCCCATCGCCTGCTCAACGTCCAAAGATGTAATAACAGCGCTAGAAAGCCAGACAGAGACTATCAATGGAACACGCCAAAAGGACAATGATCCGAGACATGCCAGATATGGGCTCGAAGGAACAGTTTGTGCAAATGCCACCCAAATGCAGTCTAAGTGTGGGCACCAGCTCTGATGTGTGCTCGTGTCCAAGGCCGATGACGAGCCAGGACACAATCACGAGATGTGAACACATTATTTGAGATCCAACGCCAAAAGAAAATCGTAGGGAAGAGCAGAGATGGGAATTCGAGGTGATGTTGGGAGAGTGCCTAAAGGTGTATTTAAACTCCGCTAAAACAGTTGGCCGTCCGTTTTCGAAGGATGCTTTCATGTAGTCATCAAGAACTAAGATGCAATTGGGCGGGAACCTGCGTTACCCCCACGATTGTTCTTCTTTGGCTTAGAGACTGTGCTCCAGCCGTCTTCCGCGAGCTCGGCAGCGGCTGGCTCACTAGATGGTGCCTGAGCAGGGCTTGCTGGTGTTGCTCTTCCATTGCTATTTTGTCGGGGTGGTCTACCGTCGTCATGATGTCTTGGTCCACCTCGGTGATCGCCTCGGTGATCGCCTCTTCCACGGCCTCCTCCTCGGCCTCCTCGTGGGCCACGTGGGATATCGTCGCGGTTGTGGGATGTTGGGGGTCCTCCAGAAGGTCTTCTCCAGGCGCCGGAATCTGCTGGCTTTGGCTTCATGTCCCGGACAATCTCCTTTGGCTTGACGGATTTATCTTCAACGATGTTTCCGTTCTGGTTCTCCTTCTCGATGGTCTCATCGGCGTCGCCCTCGGCTCTCTGTAAGATCTCAACCTTTTTGCTAGCCTCGGCACTTTCTCGTTCTGCCTCCGCAGCCTTTGCCTTGGCAGCAGCCTCCTTGGCTTCTTCCCTGGCTTTTTCTTCGGCTTCCTTCTTTTCACGATGAGCTGCCTCATTTTTCTCTTCAATCTCTTTCTCCTTTGCAGCTGTATCGATAGGGCGGGCAGCACCGAAAGGACTGGCCTTTGAGTCGCCTGCTACAGATGATGGGGAGGACACATCCTGAGCCTCGGAGACTGTGCGCTTCGCCAGGTTCAGCTTTGGTCGGCTGCTTAATGGCGCAGCCGCAAGAGCTGGAGATGAAGGCGCTTCACTACCTTCACGAGAAGGTGCTGGGGACTTAGCGGCTGGTGCATCAGGTCGCATCTTTGTTCGCCATTGGCTGTCCTGCTCAGCAGCAGTGGGAGTACGGTCGACGGCGGGACGTTCCTGGAATTCGCGTCGAGGTGGTCTTGATCCATCTTGCGAGCCTTGCGGGCGACCCTCGCCCCATCCAGCTGGCGATTGTTTGCGCTCTCTGAAACCTTCTCCACGTGGGCCATCATTGGTTCTTGGGCGACCTCCTTCTCTTGGGCCACGCTCTGGCTGAGCCATAGGAGACAAGGGGCCCTTGCGCTCCCAGTTTCCGAAGTCACGGACCTTTCCATCGCCCTCTGGAAATCGCTCCTTGCGCTCTCCGCCATAGTCGGATCCAAATCCTCGGCCTTCAGGGCGACCGCCGCCTCGGCCTGGAAGATCTGGCAATGGGCCCTTTCTACTCCAGTCAACAAATTCTCGTGCATCTGGGCGGCCTTCTCGATCCTTGGCTGCAAAAAAAGGGTCAGTAAATGTCAAAAAACATCATGCCAAAAGCCTTACGTGGGTCTGCAACACTAATTCTGATGTTGCGGCCTTGGAATTGCTCGCCGTTCAGAGTCAGAGATTTCTTCAGTCCCTCCAGAGAAGCAAATTCGGCGTATCCAAATCCCTTGGGCTTCATTTCAAGCTTGTCTTCAATGATTCGGACATTTGTGCATTCACACTCGATGAAGAAGTCGGTGACATCGCCAACGGTGGCATCAAAAGAGAGGTTTCCGAGATGAACAGTGTAAGGTGGCTTGTCGGGAAGGGGGAGTTCCTCGCGGACGGAATATCCTACAAATAATCATAGTCAGTATTGAAATTGGGGTAAGGGAGGAGATATTGCATTAAAAGGGAGCAACTAACCTCCAGAGCCGCTTCCGTAAGCACCTGTGGCAGAGTTGTATGTGCGTCGTTCGGAGCCATAACCAGTTCGGGAGTCTGTAGCAGTTAGTATGGAAGTGAATGGGCTAGAGGCTCCTCCTAAAAATGAGGCTTTGCGAAAACATACCGGCTGTGGGAATCTAAGTTAGCAACGAGGTCCGCATAAATTCATAGTGCGCACTTACAAACTGGCATATCCTCCATCTCATCAGCCCATGAGCCCATCTCTGCGACGTATTAGTGTCCTGTAGTTGGACGTTCTCGAGTGGTTGCTCTTACTCTCGTCAGTCAAGAAGGCCCCGAGGGACATCTTCTGCTGCTGTTCTTTCTTCTTGGGCGCTATACGGATCACAGTTAGTGATATTCTCTGGTGATTTCCAATTGTTCTGTGCCATCTTGGAGCACATATGTCAGGTTGAGAGGTCTTGCCGGGCTGGCTTACCCATGGTTGCGGGTTTTTCAAGGACGCTGCGCAGGCCTCGTGGTCTTGCGCGTAGTCCCTGGGGGTCGGCTGAAGGATATGGAGTCCTTCAGTTCGGTCGGAGGAGTTTTCTGATGGTTGGTATCAAGTTCTAGGAACTTGATTGAGTCGTGGTTGGTTCTGCGTGGTCGATAGGAGTCGATAGCCAGAGGGCGACTTTTTCGTGGGATTTTACTTTTTTGCCTAGAGCTGGTGGAGCAAGGTTGCTAATTAACACGCTAATATCACCACATCAGGCTAGCGTCGAATATTTATTGAATAAGACGCGGCAAAATATATCAAGAACGAAGAACTCCAGCCATACATAACTTTGTTATCTGACAATATGCTAACAATGGTTTCGTGATCCAATTATTCTTTGTGACTGATTCAGCTGCAGACCGCAGAACATGCAGCCAACACCCTGCATAGTCCAAAAAATCAAGGACGGCATGACTGATCCAACAAAACCAGGGGCAAGCTCAGGCGGTGGAACGGAACCTCCTCCACGAAGAAATGGCTTGCCTCCTGAGATATTGGACATCATTTGGCCAGCTATTCAAATTGGTGGTCTCTCTGGTATGCTCCTTCCGTGCAATCAATCCCTTTACCTTGGACACGAAACCTAAAATCTATGCTTCCCTTTCCGACACGTGCCTGCCACGGATACTTTTTGATATTGAACGCTCACAAATCCCTTTACAGGTGTGACCGGAATCATATTTGGAGGGTTTGCCGGCGTTGCTCGCTCCAGTACACCCACATTATTTGCTTTGGCATCAGGCATTCAATGGTTTACTCTTGCGAGTACCTTTTCCGGTAGGCTGGAAATTCTCCTCGTCCTCTTTACTCTCACTAACATAATAATTCCAGCTTCACGGGGATTTGTTCTTCAGTCTTGGGGAGGAGATAAAGTGTCCCCAAAAGAAAAGGTTTCCGTAAGCGCTATAGCTGGTGCATTTGCAGGAAGCGCCGGTGGCCTCTTGAGTTGGTTCCACCCAATTGTATATGTATCCGATCTTCTAACCAAGCTTCACAGGAGGTCGAAAGAATATTTTACCTGGTGCGATTATGTTTGCGCTCTTTGGGGCGGCTGGTCAAGCTGTATACAACAGATCAGCTGCTCAGAATTCAAATATGCCACAGGCAGCCACAGACAAAAGCGAAAAGTTCTCCTGGATGAACTCGAAGTGGAGTCCGATGAGTGTGTTATCAGATGCTGAGTATGAGAAATTGCTGCAAGAAAGACTTCTTCGTATTAATGCAGAGATCGCGTTGGTTGATGAGAATATTGAAGCCCTGAGAGCTCAAGAAAAGGATATTACTGCAAAGAATATTGCATCCGAAAGCAAAGATTTAAACACAACACGTACCTAACGTCCTTTTTGTACTATTAGTAGTTATCAATATAAGTTAAGGGTTCTTTTCCCTGGAATTTGTTCAGAATAACTATAGAGCGACATGAGATTTGCGCTCATTTCTTTTTCTGGTTGATAGGGTAAGAGGGCGCAGTATGAACTAGCGGGAGGGAAAAGCTGGACATGATTAATTTTTTAATCAGGGTATTCAATAAACAGTTTCTACTTTTGTACTTTCAAGACCAGGACTCCAATGCTATGCTATGAAATGACATATACAATTATCACTCGACATCCTCTCCATCATTTGCCTTTTTCTGGGCTGCGGTTCTCACCCACTCCTCCGCCTTGGCCTTGACCTTCTCTTGCGTCTTCTTGTCTCCGTTCTTCTCCTCCCATTCAGACCACCGCTTAAACCAATCCTTGGCCCCCTTTGGCTTGAGACCCTTTGTCTTCACAACACGCTCAAACACCCCACGGATGATATCTTGATCTCCTTGCTTTGTCTCGAGATCGAGAAGTTGACGCCATATATCGAGTCGTTTTGGGAACGTTGATAGTACTCCTTCGAACATGGTACGTCCGCGCTCGGGTGAACCTGAAGCCGAGTTGAACTCGAGATGTGCAAAAACCAATGTGAGACGGAGATGCTCATGCGATGGAAGAGACTGGGTTGCGCGAGGAAGAAGAGCTCGTGCCCGATCTGGGGCCGAAAGGGTGTTGTACAGAAAATCAGCGTAGTTCTTCCACACCCTTGGCGACTGCGAGAATTTCTTGACGAGGGTCTGGAAAAGCTCGTCCGCTTTCTACAAGGAAGTTAGCACTGCACCGAATATTCTTTGAAATGTTGATAACTTACGCCATGCTTGCCAGATTGGATGTAGATGCTCGCCAAGCTCTCGTGGATATCTTGGGCATCATTGTACTGACACGCTCGTTTGAAGGCCTCTTCGAGGGTCTCGTCACTCCCGTAAGCGTTTTCCAGATTGAGCAAAGCAATCCAGACGTTCATTTTCTCTTTGTCGTCACTGATTGTAATAGTCTTTATAGCGCGTTCGGCCACATCTCTTGCCTTGCTGAGCTCACTGAGCTGCATCTGGAAGGCCATATACTCGATCCAAAGCTGCGACGAATCAGGTTGTCCCAGAAGAAGCCTTTCAAAGTCGCTGACAGACTGCGGGCCATTCGCATCGAGATCACCAGTACGATCAATGGTAATAGTTGCCTTTCTCCGCTTCTTCTTCTTCGGCGTGTCATCAGCGTCTTCGTCCTCCGAGTCTTCATTTGCGCGTTTGTCGACCTTGTCCAATGCCTTTGCAGACCAGTCAAATCCACCAGCATTTAGAGCCGGAATGCCTGCACCGGCTTCTAGACCTCCCATAGCAACATCAGAAAGATCGTCCTGCACTTCTAAATCTTCAATGCTTTCAACGTCATCAAGGTCGACTCCTCCATTTTCATCCTCTTCCTCAGAAGACATATCCACATCTTCGTCAGAGCCACCAATCTGTACACCATTCATTCCATCAGAATCACTGTCGTCTTCTGATTCCGCAGCGTCTTCCCCAAAGTAAGAAGCCTTCATCCCAAGGCTGATGCGCTCTTTGTCGTCGTCAAGCTTGAGGATAATGGCTTTCACAAGATCGCCTTCATCGTAGAGCTTTTTGACATCATGAACCCGCTTCTCGGCCATCTCACTCTGGTGGCACAGGCCACGGAGGTTGTTAGAACCATCAACGACGATAAACACCCCAAAGTCCTGGACACTGGCAATCTTGCCCGTAATTATCTGGCCTTTCTTCAGGTCTTTGAAGGTTATAGGTGGAACATAATTCTTGTCAATGACCGAAGCCTTCATGCTCATCTTGATATGGTTCATTGAAGGATCGATTGTTGTGATTTTGCCCTTCACCAGTTGATCGACCTGGAACTCGGATTTCCAATCTTTGATATAGGAATCTGAAATGTCGGAAACCCTTACATAGGCTGAGACATTGCCGCCCAAGTTAACAAACAAACCCTTGTCGGAGACATTCTTGACAAACCCACGAACAACGTCCCCGACCTTAACATCCGAGATCGACGATATTTCGGGATCTTGGACATTGAGTGAAGAGTTCAAGACTTTGGAAGGCCGGGTGGATAATCTAACTTTCTTATTGGGCACGTCTACATCAACGATGCAAACTCGAACAATGCTGTTCTTGGAATATTTCGTGGTATCCGCCTGTGAGAAGTCATCGGCTAAGTCGGTAAGAGTGATAGATCCCGATATGGTGTCGCTAAGGTGCACCACAACGTATCTTTCGCTGACTTTGACCACTTTGCCTGGGACTACCATACCATTGCTCAGTGTTTGGAAGCTTAGTGGTTCCGACGACTGTGTAGAGCGTCCCGAGAGATCTAACCGGTTGTTTGCAACGTCGATGTTTGTGGCACGAACTTTGATGGCCGATCCGACGGGGAAATTGCCTTCGAGGTCCTCCATCAAAGACAAATTGTCGGATACATCGAATGCATTGATGCGCCCTCGAACATTTGGCGACAAATTTACCCACAAACAGTTTTCTGAGACGTTGTTGACGAACGCAGTCCAAGAAGAGCCGATCTTAACCTTGTCCAGGGTGAGCGGATCTTGTAGGGAGCCCGTTTGGTCACTACGCTTAGCGGACAATTCGAAGACCAGCGATTTGCCAGTTCTGTGAGTTATGGGGAGGAAACGATGATTGCGAGCATCATGTGTTCCCATAATCCGCACGTCGATAATCTGCTTGGCGGAAAATCGTTTCAAAGGACGCTTCCGGTCCTTGATTTCGTCCCACGAGTCGAACACCTGCGAGACATCGATACGGCCTTGAATATTGTCTGCCAGTTGAACATTGATTTGCGTGTCCTTCACTGATACGACCCTCGCTTTTGTCAATCTTCCAAGCTTAAGATCTCCGAGTGAGGTAACTGTGTCATCGATGGGATTGGAAACCTCCTGACTGGCGGCGTCTTCCTGGTCCGCAAGCTTCTGAGAGATCATTTGGTCGGCATCAAGGTTAATCATAGAAAGTAGGAACCTCTTGTCGCTATGGTCTACCGAAGTTACTTTGACTTTCACAGATTGATATTTCTTCAGCCCAAAATCTGGAAGCTCGGTGGCCTCTTCGGGCAACTTATTTTTTGGAAGTAACCCAGTGAGTCCACCTCCAAATTGCACAAATACAGCAGTTGCGATTGTGTTTTTGACAAACCCGTGAACAACTTTATTCTCTCGTACATCATCAAAGCCTCGCAAGAGAGTACGCTCTTTTGCAGCTTTGACGAGACTTGGCTTGTTTGTTAGCACGACAAGACGTTTTGAGTCGAGCTTCTCAAGCACAGCTAGATCCTTGAGAGTTTGTCCAACCCTGATTTTCTTCAAAGCAGAAAGATTTTTCGAAGAAGATTTGTCAGTAAGCTGGACGGCGGGAAGCGTGGCGTGCAGACCTAGACCCTCTATCTCAAGAGAGATATCATCACTGGATTTCTCTGTGACAACACCGGAAACTATATCGCCAACTTTTAGTTTCTTCAATGCTGTCTGTTGAGCAAGTCCGAACACCGAAGGATCTTTACAGGATACAGTCAACTTTCCCGCTTCCGGGTTGACCTTCAGCACATGGACATTGACCACCTGGCCAACGCGGAAATGTAGCTTTGGGTCTTGAATATATGCCTCGCTCATTTCAGCCACTGGCAAAAATCCTCGAACTGTGCCATAGAACTGAACGACAGCACCAGTCGGAAGGATATTGACAATGGTACCAGGACTCTGCATGCCCACATCGATATCCTCATACTTGAGAAAGGGTTGCGACTCCGAGTTGACTAAAGTTTTCTTCAAAGTGAGTCGGATTTGGCGTTTGCTAGCATCCGTCGAAAGTACTCTCGCTGTTACAGCCATGCCCTCCTTGAATTTCTTCTCTGGATGAAGCAATTGAACATCTGCCATGTGGGTTTCTGGGACAAGCCCAGTGATGCCTTCGGCTAAATTGACTAGTACGCCGCCTACACCAGCTGCGTTCAGCACGATCTTCTCGACCTTGCCTTTTACCACCTCGCCGATCTTCAAATCTTCTATTTGCAAGAACGGCTGCTCAAGAACACTTGGTTCTAATGACATGAGATATTCTCCATCAAGAGCATTATAGCCGATAACCCTTCCTCGATGGACGGAGTCTGTTTTGTATGGCCCAGAGGTCTCGGACAGGGTCTCAATCTTGCCATCTTTCACCCTCGATATGTGTACGAATCCGGACACGCCTTTCACGCCTACATCCACAAATAGGCCAAGCCCGGACTCAACCTTTCGCACGGTAACTTCCTCCACGATGGTCGAGGATGGTAGGGTTACCAGAGGGGCTTGTTTCTCGCCATCTTTGATGGCTTGCTGTGGTGCGAGAGCCATTACGTGGTCTAGCAGAGAAATCCCTAGCTTCGGCGGGTCAGAGGAGGGAAATGTACATATAATTCTGCCTCTGATTTTCGATCCAAGCTTGTACTTCTTTTCCAGATCTTTCCCACTGGACCCAGCACCAGAATGTATCAAATCAGCTGTCACATCGACCATACCCATGACCTTCCCAGCAAGGCCCCTAGGTGTAATGTCCGCTACCAAAATCTCAACAGCTGTGCCAGGTAGAAAGGCATCCACTGTAGGAGCCTCGGTGAGATAGTTCAGCTTCTTCAAATTGGCGATCTTGTGCGTGTCTGCGGATAACTTGATGATCTTCCCGTTGGAGCTTAGTCCAGTCACCATACACAGAAAGACAGATCCCTCTTGAACAGCAGATATATCAAGGTCATGCCCAATCTCCTTCGATGACATGAAGCCTCTTACAGTATTATCATTGGTTCCAACGTCCATAACAAGACCGTGATCCTCAACACTGGCAACAGATGCCATGAGCATGCTGTTGGTAATGATATTCTGGGAAGCAAGGGCGTTATTAGACTGCTGTGGTCGCAGTGACAACTCTATACGCCTCTTGGATTTTCCAGATGTAGACGTAGTGTCATCGCTTGTAGAAACAACATAAGCTCGAAGATATTGGCCTTTCCAAAAGAGTTTCTCCAGTTCGATTTCGTCCTCCTCGTCGTGATTATTCTCGGCGGCTGCAATCTTTTCGATTCGTTGGGTGACCTTATCTGAAATTGATGTTATAGGCACATATCCCGTCAGATTGTTTGGTAAAGAAAGAGCAATATCATGGTCGTTGATTTGCGATATTTGGCCTAGGACGAGCGAGCCGGGGACAATTCGCTATAGATTATTGTATTAGTCGTAGAAGCTTGTGGTTTAGGAGAGTATAAATACTTTGTAACTTAAGCCCTCAATTTTGACGCTTTCCTCTTCTTCCTCGGCCTGCTCATTGGGCTTTTTGCCCTTTGCCTTCGATTTTGACTTCTTTCTCGCGGACGTGACAGCATCGCCCTCCCCATCGGCCTTTGCGTTTTGTTCGAATAACACATCCTGAGTAGCTTCGATTTGGATCTGTTTATGCTCTAACGGAGTCAAAATACTCGCTCCACCTCTGGGGAAAGCAACTTCTTCGTCTCGTTCATGTGAAATCTTTGTTGGTCCTGCGACGGGTTTTCTATCTTCATCGGGCCTTATTCTCTTCGATGGCCGGTTGTCCTTGTCTGATGGATTCCTAGTCCTGGCAAATGAATCGTTGGTAGGCGCATTCTTGCGCTTCTTCTCAATTGCCGCCATTGTGGAGAATATTGAGTTGTCACGGCCGTAAATTCCGTGTGGTCTCAAATATTTTGAGAGGGGGAGGGAGGATATTGAAATTTTGAAGCTGGGACCAATTTTTTCCTGGGTTCTTTATTATTCTGCCGTTGGGGACCGCCTAGTTATTGCGGGGCATTCACAGCCAACCGGCATCACAATAAAGCAAGACAACACCAGGCTCACCAAAGCGCCACCTTCTTGCTCGGGTCAGACAGAAGTCTATAAACATCTTGAGCACGCATCCACGATTAGAACACATCAATAAGTTTAGACTTTATTCTCTTTTCATGGGACCGTTACGCAAAAAGTCCAAACCAAATCCATCCAATGTGGCCGAGCCAGCCCCAGAGCCCGAGCCCGAGCCAGACTCCACGGGCACAAATGATCAACTCGCCGGGAATCTCCTCATGACACCATCCAAAGCCCCAGCAACGGTTGAGAGCTCCAGAAATGTCAAAGATGCCCAAACCGAAGATGGCCCCACTCCTTTGAAGGGAGTCAAAGAGAGCTCTGTTAAGCAGGTGGGTTCTCTGAATCATGGGTCACTATCACATAAAGTAATCAGAAATCTACAGGTCAAACCAAAAAGCAGTTGGTATGGCACATGGCCTCGAAAGAGTATGGCTTCTACACAGCTTGCTAGGGAGACCATTCTAGCAGACAAATCAAGGAATGGCTCCTCTTCGAACGACCTGAATCAATTCGAGCCGAAAAGGCCTCAAGCCCTGAGCGCCAGCAGACCACCTTCTATGTACCTTGGAAAAAGTAAAGAGACATTGGATGTTACTATGGGTGGGACACTCGATAGCACTGGTCCTCTCAACAAGGAGCCCCCGAAGCTGGACACTTCTTTATCTGTTGCCACCGATGGAACGTCTGGATCAAAGACGCCCGAAGATATACCTGCTAAGCCAGCATCTGAGATCACAATGGAAATGAGCTCTGAGAGACCTATAACGTCTTCCGGTTGGCTTGGCGGTTGGCTCAGCAGACCAGCCTTGCAAAATCAAGACCTACCGCAGAACAATCCAGAAAGTCCAAAGGCCCCATCTACGGAGGAACCACAGGAACTCCCTCCTCCTAATGTACAGGAGGCTGAAGATACTCAACCAGACCCAAATGTAACGGGATCGTCATGGTTTGGATTGTGGTCAGCAGCAGCGCCGTCAACTGCCGTAGATACAACCGAGACACAACTACCTGTTGTCACATCAAAAGAGGACGGAGATACAGTTATGGAAGATGTGCCAACCCCAAAGCTCGACTCTGAGCCGGCTACTGGGTCCTCATGGGCTTTTTGGTCGACTGACACGGCTAAAAAGTCTGCAAATACTTCAGAGGACACCCCAAGTTCGGGTGAGCTAGCGGTTGCTGGAGAATCATCTCAGAATCATCCCGAACCCGCAAAGGCTGTCACGGTGAAAGAAACTAAGAAAACTAAGAAAGAGAGTAAAAGGGACCGGCCACAGTCCCTCGAAGTGGAGGACTCTTCCCGAAAACTGGCCAATCAAGAGTCTGTAAAGGGAACATCTTTGCAAAGCCCTGCTCCAATGAAGATTTCTCCACCGAATCTATTACTTCCATCAGTAGCGCAAACATACCGACTAGTTGAAAACCCATCGATTCTGCAACAACTAGCAAGACTTCTGCTTCGTAGTCACCAACCACCTATGAAACATGTCTTTTTGACAAAGGATCCTCCGAAGATTAAGAAGGCTCTCGCAATTGGGTAAGTACGGGGGATTTTTACTCCGTGAAAGACATGCCCTTGTTGATCAATTATTAACATGGCGTGACATAGCGTCCATGGCCTTTTTCCCGCTCCTCTTTTACGCAAGGTGATTGGGGAACCTACCGGAACCTCTATTCGATTCGCAAACCATGCAGCAGAAGCTATAAGGCGATGGACCGATTCCCATGGCTCTATTGATTGTGAGATAGAAAAAGTTGCTCTTGAAGGCGAGGGGAAGATCGCAGAGCGCGTAGACAATCTTTGGAAACTTCTCCTGAATTGGATTGATCATATTCGCAAAGCCGACTTTGTCCTTCTCGCATGCCATTCTCAAGGCGTGCCAGTTGCCATAATGCTAGTGGCTAAGCTGATAGAATTTGGCGTTGTCACATCTGCTCGCATAGGGGTCTGTTCGATGGCAAGTGTTTCTCTCGGACCATTCTCGGATTACAAGTCTAGGTTATTCGGGGAGTCTACCACTGAACTGTTCGAATTTGCAAACGCTGAAAGCACTGTTTCGAAACGGTTAGTTGTCTTGCCCACCTCTTATCGAAACTCCAACCTTAACATCAGTAGGTATGAGGACTCTTTACGTATTTGTTTGCAGTACGGAGTCAGAATTACATATTGCGGCTCTATCGATGATCAACTAGTCTCTTTGGAGTCCTCTACATTCTCAAGAGCTAGTCATCCATACATCTTTCGGACTGTTTTCGTTGACGGTCGATTACATGCTCCGGATTTGTAAGTTTTAATACTAATTAAAGTATCGCATTCCCTATTAACACATTTACTCTAGCATCTCCCATCTCGTAGGCTTTGCTCTCAAGCTGCGCAACCTCGGGGTGTCTGATCACGGCCTCATCCGCGAACTCTCAGCGCCACTTGCTGGCAGTCTAGTTGGTGGAGAAGGTCACTCTCGTTTGTATGACGACCAGAGAGTTTATGAGTAAGTTTAGGTGGCCTCAGTACGGTTTGTTACTAATTCCCTCCAGCCTTTCGATTGAATACGCTCTGGAAACGACTTCTGTTGGTGATGTTCCATTGGAAATAAAGAAGTCCGAGGGCCACAACAGTTCTAATCCATATGTCCTCCCATGGATCATGCGAGGTCTCTTGGAAGAGGACTTTGTCAAGACCGAGCTTAGCTCTGAAACAACCGAGCTTTTGAAGCAATTTGATGATTGGAAACCGGCTACTAAAGTGCTGAAAGATGTCAAATACCGACTGGAAGCTGTTAGGTCGAAGCTTTGAATACACCGGATAAGGAAAGGGATGGGTCGGCGCGGGGATACACATGGGTAGACTGGGTAGATGGAATCCCTCACTGGATGGCTTTGAGCTGTAGATTTTGCACCGATTAAAAGAAATGATACCCGTATATGAAATAAGAGGTCTACGGTCACTGAGTGAGGAAGTATTGTACCTAATAATGCTTTCTATGGCCTGGGCCTGTTTTGCGTCTCCTCCCCTCCCCTGCAGCTGCCTTGCTTAGTTAGCGCTGCAAGGCTACGCGACCCAAATCAGGTGCAGGACAGGACAGGAACCTTCACTCTTACTTCTTACCACAACAAAACATATCATACCCTACAGCGCATTTTGCTCTTGCAGATCTAAATATTGTTTTACTTACTCACGCGACTGTGTCTGCGCATTCTACGGTGAAAAAGATGTTCAAGAACTCCCGGATCAAGGCTGCGCCTAAAGTAGTCCGAACTGAGCAGGCCCCCGTCGCAAAGAAACCGCAACCACTCCCTTCGAAAATTGCTTTCTCGGCGCGAAGACAACAGCAGATCGCTCGTTCGAATGCTTCTTCGTTAAGGTCTTCACCAGCGATTTCAAACAGGTCCAGTCCCCTAACATCGCCATCGGAGGACCACGAGCTATCATCGCGCCACCTCCAGGTTCCAAAGCGCAAGCCTATACGACAAAGTTCACCTTCTGATCGACCCAAATTCGATGAGTCTGATGATGATGAGGATGATAGCACTTCGTTCGAGCAACCGGCTCAGAAGCGACAGAAGGTGCAAGATAAAGTTGGAAGGAAGAGGCAACTTCGGTCCTGGAAGGCTTTCTCTGATGGTGATGGAGGGAAGTTCAAAATGATCCACGCTGCTGAAATCGTTGCGCCTTTGAGGAAACCCAAGGCTGTAGCGGATACTTCTATTGAGGATGTGATCGTGGAGTTACAATACCCCAGTGCTTCGCAGAGGGAAAGGTACATGTTTATTTCTAATTCTAAGACCTGAAAGCTAATGATATCGATAGATATGACCTCCACTTCGGCAAGGACAGAATTGATTCAGTAGGAGAGATCATCGAAATCGCCAAAGTTGTCACGGAGGTCTATTTAACAGACAAACAAGCGGACCCCTTTCTGGGCCAAGACAATGGGAAGGTCATTCGAGAACTCGAGAAGGCCAGGAATACCTTACGGAAAGAACCCACCCAAAGTCGACGGGAAGATTTCAAAAAGGCAGTGGATGATTACAACACAGCTATTCAGATGCTTATACAGGATGGCGCTCTCGCGAAGAACCTCGACAATCGATATGATCTACCTCTTAAAATGGTCCAGTTGATATTGAAGCAAGTGTATGACCGCGCAGTCTCACCTGACGTGGACTCGTTACGGAAATATGAGGCCGGCTCGGACAATGTTTATGGTGAACTACTTTCGCCTTTGGTCGATCGAATTTTCGACAAGACAAAGATTACCTCAGATCAAGTTTTCGTTGATCTTGGGTCCGGTGTTGGTAATGTTGTACTACAAGCCGCTCTACAAATTGGCTGTGAGAGCTGGGGCTGTGAAATGGCGCCCAATGCATGCAAGTTAGCAAAGGCCCAGAAAAAGGAATTCAAGGCTCGGTGCCGACTCTGGGGGATTGCAACTGGCGAGGTACATCTGGTGGCAGATGATTTTACGACGAACAGGCCGATCCAGGACGCTATGAAACGTGCGGACGTGATTCTTGTCAATAACGAAGTCTTCAGCTCTGAACTGAACCATACTCTAAACCTCCTGTTCCTGGATTGCAAAGACGATTGCAAGATTGTATCACTGAAATCTTTTGTCCCCGAAGGCCACCAGATCACCGCGCGCAACATAGGCAACCCTGCAAATGTTCTCGATGTGAAGAAACTTCAATACTACCGTGGCGATGTAAGTTGGACAGATGCAGGTGGTGATTATTACATTGCCACGAAGGACAGTCAACGTCTTGCGGACTTCGAGAGATAATAGAACTGTCCAGTTCTTCCGCCACTTTTTCACCGTCGTGTTGGATACCCCCAGGTAGAATGAATAATGCAGAATGTTGAATGTATTATGCACAATCGACGTCCCTTCTCCATGCATGTAATCCGTATCATATACAGCGTCGGAGGTCGTCCTTCCCTTCGCTTTGGTCTCTAATGGAGCGTGCTATTCATCGCTTCCACTTCCCTGCTCTTATAAACCATCCATCGATCGATGAGTTCCTTGTTCTCAGCTTTCAGCTTCGTAGTCGCCTGTCCCGACAGGTTGAGTTCCATGTCGAGCGAGATAACCTCATCCTGGACATCCTTGTACATGTGAGTATGATTCCACAGTATGTCCAAAAAAGTAGCCCTACACTTAGCAATTTGGCCTTGCCTCTCAACTCCTCTTCCTTATCCTTGAGTTTCTGCGCCAGACTACCCCGTTCCCTAGAAAGTTCGTCGATAAGCTTGCCGTCCGATTTACTCTTGGCTCGTAGTTTGGCCACCTCGGCCTCTGCTCCTTTTATACGTGATTGGAGTTGCCCGTTGGAGCGCAGGGCCTCTGCTAGGTCACTCCGGATCTGGGATGTCCCTTCGGTTGGTGTGGTGGTGCTAGGCTCTCGAGGTTTGGAGTCTTGGGCATGGGGTTCTCTGGAGGCTTTTTCTGCCTCAAGCGCTGTTGTGCGGTCGAGTAGCTGCGTAACTGTAGAATTAAATTTAGTAGGCGATGTTTGGTTGCTGGCGTGTGCATGGAGGATAACTCACAGGCCTCAATAAGCTGGTCGTCTACCTGCTGATAGCTAGCCTTTTCCCGTCGGTCTCTTTCATGGAGGGCCTGAATGTATTCGTTGCGCCAAGATGCCATTTTGTTTCCTGGGAATGGCACTGGATAGAGTACATCGCTGGAGAGAGAGTTCAGGATATGTAGAATAGAGTGGATGATTACGGGCAGAGTCAGATCCAAGGCTGCATGAGAGTGAATCAAAGCGGAGAGGTGGTCCAAGGCTACCGTTGTGTTTGATAGGCTGAAGCTTGTTTTCTAGACTGGACCTCATGAAGCTCCACTCCGCCTTCTCTCACTTGTAAACAGACAGACTCCACACGACCGCAACGACAGTTCCCGAATACACAACCTAAACGACCCTAGATACAGTCGCTGGCGAATTTCGATACGATACACGTTGCACCACTCGTTTCAGTCAAATATATCATAGTGCACGACTTGGGAACGGTCAACAACTTCGTTATCGCGCCTAAACTCGATCTCCTCCTATAATCAACATGTCTTCCCGAAAGAAGGTCCTCTTGAAGGTATGCTCATTGTAGTCGTGTCTAGTAGTCTAAAAGATATCTGCTGACCGGTGTCCTTTTCAGGTCATAATCCTGGGTGATAGTGGTGTCGGGAAAACGAGTTTGATGAACCAATATGTACGTCAACACTCACATATTACGGCTCCGAACAAGAGACTTACGGGAGATATACTCTGGGATATGGGCTGATTTCCGGCTAGGTCAATAAGAAATTCAGCGCAAGCTACAAAGCTACGATTGGTGCGGACTTCCTTACCAAGGAGGTGTTGGTGGACGATCGGTTGGTGACGATGCAGGTACGGGTGTCATCATGCTCGATTTGGCAAAGCCAAGGGCTAATAAACGTGTAGCTTTGGGATACTGCCGGGCAAGAGAGATTTCAGTCGTTAGGTGTGGCCTTTTACAGAGGAGCAGACTGCTGTGTCCTAGTGTACGATGTCAACAACTCCAAGAGTTTTGATACTCTTGATAGTTGGAGAGACGAGTTCCTGATCCAAGCATCACCAAGAGATCCGGACAACTTCCCATTCGTAAGTTAGCATACTGGTCCAAGGAACTATTTGCTAAGCTAGGTTACAGGTTGTACTCGGTAACAAGATTGATGTAGAGGATAACAAGAGAGTGGTAAGCCTTATTTGCCCATAGTTGAAGCTTTTTGCTAATCCCGTATCAGATATCTGCGAAACGCGCCATGACTTTCTGTCAATCGAAGGGTGGAATCCCTTATTTTGAGACGAGCGCAAAAGAAGCTATCAACGTTGAGCAAGCATTTGAGGGTGAGTACTACTTTATGAGACTGTTCTCCAAAAATGGCGGCTAATATACAATCTAGTTATTGCAAGAAATGCGCTGGCTCAAGAGGAATCAGAAGAATTCAGTGGCGATTTCTCGGATCCTATTAACATTCATATCGAGAACGACAGAGATGGATGCGCATGCTAGAATCGTATAGCTTCTGTTCCTTCTGCTGGATATTGCTAATAGTGCATGTTCTCATTCTCTTTGCACTTTTCTTGTCTGAGCTTGATGTTGCTCACGGGGGAGAATAGTTCCCATGTGTACATAACGATCATTGATGGCGCTGTGGCGTCTGCTTCTCTTTCTCTATACATGACTTCTCATGCTCTTATGACGAGGTACCTGGTTTATGATTCTGGTTTCCTTTTCGACACCGTTTTGTCTATAGAATGAACTCCTTTCTATACCATAATGCCGAGATAATATATCATATATCGGACTCGATTACGATGATAAAAGTTTCTCGTGGAACAGTAACGATGAAGGTTTAGTTAATGCGGGGTGGAACTTCCTAACTGACAAAGGTTAGATCTGACTCGGAAACGGAACATGTTCCATCTATAGGGCATCAGTCATCCTTGGTAAATGTAGATGCCAACCCAACCCAAACCCTCGAAGAAAACCAATAACATGATCCATCTGTTCTTCCATTTACCTGCGGCACAGGGACGATACTAAAGACCCCCCTGCCGAAAGAATTCGCGACTTGATTCTTCCCATATTTCCATGAGCCTGCCATTCCTATTTCTATGCCTGCAACCGCCGTGACAGGACCTCTACCTCACGACCACCATCTAAATTTCCAACTATGAGTGCAGAGCCACCCCTTCCACCGGCAGCTGCGGAAGAACTCAGACACTCTTTCGACACGCCATCAATATCGCGTCAGAGACTGTCGCTGTCCTCTCAGCGATCCTCCCAACTCAAGCCTGGGGGTTTCAAAGCTAGCCTTGGGCTGCAAAATATAGGCCGGAGAGCCTTAGGAATCTGTCTTCTTCTAGTCACGGTCTTCCTATGGACGGCTTCAAATTTCCTCGCCAGCGTAGGTTCAATCCTGTTCTATCCGTGCCGGCGTGTGGGGTTGGTTGCTAACATGCCGCCAGTACATATTCGCAGATAACTCGTATTCGAAACCATACTTCGTCACCTATATCAACACTTCCTTCTTCGCTATATCTCTCATTCCTATCATACTGCGGATTGGTCATCAACATGGCTTTGGACACATGCGAACGTCGACGATAGAATTTTGGCAGGGCCGGATGAATGGTTACAAGGGCATTGGGAAATCGGATGGAGAGGAAGATGCAGAGGATCCATTGTCGGCCTCACAGACACGCTTGCTCGTCGACGATGAAGGAGGACAAGGAGGGCCAGCCTTGAGCATGTCCGGCGATCCGCAGCCGCCAGAAGGACAACTCAGCGTACCCGAAACGGCCGTTCTGAGCTTGGAGTTTTGCATGCTTTGGTTTTTGGCCAACTACCTTGTCGCAGGCTGCTTGGAATACACGAGTGTGGCCAGCTCGACCATCTTGACATCTACAAGCAGTATATGGACGCTTATTTTTGGTGTTCTGTTCCGAGTAGAGGGTTTCTCGTATAAGAAGCTCATTGGGGTTTTGGCATCTTTGGCAGGCATCGTCCTCATTTCTTCCGTGGATCTATCAGGGAAGGACAACGATGAGAACCGTGGGAACTTTCCTCACAAGTCTCAGAGCGAGATTGCGATTGGAGATGCCATGGCGTTTGGAAGTGCTATTATGTATGGCATGTACGCCATTGTTATGAAGAAGCGGATTGGGAACGAAGACCGTGTCAATATGCCGCTCTTCTTTGGCCTAGTGGGACTGTTCAATGTCGCTTTCTTGTGGCCTGGATTCATAATCTTGCACTACACGGGGGTAGAGGAATTTGAGCTGCCTCCTACGGGAAAGATCTGGACTATCGTGCTGGTGAGTACATTGTTCCATATCCTGAGAGCATATCTAACACATTGCAGCTCAACTCAGCATCCTCATTCATCGCGGATTACTCTTGGGCGTATGCAATGGTAGGCTATCTTCCCTCGATCTCGTGCTTATTCTGGGAGCCGAGCTCTTGCATTCTGATACGAAGCTTGACTCCTGAAATATCTCTTGGAAGCTCATACTAACTTTATCCATAGCTCCTTACTACCCCATTAGTCGTAACAGTAGGATTATCATTGACCATCCCGCTATCCCTAGTAGGGCAAATGATTTTGAGCCATCAGTACTCGAGTGCTCTGTACTGGGTCGGGGCATGTGTGGTCCTCCTGTCATTCTTATTTATCAATCATGAGAGTAAAGAGGAGGATGAGTCTCAGGTGGCGTGGCATGATGAGGAAGCTGCTACTGCTTGAATAGATTATTGTGCTTTTATAGATCGAGAATATACTAAATGATACCTATTTCACGCTAGACAGACTGGAATACTTGTCTATTAATGCATTTCATTATTCATGTTCTACTAGGTATCTGGGTATCGTTCAATGAGCCATCCGGGCAAACAAGAATCCGAGTCCTGTGTATAACCCTGTAGCGTAATATTAACCGTTCAAGGCTCTCAGCACTACTCCTCCCAATGCAGTTCTACCAGCAACGCTCATCATGTACAATCGTTGCTTCGTGTTCTGATATCCCATATACAATGGTATCCAATGATAGTCTTTCGTCTAGACCGATCCAGTCCTAGTCATGTGCAACGTCAACGTCCTCGTCTCGTTCACATCTTGTTCCTGCCCATGGCGTATACACGCAGATTGCTCACCCTTCTAAAACCTAATATACCACACTAAAAGCATGGCGAAAGTTGCCAGTACAGGCACCGTCACCGTATGACTCTGGATCCACGGTCTCTCTAGAGAGCCAGGGTCTTTCGACTTGGCATCATTCGCAAATGAAACATGCGGTAACGACCTGAAGTTGATGAGCTTTGCCGTGGGTCCAGCAAATAGAATATCCAGATAACTGGATTTCGGTTTCAAAGCTATCTCCGGCTCCGCGGCGGTCGACATTTTCCGTAACATACGTTCCCGTGAAACAAAGACGCTGTCTCGACTTGTCATCAGATTGGGTGAGTGCAAGAACAACGCGGCCATTTCGAGATCCTCGGCGGATGTCTTCATGATAGAATCAAGCTCGCCAACCAACTGAAGCATGAACCTGAAAATATCCTGCGCTTCTGCAACGATATCGTCCTTCTCGCTCTGAGTTAAGAGGAGCTCAGCCTCCGCAATCCGCTTCTTGAATTCCAGTTTGATGTCCTCGCCATCCTCGTCGCCGTCAAAATCGAAGAACAATAGTCCGGGGGTGATCTTAGGAATATCGCCATCAAACCATGACTTGACGCGTTTGCGTCCACGTCCAGATTTCCCTTCTGGGGGCGACCATATGCCAGACGGCTCGGAAAAGACTACTTCGGCTTCCTGGACTTCACGCACGTCTCCGGTAATGGCATGGGGTCTGACTGGCGATGGTTTCCGGTCCCAGAAGTCTTGGCCCATGCCCCCAGCTGTTTTCAACGAGGCGCGCAGATACCTCCCGCCTGAAAAGAGCGCCATGTATAGAACCCACGCATAAGCCACCAGGACATGTGGGTTCTTCTGGGCAGACTGCTTTGTGTGGGCTATGAATTTCGCTACCTCGCCGTCTCGTGCGATAGCAGCCAGTTCTTCGTCGATCTTCTCCTCTGATTTGCCGGTGAGGGTATGTATATCTGCGCGTAGGCGTCCGCCCGCGGAAGGCCTGGAAGCAGGAGGTGGGATAGGAGGGAATGGGTCCGCGAGCAGACCTTTCGAGTGCTCTCTTTTCGAGGACGGGCCGTGTTTAATCTGTCCAAGTCTTCCTGCGACCGACACTCGTTCTCTAGACTTGTAGGAGGGCATGGGGTATCCAGGATGGTTTGCCATAGGGACTCGAAAGTCACATATATGGGCGCGACATGAAGCAGTCCAGAGACGTATTTAGAGGAGTTCGTGGTGTGTGGTGGGAGGGCCAAGGGAAGCCGTACGAGAATCAGCTTGTTGAGTTGTGTGTGTAGTGAACGTGTGGAACTATTAACTGAGACGATGTTAGTAGGAAAGGAAGTTGGGGTTGGCTAGTTTAGGACTTACTTCGATTTGACAAGGAGAGCACCTCCTCGGGAGGAGTAGAACTGTCGGCCATATTCGCGGTAGGGGTGTATGCGAAAAGTAGGGAACGAAGATGGAGGGGATAATGGGGGTTTTGGAGTAGGATAGTGGGCTGATTAGAAACAACTTATTCCGGGTGACTGTAATACAGATTGCGTATCATGTCCAACTATCTGATGACTTGGCTGCTTGTTTGCACCTTGGCATAGTAGTAGTGAACGGGAAAGGAGGCTCGAGGGTAGGATATACTGTAGGTAGAAGGGGATGGATGTATGTAGGAGGCCGTCGATATGAAAGAACGTCTAAGGCCCACCGTCTGCATCTGACCAAGACATGTGTGGAGGAGTATGTGTATGCTGCTCCTGCTCCTGCCCCTGCCCCTGCCCCTGCCTACCTAGATACCTTCAAGGGCCTTACCTCTCTATTTTTGTTTTTTAGAGTTCTCCAGCCGGCTATAGATTTTGCGCCATGGCTGCCATGCCATGTACCCCGTCTCCGTACAGTGAAAAACAAACATCCGCGCTTAAAGGCGGAGTAGATCGGCGCTCGGCAGATCGGCAGACCGGCGTTCAGTACTGTACATAAGATGAGATGAGATGGGATGGCGAGGATGGGCATGTAGGATAAGATAAAGAATCGCATGTAATCGTCCACCAGGTCTGGTGGTACTAAATAGGCTTAGCACGTCCCACCAGATCATTCGTATCTGCCATCAAAAGAATCAGAAGCTCTCATGATAGGCCTACAGCTACAGCCTGGATTGTTCCTTTTCCAGAGAAGGTATGCTAGGACGTTGAAATGCTACGAACCATTCTAATTTATTTCCTTGCAGAGACTCATTCACTGCTCAGCGAGCACTTTTTTGAATATCATCATGCGATATCTGACACAGGTCATTTCTGGGCTGCATGATGAGGTCGTGGTTATAAATCGGTAATTATTAGACTTCTTGGGTCTTGGATCGCCAGTCAAACGAGGGAGAAAGAAGTAAAAAGGGCAAGTTGCTTTGTTATTATATCATACTTATATTTATTTTAGCAACACAACAAGGCGTGCTGCAGTTATGATGATGTCGGATGTGATGTTATAGTGTGATGCGATGTCTACTTGGGTGATTATTCATGAGATGAAAAGGGGGGTAAGTCTCGTGACTTCACGATAAAACAATGAATCGAGTCGTCAATTCTGCGAGTGTATCATTAGTGACATACTCCTATATATTGCTACAAGATTGGAAGTTTGTAAAGAAAGGAACCAATGATCGAGTCTCTAGCGCTATTTATGTCATGGTATATGGGACATGTGAAGATATGAAGTCAACATGTTAGGATAGACGATGTAGTGCCAGTTCACGATTTAGCTATAAACAAGAAAAATATCTATGAATCCGCCGACTAAGTGCCGATTCGAATCTCGACCAATGATTTACTACCGTAAAAATCCCGTTTCTTTCCACGCCTGAATATATTTCAATACCAACTCTTCACCCACCGCCTCCAATCCCCTGAAAGTATCCGAATGCTCTTTACTATGCGCCGTATCAAGAATCAATCCTCCGCACGACATGCGTTCGAAATCATCATTGAAGAAATCCACCAGTCGAGCTGCTGGGTTCTCGGAAACTAAACTTGGTGGAAACTCGCGAACTCGACGTATCCACTCCTTATAGGAGATAGTATTTGCCTGTGGTACGCCAAGTGCTTCCGCGAGAATGGGGATCATATCGCGCCAGGACTGTCTGACTGGATTCTCGATGTGGTATATTGGGTATGCCGTTGTGTCTCCAATGAGCAACTCCCCCAGTGTGGCGGCCACATCATTGACCGGGCACCATGACAGCACCTGTTGGAAGGTTAGTATAACTAGGTACTAGCAGATAGAGATAACACCAAAACGCAACTTACCCCATCTAAATCTGGTAGGACATTGAGCGTCTGCGACGACTTGATCAAATGTGCTAGATGTTCTACTGGATTCCAGAGCCCATTCGTCTTTGAGCCCGAAATCTGGCCTATTCGCACCACCATGGTGCGGAAGTCGTCAGGATGATGGTGCAGGGTCTCGTCCAGCATATATTCGCAAACGAGCTTAGCATCAGCGTAGCCCATAGGTAGAACAGAGTCCACGGCCACTCTCTCTTCAGGTGCCAGAGCTTTGCCGCTCACGAAAGGATGGTAACCCATTACTGAGACAGATGAGACGAGCTGAAATCCAATTTTCGGGTCGTTTGGCTGCTGATGACATGCGCATTCGCGGGCAAAGTCAATCAGATTCCGCATGGTCTTGATCTGAAGCTCGAAGGCGCGTACCGGACGTGTCATACTCATTGCCCATGCATTGTGAACGATGAGGTTAACGGACTTAGCTAGGCTTTTATAATCGGCAGCAGATAAGCCCAACATCGGTTTAGACGTATCGGTTTCGAGAACTTGGAGTTTTGATGAAGCTTCCTTGCTAAGGAGCAGTCCTCTCGATTCAAGCGCTTGTCGCTGACGGACTGCACCATCTATGCGACCAATTCTGTTTAGGCAGATGACTTTGTGGATGTCTGGTTGAGAGGCGAAATATTCAACTAGGTGGGACCCTAAGCTCCCTGTGGCCCCGGTTACCATAATACAGCGGCTTAGATTGATAACCAGATCGGACACGGGAAACGAGACTGGGGCGGAGAAGTGTCGAGTGTACTTGTCGACAAAGGAATCGACTACAGCTTGACGAGCAGCAAAGTTAGTCGTATGGTTCGAAAGACTTTTAGGGAGGATAGGTACCCGATCATAGCTTGGGCCAGAAGCAAGTGCAATGATGATATGCTGAATGGAATTTTCGGGTAGCTCTCCGTCGCTCCAATCGACATGGCCATAGCCGTTAGAGCGCAAGGTCTTTTCCCACAAGGAGGGTTGCGCGAGAGCGTGTTGTTGCTCGACGCGATCATCGTCATCGAAGAGCCACCACCCTTCAACAAGTCCAAATACTGAGTCGACCCAGGGTATATTTTTTGCCATCTCGAGCATGCAGAGGAAGCCATCAGGACGAAGAAGGCCGTGGATGTTCTTCGTTGTCCTTACCAAGCTATGAGTAGCGTGGACACAGTTCGTCGCAAGCACAACATGCTGGAGATGCAGAAGTTCAGCTGGGGGTGGCTTTTCGACATCGAGAAGTTGGAAACGCATAAAGGGGTGATGCTTGAACCTTTTTCGGAGGCCTGCCACCAACGATGGGGAAATGTCTGTAACTGTGTACTCGAATGTGATACCCGAGGCAGCCAAGATTGGTACTAGTCGTGCGGTCGTTCCACCGGTGCCAGCACCCAATTCCAATATGGAGATCGGCTCACTCTGCCTGGGTAAGCGGAGTAATAACTGCTTCCAAAAGTGTTCCAGCTGAGCGATCCAGGCCACGTTCATTGGGGATAGGGCGTAAGTGCCTGCAACAAGTTCTCGCCCTTCTGGCGTACCAAAGATCAACTGTATGCCGTCGGTCTTGCCCGTCAGGCAATCCGCCAACCTAGAACCAGTCAGGCTTGTAAGTTTGTGATCATAACTGTGTTCAGGGCTTTCGCTAAGGAGCTCTTTTAGCAGTGTTGTGGCGGATTTTGGCGGAACGGGTATGGCTGTTCGGGTGATCTTGGAGCCATCTAGGTCCACAAGTCGTGCCTTTTCCAACAGGCCATAGAAGACTGCCATGACTTGCTCGTGCTTGGGAAGATATGAGATGCGGTCCAAGACTTGGCCAGCTTCTGCAGTCCGAAGGGAGCACCCTATCTGCTCGAAAGCATCGACGATGTGTACAACTACAAGCTCGTTTTGCTTGGGCAGCACCTGGTCCATGTATCCGGAGAAATTGTTTTCCTTAATGAAGTGGTCGGTCAATTGCTTCGACTCAGCAAATGTGTCTAGGATGACTGAGGCGGGTATCGTTGTATGAGATGCATGACTGCCGTTGAGATGCCCGGAAATTTCATTGTGTGATGACACCGCACTATCGGCGGGGGTCTATTTCGAAGTCAGTATTGCCTGATGTGGTGGGATTTTGGGGATCAGAGCAGTATTCCACAGAAGTTGAGAATTTATTCCAAGAGTAGTTGACACTTACCTGTATCCCAGCTTCACTCTCATCATCCTCATCCTCACCTTCTTCTTCCGCTGCCAGGTTATCAGATATTCCCAATTTGGACTTCAGGCAATCGACAAGACTCTGGAAGTCGGTCATTTCCATGAGTTCTTCTAGCTCCAACTTGGTCTTAAATTCGTTCTCCACCTCCCGGGCCACCTCCATGGCTAGGAGTGAGTCAATTCCAAGCTCGACAAGATCAGATTTAGGCTTGACTTCCTCGGCGTCAAGACCCAAGAGATTACACAACAGTCCTCGAGCATCGCTTGAGATATCACGCCGCGGGGCGGTGTTTATCTTGACTTTCTTCTTTCTAACAAGCTTGGGTAGAGGTATCGACTCAGCTGGTTTTGAAGAGAGGGCAGGGTGAGAGTCCTCTGCATTTGCCATCTCTGGGGGAGTAGATGGTGGAGTAAGAGCACCTCGGATCGTCTTCGCCGCAGAAGACAGTCTTGACAAAAGTCTTGCCATGCCGTTGATGGACACTTTCACAAAGTGGAGGCCCAATACGACCCACACCAGTTCTCCACTTAGCGAGTCAAAGATGAACATATCGCTCACATACTCTTTATCAGAGGGACTGTGATGTCGTGCATAGACCTCCCATAATTCTGGACGTGAATCACGGGAGACTGTAGGGGAGCGAATCCACTGATCAACACGGTTCGATAGGAACATGTCGCCATCTTCACAGTCAGTCATGCAGTTCAAAAAGATGCCAGCCACCTGACAGAACGTATCAGCAAGTCCTACGCTAAGGACCGTTCCTTTTGCGTCCTGCTTTTTGATACGGCCCGCCGACTCGTTGCCCTTGGCAGCAATCTTTTGTAGACCTCTGTATTCATCATGGTTATACTGAACGATACTTGCGAATGCCTTGTATATATTGCGGCTGCCTAGTATTACTTGATCCGCTTCAGGTCCATCAAGGATAGCAAGGCTACGCTCTCGATCTACTAGACGTTCATACTTGGCGAAATCGTACGCGGCGTCCTTTGCATGTCTGAAGACGATCCGTCCAGAGACATGGAGATTTGCGTCTGACGTATTGCCACCTATAGTGGTACTGGTAATACTCCAGTCCCAGGTGAGATCATTCTCTCCCATTCTCTTCGCGTCAAGCCAGACAAGTCTTGATGCATCCACGCACAGCGGAGCGCTACTCTCCATTCCTTGAAGCTCGGGTAGTAGCGATGGATCATTTGACATCGTCGCAAGACTCTCAAGTGCATCCACAGCAATAACATGCTGGAAGGTGCTGGGGCAAATTGGCGCCGTTTGAGCAATGACGTGAGCGGAAACGTAGGTTAAATATTCCTCCGAATTCGTGTTGACCTGGAAGCGCGCATGTGTTTTCGCGGCGTCCTGATATCCCATAAAGTTCCATAGGCCCTTGGGAGCTTGCTGGATTTGTGGTGCTGGGGAGTCATTTCTCACTTGTCGTTTCGTACGTGCCAACCAATGCTTGGACTTCTCAAACTGGTATGGTGGTAGCAGAAGCGGGGAATAGTCTGATGTCTGTGCGATATGGTGCGCCCAGAAGGTTGTATTTAGTCCCTCTTTCCATAGGTTAGTCGTGGCATCCGTCAAGTGCTTGAATGCTTCAGGGCCTGTGATGTTGATAGGTTGGAAATGGGAAGACTTTGGAGATCCTAGCGCACGGCTAGCCATAGTTGTGATGCCCGAATTAGATCCAGCTTCAAGCCAGATAGCTGAAGGATATCTCTGGGCAAGCCTCTGAACAGCATGGTTGAAGTACACAGGGCACCTCATATGGGATCCCACAAACCCAGGAATTGGCAGATCAGATGTCCCATCTTTAGATGCCCTCTCATGTGGAATAGTGGGCTCTCGGAAGATCAAATCTTCGCCGACTGTTGCCAGATCCGCCGTTAGAGAATCGACCAGTGGGGAATGGAAAGCATTGGTGACATCCAACTGCTTCATCTTCATGGACGAGAAGGCTTGGTTGGTAGTTATTGTCTCTCTCAATATCTCTATTGCTTTGGATGTCCCAGCCAGCGTGAAGCTTCGGGGTCCATTGAAGCATGCAATAGTGGCAGTCTCATCGGGGTTTGTATTGTTAGTCTGCTGCAGTAGTCTTTCAACATCGGTTAGGTTTCCATCAACAGCTACCATGCATCCTTTCTCGGGGCCCCATTTCTCTTGAATGATACGTGCTCTGTCTGCAATCATTTTCAACGTATCCTTCACATCGAGGATGCCCGAGACACACAATGCTGTCAACTCTCCAAAACTGTGGCCAACCACCGCTGCAACTTGTACTCCGCTTTCGATCCAGCTTTTAGCACAAGAGTATTGGATAGCGAACAGCACAGTTTGCAAACGAACGACGTCTTCGACAGGTGTTCTTTGGAATATTGCCGGGAAAATGCTATTCAGCCCCAGTGAAAGACATATTTCATTGCATAGGTCGAGATGAGTTCGCAGTAGTTTTATTTGGTCGTATATCTCGCGATCTAATCCGACGAACTTGGACGCTTGACCTCCGAAGCAAAGTATCACTGGCCGAGGCGACACATGGCGCGAGACCAATGACAAGTCTCCCTGCCCCTTTGCAAAAGCAGCCAGCCTCTCGGTCAGCTCATCAAGAGAGCTGCAACTGAATATCAATCCCTGGCTAAGCGAACGATTGGACTGCCGACATAGCTGAAAGGACAAGTTTGCTATCGTGAAGCGATGATCCGATTTTTTGCTTGACTTTAACAGCTGGACTAGTTTGGTGGAATATAATCGCAGGTTTTGTCCATCAAGCCCACAGAGCCAGAATGGTGACTTCGAAATCGTCTGTCCCTCCAAATATAGGTCTTTGGAGCGGGATGAGGGTGCTTCGGTGACGATAAGCGATGCATTAGAGCCAGACGCCCCATAATTGTTGATCAGGGCCACCCGAAAGTCCGTATCCCAGGCTTTGAACTTCTTGGTAATCTCAATATTGTCCGATGGCATGGCATTCAGCTTGGGACTGATGACATTGAAACTGGGCTGTGGGGGAATGGCACCGTTGTATATCATAAGTAGCGTCTTTATCAGAGCTGCAATCCCGGATGCACACTCCAAATGTCCAACAAGGCCCTTGACTGATCCAAGCGAAAGTCTTTCTGTTCGACCAGGCCCACCGAACACCTTACGAATACTATCGTATTCGGCTCGGTCTCCAACCTGAGTACCCGTTCCATGGGCTTCAACGACGGATATTTGCTTTGGGTCCAGCCCAGCCTTGCGAATGACGCTGCTAAAAACGTTAGATAGAGACAGTACGCTCGGAGCGGTTATAGCCGAACAATTCTCATTTTGATTCACGGAAGATGCGTTGATGACACCAAAAATTTGATTACCATCCTCGATCGCCGCAGACAACTTCTTCAAGAAAACGGCGCCAGCTCCTTCGCCTCTGCAATAACCGTCTGCATCGATATCAAACGGCTTGCATTGCCCTGTGGGACTAAGAAATGAAGCTCCGTCTAGGTTCTGATACCATTCTGGGCTTGACATGATGCTAGTCCCCCCTGCGAGCGCAGCGGAACACTCGCCACTCAGAATAGCCTGACAAGCATGGTGAATAGCCACGGCAGACGAAGAGCATGCTGTATCAATGGTAATGCCAGGCCCACTCCAGCCGAAATAGTGACTAATCTTTCCAGCCGCGAAGGACTTGAGGTTGCCGGTTGCGGTGTATGCATTGGCTGGATGGCCTGCAACATTATTCTCATAATCGGCGACTCCAATACCGACGTAGCAGCCAATATGTTCATCTAGGGCAGTAGGCATAGTGAAGTACCCAGATTGTTCCACTGCCTGGTAGGCCACCTGCAACATTAGCCGTTGCTGTGGATCGGTAGACGCCATCTCCCTGCCGCTCTTCTTGAAGAATCGGTGATCAAATGCGTCATGGTCACGGACGAAGTTGCCGTACCACTTCCTCTCAGAATCATAATCGCGCCACGCAGTAGTCTGGAAGTCCAAACGCTCCGAGGGAACTTCGACATGTTGCGACTTTCCTGCACATAGTGTGTCCCAGAATCCGTCGAGGTCGTCTCCACCAGGGAGATGACAAGCCAAACCAACAATAGCCACGGCCTCATCTTCAGAAGATTTTAGCACGCGATCAAACTGTGGTGGCAATCGACATGAGTTGAGATCAACATTTGCGCCTTGCATCAGTCGTGGACCGAGTTTACGCACAACCCATTGCGGAACACAACGCTCACGGCCAAAGGCGACAACCAAGGACCGGCTATTCGTGGCAGAGGATTGAAGTGAAGTGAATACCTGGTGCCAGTTCGCCTGGTCGGTCAGCATTGCTTGAGCTGCCTTGTGATGCAATTTATCGCCAGCGAAATACTCTGCTCCAGTGGCAGAACGTGTTGGGAACGTCAATAGAGAAACATTAGGGAATTGAAAGTTCGGATCCGAATCAAAAAGATTGATCAGGGATGTTGCCTCTTGACTACGGCTTCCGCAATGAAAGGGCCCACGCAACGCCGTTTCCACGAAAATCAGGCCAGCGTCTCTTAATTGCTTCAAGAGTGGAGCTGCAACATTCTTGGGGGTGGTGACTGTTGCTAGTTTCTCCTCAGAAATAACTGAAAGGTATGACTGAATCAACTGTCAGTCCAGTCCCTGATTATGGGGTTCGCTAGTTTCATACCCCTGGGAAGCCTTTCAATATCTTGGCTAACTCTTTCCTTGCATCAGGTGATGTCCACCCGACTGCAACGGATTTCCATTTACCCTTCAGGTCAGTGTCTACATCCCCAGCATCCACCGATGCACCGATGGCCATGGCCATCCGAATTGCCACTGCACCATGCTTTTCTAATTGTGCCAGGTTTTCAGAGCTTGCTACCGCTGCTGAACTTAGCATGCCGGTACAAAGTCCGACGGTCTCGGTAGGAAGTTTCAAGGCCGCTTGCAAACTATCGCCTGGTGCAAGCTCTGGGTGTACTTCTTCCAAAAATACTAAGTATTGAAGTAAGTGTGTTATCACTACCAGCGGAGTAACAATAATATTTGGCAGGGGAAACAATTCCTCGGGGAATTTGCCTCTTCTGAGCCATTCGTTCAATGCCTCCAAATGCTTTTGGCCAGGGGACGCAAGAAGCTCAGGAAGAGTTTTGGATATAGATTGCCAATGTTGAATGAGATTCGTCGTAGCGTCTAAAATCCATTCAAGACTTGGCGTCTCCAATAGAGTTGATCTAAGCTTCTTTGCGTATGCCTCATTGATGTCGGGGTCTTGGGGTCCGAATAGTAGGGTGAGGCCCTGTTCGTGAAGGTTGGAGGGAGAGTGAACCATGTTTTTTATCTTGTTGAAAGTATGAAAGTGATAAAAGTTTCTGGAAATATCTGTTTGGTGAGAATAGTAGGGCGAAGAGCTGCGTTTTGTTTTGGGTTCATAAATATACCACCCCTCTGTCTATAGGTGCACCACTAAGCACACGCTAGTCTAGGGTGTAAAGATTGTTGAGGGGATTGTCCGAGCTGTGCCTCTCAAATTTGGTTCAATTCATCATTCAAAGGGGACGAACCTATGAGTAAACTTGACTTGTATCTTTCGATCTACATAAGCCCCGCTCTCTTCTCCGAGCCGAACATCGTAAGTCATATTTCTCCGAACTGTGCCTCACGGCCCGTAGGATTCTATCTTACAGACGGCAGGGCTTCTCCACCGGTTCCATCTGAACGTTTCGCACTAACGGTCCAAACACAGAGGCTAGCCTACTCGCATCTTTTTTTTTTTAAGTCTGACTGTTCTAGAATATCCACTACTTAGTGTAGATAAATATAATTCTGTAGGATTAACTAGTATAGATCATAAAATCTATAAGATAAAATTAATTTAAAAGCGAGACTTCTGAGGCTTCTTAAAAAAGGCCCTGACAAAGCCGGATGTGAGCACGTTAAATTGGTGCAGGGAATACCTTTATGGAGCAAAACAGTAAGACAGTCAGACTTTAAAATATTAAGCAAGTACAGAGTACTAGTAGGAATTCTCTGCGAGGGCTATGAGGACAGGGGTAAAAATACATACTTTTTTGCCACGTGTTCAAAATCCCCAAAATCTTCCTCGAGCGATGAAGTGCTTATTAGGCAATGTTTATTCCATGAATCCCTGGAACTATCCACAGACCAAGCGCTAGCTTGGAGAAAAGGAAAGGTAACATCGCCTCCTAGTGCTGATACAAATTGACGAAAATAAAGCATCGCGCTATGTTACTGTAGTAAGAAAGATAGACGGGATTATATAATAATAGAGAAATAAAGACATAAAGCTTTGAATTGTGGATTTATATTTGGTCTAATTATTAGCCAGGTCTGATAGGGTTGTTGATAAACATTGATCCTTCAGAAGGCTTTGAAAGTAGGCTGTATAATCACATAGAGTAAAGCCATATGCGTAAGGAAAGAAAGGTAAATGATCTGCTCGCGCATGGACCGTTATCAGAATACAGTACAGTAAGCATCCAACGCAGATAGTACGTAAGCGCGAATCAATGACCGTTATTAGAATCCTGATGGACAGAAACAAAGGCTACTGTAAACATGATGAAAAGGTTACATCGGGGCAGGGAAATATATTGCGAGTGATCTACATAGCAAAGACGGTTGTTATCATGTTCCATGCAGGAGGGATTGACTTCATCGGGTCTTGATGTTTCTTTGAAGGGGTCGGAAGGCTAGTGGCTGACTAAGCAGTACTAACCATATTAGGCATTGCATTTTGGGAACGGTCAATAGGTGTTTGATCGCATGTACACTCACTTGTCTAGGGTGGTGGGACCAATGCATCTTTAGTCTTCATGGCTAGTAAAATTCTTAAATCTCAGTAGTTGTTTTTATCAGGAATTATACCTAGGTATTAAATCTGAAAATTGACTATACGGAGTATTGCTGCACTCGGAGATAGACCCCCCGACCCCCCCAACCCCGAGGCCGAAGCGAGAGGCGGGGACTACGGGTGGTAGACGCATGTAACTGTAGATCTATAAATGCACATCTTACTTTATATACGGAGGTAATGCGGTTGAGTATTATTATAATTCAAAAAGAAAATAGAGGTTTAGGCCTCTTAGGATAGTGCTTGTAGAGGCTATATTTATTAGGAGTTCCTAATTAGGAATAGAGGGTAAAAGTACTAATTTAGAATTCTAATAATACGTAACCGCTGTACCTCCGTAGTGCAACTCTCATGCCAGCATCCATGTCTACGTCCTCTTCTTCTTCCCCCACTATATCCTACGTACATTATTGTAGCTTTGTACGCGTCTCCTCTATTACATCGGTTTCATAATCCCAACTTTCATCGGCGAGACAGTGGCTTTTTCCAAATCCCACACCCCCAGCATCGTGTACGGGTCTGCCTTCACCAGCTGCCAGATCTCCTCTTCAGTGCTTGCCTTAACAACATGTACGCTGCCCGAAATCTTCGTCTGGGCATCCGCGGGGTTTGCGGGTGGGACTGAAAACATGAAACCCCTCATGGTGATTTTTCCGGCCTCGACTTGAGGCGTGATATTGTTCAGATGTGCTTCAAGATTGTCAAGGCGAGCGTGCAGCCCATTAGGCTTGTCGGGAAGCTGTACAAGCCACTCATACTGCTGTTGAGCCATTTCTAATGTGGTGTTAAAGGAGGTATCGAGGTTGGTTTTGGTCGGGTGGAGCAGAGCTTGCTGAGTACGAGTAGCTTGATAGCTTGATAGCTTGATATGGTCTAATAAGACCCCGAGGACAACTGATTTTTTATATAGATAAGATAGCACTGATCATCGCTTACAGTACGGAGTATTAAGTAGTATCAATTAACCTATCCTTGACGCCAAATATCGGCATCAGCCTGGCCCAAAGCTTAAACGGTCGGTAACGATGCGGCACGGACTTAGACTTACTAAGTAGTGGGAGGGGGCTGCACCACACGGGACAGAACCTTCGTACTTCACACGGGATCCAACGGAGTACTCCGTACTTGTCAGGAGGCACACCCCTACAGGGCCTATATATGGGGTACCGGCAGTTTAAATTGATGTCATGCCGGTTTATCGCTGATGCTGCACCTTTGATTCCTGTCTATTACAAAGCAGACTATTACAACTTGGCATGGGTATTAACTGAGGTACGTAATGGTTGCCTGTTGCTAAAATTTGTGATACAGATTCTAAACTCCATGGAGTCCATGGAGTCCATCGAGATTTAGCACATCCTTCGAAGTCGGCGGCTATACTGTAGTTTCCGCGGCAACGTGGCACAACAATAGGTAGTTGCTTCCGGCTTCTAGTCTTTTAGACGGGCCGTGGCGGGGACTCAATCAATGCTGCTCCCGCCGCACCTCTCCCTTTTAACTCTAATACGGAGTACTGTACAAGAGACTAGAGACTGTATGGCATGGATACAGAGTACCTAGAACCCTGCATATATTCCTATTTCTTTACCCTAGTATCGACCCCTAGAACTGGGGGACTGCAAGAAATATAATAGCTAAGTTAATCTCAAAGTGAAAGTTCTCGGACTATATAAAATTTCTAATATGAGTTATTGAGGTATTAGCGCGGAACATATATTTATAGAATATCTAATTATTATGTTGGTATCACAGGGGTGATCACTTCTTACTAGCTAGTATTCATTTGGTAAGACTTGACTTTGGTTTTGGTGGTTGTATTGTGATGTGATGTCTAAGTCTGAGTGTGGAAAGCAGAGCGAAGAGGTGATGCCAACACCTCTGCGTCGCTTAGTCATCCGCGCTAAGGTCATGTGACCATAAATGCCACACCACATCCCGACACATTATCTCCACTGTCAGATTTTGAGAAAGAGGGTATCAATGACGATAGACCGGGTCCCATTGGTCGAATCGTAAGACTATACGACGACGCTCAGCCACGCCTTAGTTTTACACTTGGATCGCGAAAACTACTCGCTTTTTCAAGTCTGATATGCCCTACTAATTAGCGTGCATAGATATAATCCCACGCATATGCCTAGTATAAGCCTTTAAAATGGCGGTACTAAGCCACTTGTAAAGTGAGGCCTCTCATTTAAGCCCTGGATCCAATGTAATCTAAGCTCTTTAAGTGGCGCGGAGTATATAATTATGGAGAAATACAATTGTGGGGGTGTCAGACCTAGGGAAAAGGCGAGTAGGAAGGTCTTGAAATAGGCACACGTAGTAAGGATCATACTACGAGCATGTTTTTTTAAGTCCGACTGTCCTACTATAAATCCATTACGTAACGTACATATGTAGAATCCCGTACGTCTAACTAGCTCTTTACCCTAGCATAGGTCCCAAAATCCATCAGTTTTGAAGTGAGAATTGTAAGCTTAGGCCTCTCTAGAGCCCTGTAATTATTGGATCTAGGCTCTTTAAGTGGCGCGGAGCATAGAAATATGGAGTAAAAACAGTGGGACAGTCAGACTCAAAAGAAATGCGAGTATACTTGCTAAGTTGCTATCTACCTGTGCTCCTTGAATGTATCCATATCTCCATTACCTGTATTCATAGGTCCAGAACATCTGCCTAAGACATCTGAATCTTTGTTTCTGAGAGCGTCTCGCGTCTCTGCCTGTAGTCTTGAATGGTCTTTTCCACCATAGACGCAGAGTCATGGTGCCAAATTTTAAAAGATCGATCCTTGATTTCCTCAAAGCATGACTCGGCCTTGACACGCTTTGCTGGATCCGCCCAATCAGGCTGATGGAAAAGATCGCAGACCCGACGACTACTATTGACTAGCCACTGGGTTCTCGTTCGACGAATGGCGTTGTACGTTTCAAACGCGGTTCGCAATGCCTGACCTTTGGATTCTGCATTCTCATTCACGTCCTTGGACACTTCTTGAAGTAACGTACTAAGACATAACGCATCTTCAATTCCCATGGACGCGCCAGCACCGTGATGTGGGCTAGAAGCATGTGCTGCATCACCAACTAAGCTTACTTTACCGTAGTTGTAAGCTGGGACAGGATACTCCCAGAGGTCGAACAGCGCCCACTGGTCTAGCTCTTCCGGGAACAACTTGATTAAGTTTTGAACGGGAAGACACCAGCCCTCAAGTGCGGCTTCCACCTCCTTGCGTGATCCTCGTGCGGTGTTCTGTTGATCAGAGGGCCAGTCTTTGGAATCGCTGACGATGACGGTGGCACCAATCATTTTCTGGTTGACAGGATAATGGATGAGATGCGCATTAGGGCCAATATGCATATGCTGGCGTCTGCCCTTGTACTCACCCAACGCCTCGAGTGCTTTGTCCATTGGTATTAACGCCCGGTATGCAACCTTATGGGTATACTGAGGATATGAAGCAGGATTATCTGGGCCGAGAAGAATTTGTCTTGTCCGAGATTTAATACCATCACATCCAAAGACTTGACGAAATCTGTTAGCTAAGGCCCGATGTTTAATTAGGCTTAACAAAACTTACCGGCATCAGCTTCAACTCTAGCCCCATCAACAAAAGTGAGGACAATCTTGTCTTCCTCACCCTTCTGCTCTATATTATCCAGCCGCTTTTGCAGTTCAATTACGCCCTCTGGTATGACCTTTACAAGGTCCTCCAAGAATTGATCGCGGCGAACTGTCTCCCAGCCCTTGTATCCAGCATCAAGAGTGAGGAGTATTTTTTGGTATTCTGGGTCATCCACGCGATTTTGAGTGTAGCCATCAATCCAGCGCAGATAGGAGTTTGGATCATGCTCGTCCAACGAAGCGTTAACCGAGCCGCCTGAGCGCAAAGCACTGACGACGGCAGGGTTGACTTTTTCCATGCATTGCACCGTTCTTGCCGTGAAGCCAATACCAGCTCCAATCTCCCGGAAATTGCGCGCCTGCTCATAGACCTTGACGCGCACCTTTTGACGGGTGAGGCCAGCGGCTGTCCCAACGAATTAGCATAGTAAAAAGTCAAGTACTTGGAGAGAGCCGAGGAGCTTCCCCTAAAAGTTTCAGCAAGAGTATATAGGAATAAACTTACCAAGTACGAGTCCAACAATCCCACCACCAACGATGGCAATCTCGATGGGCTCTGTAGTGATTGTCCCCGGCATTTTGATGTTTTTTTTGGGGTTGGATATTGCGGGTATTGGATATTGCTTGTATGAAAGGGTAGAAAACTTGCGAGTGTATTCTCTTCCCGACTTAACTTCAGACTCAATGCTACGGAATTTACAAAACCACGACGATCTATAAAACTTATGCTCGGAGGTCCGACGAAAGCCGCGTGTGAAGGATGGCTCGTACGAAAGATTAGGGAATTCTAGGCTTCTAGCCGCAATCTTTCTACATACGTTTCCTGCCGTGTCGATCAGGGGCTTTAGTTAAAAGTACAAAGTATATTTAAAGAGCAAGTGCAAGTACGGAACCTAGAGAAACGTCACAACGTGGCGTTCTTTGTTGCGGGGCAGGACTGGGGTTACTGTATCACTAGATCGGCGAGAATCCTTGTTCAGCCTTGATGTGTTTCTGCGGCGTAGCTAGTTTAATGTGAACAGAAAAGGAAATAATACATCGAATTCAGTCTACCCGAATGGGGCTAATCGCTGACGCAAAGAGTACTTATTTTCTTCTCAATTAGTAGTCTCCTGTAAAAAGGATTACTTGGATCTTTCGTAGCAGAACTGTCTACCTATACATCTACAATCATGTCTGAAATTCTCGTCATCACCTGCCCTAGCGGTAAACAATGCTCTCGTCTTATCCCACTTGTCTATAACAATGGGAAATTCAAATTGCGTCTCGCAGCACACTCTCAGATCTCAGCCAGCAAATTGGAGGCTCAGTACCCAGATGCAGAAGTTGTGTCCACCGACCTCCAATCCCTCCCCGACTGTCTCAAGCTCCTCCATGGAGCTACCGCCATCAACGCCGTTCTGCCCAGCCTGCACTCCCGCGAAAAGGAAATCGGCCTCAACTTGGTCGACGCTGCAGTTACGGAATCCCAACGCGAAGGAAATTTATTCAAGCACTTTGTCTTTTCCAGCGTGCTTTGCACTCAGCATAGGAACTTGATGCAGCACGATCTAAAAAGCTATGTTGAGGAACGCTTATTCCTGAGCCCACTGGACTGCTGGACCATCCTTAAGCCAACAAATGTTAGTATAGTCAATTGAAACCTCGATTTTCATAAATACTAACAGTCCTTTTCAATAGTTTATGGACGCTTATCCAGTTGCTATGCTCGCAGGACAGGAAAATCCAGTCCTCGAGAAGTGGTGGAAACCAGAGCATAAGAACAGCGTCATTGCCCTCCGTGACCTCGCGGAAGCATCAGCTAAAGTGCTTCATCAGAGGGAGCTCCACTACTTGGCGGAGTACCAGCTGTGCTCTACTATGCCCATATCAGAGCTTGAAATCATCAAGATTATTGAGAAACGAATTGGCAAAAGCATCGAGCTCAAAACGCCAACCTTTGAGACTGGCGTGAGCAAACTTGTTCGGGCACTGTTCGGCGGCAAAGAAACTAGTGCGCCGGCTGGTGCTCGCTCTATTCTTGAGCTCGCGAGTGAGGGAGATTCGCGCCCCGACATTGTGCATGATACAGTGGAGAGGTTGATATTGTTCTATAATCGCCGCGGGCTGAAGGGGAGTCCGAATATACTGCGGTGGGTGCTGGGAAGAGAGCCGACAACGGTTGAGCAATGGGTTGACAGCGTTGCTCCCGAGTAAGCGCATCTCAAGTTAGGAGCATTCCCAATGATCTGTCAAGCTTGATACTTAACCCATAAGAATACAAATCTGCTTGAATCCTTTCTCTGACTCGTGAATTGTGGTTCGGTTCTTAATATCAGTATGAGCTTTCTGCAGCAGATGATGATACCAGACGAAAACACTTGTCAGCCTTGTCTTGTCCTCGGAACCGCCGCAAGGACAACGTGATATCTGCAAAAATTCACTCATGGATGTTTATCGGAGACTTTTGATTGGCCAGTAAAAGCAGGGCACGAGTCCACATCCGCAGATGAAGTAAGCGTATATATACCGCCGGGAATATAAATGGTGTCAGGTTACTTACTCGGCATCGCAATTACGATATTGAAATCGATACCAGCTATCAATCATCCAATATGACCATCGACAGCGAAGACCTAACCCTTGATCTACCCCGCATCATGGCACTCCATGGCGGCGGTACAAATTCAACCATTTTCCGGATGCAATGCCGCGTACTTGAGCGCGCATTACGCCCCTATTTTCGTTTTGTTTACGCCGAAGCACCCTTCCCAGCGCAGCCCGGACCCGATGTTACTCAGGTATATAGCGACTACGGCCCGTTTAAAAGCTGGCTACGGATCCGGCCGGAGGACCCTATCCAAGACGCGGGCGACGTCGCGCACAAAATTGGCACCTCACTCGTGAAAGCCCAATTCGAGGATGACCGGCGTGGTGCCACTGGCAAGTGGGTGGGCCTGATAGGCTTCAGCCAAGGCGCCAAACTCGCTGCGAGCATTCTCTACTCCCAACAAATGCAACGACGTGAAAGGGATATAGGGATGGATAACAACAACCATAACGGTACCATGTCTGACTACCGTTTCGCACTGCTGCTTGCCGGGCGCGGGCCGCTGGTATGGCTCCAACAAGATCCTGGAAGCCCCATACCGCAAGGACTAGTCGACGCGGCCCAACCCACGACGTCGACATCGAATTTATGGGAGTCGGACTCGGACGTCGAAGAGAGCGCCGTTGAACATCTCTTGCGGGTGCCGACAATCCACGTACACGGTCTAAATGACCCGGGTCTAAAGCTGCATCGCCAGCTGCTGCATAGATACTGCGATCCTTCGACCTCCAAGCTGCTCGAATGGGACGGGGTGCATCGTGTGGCCATCAAGACCAAAGATGTCAGCATGATTGTGGACCAAGTCTTATCTGTGGCACGGGAAGCGGGGGTGGCGGTCTAACCCCTCTGGGGCAAATTTATATATGCAAATGGACATAAAAAATAGAAGTCAAAATACCTATGAACTAGGTACATAGGCAGGTACTAGACTAAGAAATAGGAGCCCGGCGTAGTTTAGTTTACTCAATACGGAGTAACCAGGCGTGATCTCCGTTCCAAGCAATTGCCATCCTTCTAAGACAAGGGGGTCTTACATGCCCCACGCGAAGCGAGACAAGATCCCTTACAAATTCAATATATCCGAGCAACTTTATAAGTACTTCAATCATCCTAACTTTGCTTTTTCGTTGGTGAGACACAATCAACTAAAACGTAAACATGGAGGAAACGAATATCATTGTCATCACAGGTAATTTTATTACACCCAAAAGTCTCAGGCATGGATGGAGCTGATGACCCATTCCTTCCATAGGAGCAAACACTGGTATCGGGCTCGAAACAGTTAAATCACTGCTTCGTTCAAGTCAGAAATACCACATCCTGCTAGGCGGGCGCAACTTCGAGAAAGCGCGATTAGCCGCAGAAAATTCAACTTCGAAAGCTACATCTCAGAGCTCAGTCGAGCCGTTCGAGGTGGACGTCGAGAGTGATGAATCCATTCAAAGAGCCTTTGAAGCAATCGCTGCGAAACATCCTCGAGTTGACTGTCTTATCAACAATGCCGGTAAGTGACTTGAGACCGGCTCCGGCTCCTCAATTCCCAGCTCATCAGCGACATCAGGGGCTTGCTTCGATTCTTATATCCAAGATGGCAGTATCACCACACGTCAGGCGTGGAATAAATCATGGGATGTCAATGTGACAGGAGCCCATATTATGACTTTAACCTTCCTCCCTCTGTTGCTCCGGTCCCGGGATCCAAGGCTACTTTTTATTACCAGTGGTTTGTCTTCACTGCAAGATGCCTCCGATGCTAGCAACCCCAAAAACATAGTTCCGCCGCCGGGTCTTCCTAAAACGCAGCCCTTCGCCGGATATCGTTCTTCTAAAGCCGGCCTCAATATGATGATGGTAGAATGGGCAAAGTCGTTGAAAAATGATGGCGTGAAGGTGTGGGCGGTAGCACCAGGCTTGCTTGCCACCTCTTTGGGTGGTAATACGGAACTTTTGAAGAAGCTTGGAGCCCAAGAACCCAGTCTTGGGGGCGATGTTTTGCGTGGAGTTATTGAGGGCAAGAGAGATGCTGATGCTGGTAACGTCGTCCGCGAGTACCTTACCCCAATTCAGCCTTGGTGAAAACATTCGTTCTGCCACATTGTTCAAGGTTGCTTTCGGTTTTAGTCGTGGAGATTCAACTTCATAGATCCTCCGTAGATCTTATAGCTTATAAACCCAAGCTTGGGAGTAACCTTTATAAGTTAATTTGTTATTGAATGAATGCAATTTTTAGTGCTCTACAAAACTCGGACTTGAAGCAGTTATGTCGAATCTATATCCGAAATTTTAGCACGGTTTAGAAACTCCGAGGTGACTTGTTTAGTCCGTCCCTCAGGCACGCACATCACCAATCCATCCGATTCTTATCCATAAAATTGGTTTAGATAAAACAAACATTACTTATATAATTTGTTTTGTTTTTAAACACAAGCTGTTATACTCACTCCTGCTAAGTTTCAACGATCAAGTGATAGTTTTTGTTTTTAAGTCACGGGATACGTCCTCTCGTACGAGATAACCCCTTCGGCTCCGAAACGTCTTCGGCCGAAACGCCACGTACTCAGGCAAATGCTACGAGTACCATATTTTAGAATCTATATAATCGATAGACATCCTCAATGTTCAAGCAGTATACTACAATTGTTTCTTGATACTCGCAACTAGATCACAAACTCATATCATTCTCATTATTCGCCCTTTTATCGACATCACCCCAATCTATAATATATATCAGATCTCAGACTACCATGACCCAGGGATATCCGCCATCAAAGTCGGAAATGGAAGTGCCACATCCATCTGAGCTCCCTCCACCACCGTTCAAATCTGTTGATTCAATGTCATTAGAGCCTTAGAAAAACCAACGTAAGCAATCTAGAAGCAGCACTATCCCACCCTGTCAACCAGTCCACTTACAAACCGACAGCAAGCCTTGTCATGTACATGGAGCGTCACAAACTCCATATATCGATGCGCATCTCCGACAGCCTAGTACAAAGGCTCTTCTTCACACGCTTAGCGCAGCTCTTGCCGACGCAGCGGACGAAGAGTGCTGCACGAAGTGTGCCACCGAAAGCGCTACGCACACATTGAGTCTGTACTTCGGCGAATTGCGGGCGGCGAAGAAGAATGGGCAGTGGTCTGCCGAAGAGAAGAAGGGTCTCAAGACTGAAGCAAAGGGTTTAATGAAGGAGGTGAAGCGTGATTTCAAGAAAGTTTGGAAGGCGAATAAGCGACAAGCTTGAGCGTTGTGGGGATTGTGCTTTTGAGTTACGGAGTACTGTGGAATTTCAATATAGCGGCATATCATTATATGGACATCACCTTGAAAGATAGAGAGCACTTGATCATAAAAACATGCAGCGTGAGATCGATATTGTTCTAAATGAGTGATATTCAAATTCTTGAGTATATGTTATTTGAAGCCTAAACAACTAACGACTGACGCTAAAACCCCGGGTTCCGGGCTAAGCCGCTGGCCTTCTCACAGCACAGAGAAACGGTGTCACGGTCGCCTGCTCCATATCCCAAATCCCAACTCCGACAAACGGATTCTCCTTCACAATCGCACGCACCTCCTCCGCACTACCGGCCTTGAATACCATCACGCTTCCCGTGATTTTCATCTCATCGTCGGACGTCTTGGGGTGCGTGGCTAGAGTGGGGCCGGCGAAGACGATGGTTCCAGCTTCGATATAAGGCTTGAGGTGAGCCACATGCGCAGCGCGGTTGTTTGTCCACGTCTCCATGTCGTCTGGGTTGATAGGGACTTGGAGAAGCCAGTCGCATTGCTCTGACATTTTGGGCTGAGGTAGAGAGAAAGGGAAATTATTCAGTTTGATGGTAAGGCAAGAGGTAATCGTTGATGTTCGTTGCCGTTTTTCGTGTATTTGTTATAATATATTGCTTTTTGTTATCACCTCAGTCTTGAGTTGAATTCTAAGGCAATGGTCATATTATTATTGCAATTCAATCGTTCCATTTACGAAGCAACTAGGTCGAGCCCATAAGTGCCACCAGGACCAAAGTCGCAAAGTCGGCGTCCAAAGGAAGTGTCCTCCCCAAAAGGGAATTTACAATAGCTTACTACCAATTGGGCATATATTTGAGCCTTATCCTCATAGCGTAATGCTTTTAATAGCCTCTTTCATACGGTGTATGGGGGTACAAATAAAGCCTACGATCAGCACGGCACAGCGACAAGGGCATCAGCCCAGGAAACCAGGGGATGAATCCTTTGTTGCGCTAAAATCTGGACCCTCACTCTGCAGATAAAGGATTCTTCTACTAAATTCTTATTGCTGGCTATGACATCCGTAGCGCATACCTAGAATAAGAATGAAACAGTGGCATCTCGGCCGATATCTCTTCGGAGTTCTTCGTCCTCCCGAGTTCTCCGAGTCTTGAGAGTCAAACTCGAGCCCGAGTCTCAAGGGGATCGGAGGAGAACATCCGAGACTTATTCATGATACCAGCCAAAATCTCCAACCTATTCTCTTCATTCAGTACATTTCACATTTGAGCATTGTCTTATCCATTTCATATCACCACTCTATTCAATCCAACTATCAAGATGGGCAGTATCGAAAATAACGTCCCCGAGTCTATCCCAACCGTGGATATCAGCCCGTTTCTCAATCCAGATGCGTCCTCCGCAGCTGTAAGCAATGTAGTCGAGACAATGCGCCATGCCTGCACAACGTATGGTTTCTTCTACCTCGTCGGCTACGAGGTCCAGGAGGCAGATCGTCTGAAAGCACTAGAGTGTGCCAAACGGTTTTTCTCGCTCCCTCTTGAAGAAAAGATGGATATCTGGATCGGAAAAGCCATGGGTCGGTCATTTCGAGGTTATGAACCTCCTTCCCTTCAGATCCACAAAGAGGGTTTGCTACCTGATACTAAAGAGGTAGGCCGCTATTCCCCTGTAGACCTCGTTTGTGAATCTTTGCTGACAACCCTTCCTTCTGAAGGGATACATCTTGGGTCTAGAAACCCCTGCAGATGCTCCAGGTGCGGGAACTTTCCACACTGGTCCTAATCAGTGGCCAAAGTCACTTTCTGATGAAGAATTTCGGACTCCACTTATGGACTACCACGGCAAGATGATTAAAATGGTGGAAGTGATACTCAAGATTCTTGCTCGTGGTCTTCCAAAGTCATGGAACTGTCCACCTGATGTTTTCGACGAGCTGACCATCAAACCCTCCGTTCCTATGCGGCTCTTGCATTATCCCCCTCAACCGGTCAAGCACGAGAACCAATTTGGAGGTAAGAACATTTCACTAACAGCTCTCGCTATCTATCCCGGCTCCCCACGTGATTCTCTAGACCTCACCATCGCATATTTCTAACTTATCCACAGTTGGCGAACACACTGATTTCGGAAACGTCTCAGTGTTACTTCAAGAAGAAGGCACCGAAGGACTTGAAGTGTTTTACCCGCCCACTAAAACCTGGATACCGGTACCAGTGAAAGCAAACTCGTATGTGATCAACATGGGAGACATGATGCAGAAATGGACGGCGGGTTACTACTGCAGCGCGCGTCATCGCGTCGTCAACCACAGTACGAGACCTCGACACAGTGCACCTTTCTTCTTCAATGGCAACTTAGACTTGAAGTGTCGAAGTTTGGATGGGTCGGGAGTCGAGACAGTTGTAGGTGAGCATATTCGGCAGAGATTGATGGAAACTATAGGTGGTGAAGCTGGTAAGAAATTGAACTCTTAGAAGTCGAAGAATTATGAGAATTTTTCTGTCATAAACCTCGGATAAATGTTGTGTTCTATAAGATCAATACCACTCTTTTTGTATGGCTCCTTGTTAGCCATGAGGATAGCTTGAAAATAGTGACATCTTAAGCTGTAAATTAGCCGTTAAATATGCATTACTTTTTCTCGAATTGTGGTTTTTATACCAGTTGCTATGTCCACAAATGAGAATAATAGGCATGATGGGAACAGCATTTCACTATTTTCAGGCGAGGTAATCATTCGTCTGTTACTAATTACGTGAGACTCCCCTTCTCTCCTTCCTGTAATATTATCCCAGGCGACTCTAAATCAAGTCGACCTTCTCGTACACGATCCCGATTCTTTCCATCCCGAATTGCAAGAAAATTTACTAACAATGTAGTCATCACAATTGCAACTCCAAAACTGGAAGCAGCGATCCATCCAGGTCTGAAACTTGGGCCCTCGGCTGTTCTCCAGACAGCGTCGGAGTACCAGATTGAATTGATGTATCCACACATATTTGAGGCGGCAATCAAGAAACCTCTCATTTCATGGTCATGAGGGATGAGGTCGGGATACCAAGCATACCAAATACCTGGCACCCCAGCAGAAAAGTAGGAGAGATAAAAGGCCGCGAACTTCAAATTGCGAGGAACGCTCCATATTGCAAGCACAATGGCAGCGAAAAAAGTTCCACCTTGCATCACGAAGATGGCTTGCCAGCGATTGCCGCGTAGCAGCTTCGAGTCCGATAACATGCCCGCGATAACTTGTACAATAACGCCAATTGCAGCTTGTCCAGTGGGCCAGACGTTGATTTGGTAAATCGAATAGCCCTCTGACTTGAGCCAGAGTGCATAAGCCGGTTGCTGAACAGGAAAGCTAGCCTGAACGAAGAAGTACCCCAGCGGTAGCACCCAAAACTGCCACTGAGCCATAATTCGAAATAGCTTCGTCCTATCCCAGGCAGACGCACCAAGGGGCTTGTACCCCTCGTGCAACAGCCTTTGCCGTGCAAACTCTACTTCAGACTTGGACAAATAGAACGCACGTGTGTTTTCTGGAAAATCCGGATTGAAGAAGTATCCCAATATTCCAACTGGCAGGCTGATGATGCCGCAAATAATAAACAGCCACTGCCAGCCACTGTGGCCAAGCTTGCCATCTAGGTTTCTGTAGGCAGCGGCTTGGAGATACCCACTGAACATGCCGGCGAGGGTCGCCGTACAGTAAAAGAGAGCAAGGCGCTTTGCTCTTTCCTTCTTTGTATACCAGGATCCGATGACATATATGATAACTGGGAAGAAGGCCCCTTCACACAAGCCAATCAAAAAACGTAATGCGTAGAGCTGTGGAACTGATTTGACGGCTGCACTGCAAAATGTGAATATCGACCAGAGGACCTCGAGTGTCGGAACAAGAAGTGAAGGTCGAATTTTTGTCGCCAAGATAACCGCTGGTAGTTGACTTACAACATAGCCGGCAGTGAAGACATTTGACATATAGGTAAGTTGACTGCCGCCCATATGTAGGGCTTCCTTCATGCCAGAAACATAAGCATTGCTGATGTTGGCCTGGTCAAGGTTTTTGCAGAAGTATCCCAGACAACCATAGGTGAGGAGGAAGAAGTCTAGTTTGAATAGAAACAGTTTTTCGGCTTTAGGCTTGTCCGGATCATCCCAAATGTATCGTTGTACGGTTCTCCAGAAGCGCCGTGTAGCACCCCAGGCCCCATGCCTTTCCCAGGCTGGCAATTTAATCTCTCTTTCATCCTTCAGGACATCTTCTGGGGTTTCTTTTGCTGCCGAAATATCGGACTCTGGTCTGCTTTCGCTGATTTCGGGTAATTTCTGGATTCCTCGATTGGTCTCATTTGCAGTTTCCGCCATTGTCACCAGTAAGGAGTGCTAGTAGAAAATAGGTAGAGTAAGTCGGTATATATCTTGTGGTAGGAAGGTTGATTTTGCTTTTCAGTAAGGATTCCATTCTTCATAAGAGACTAAAAGGCCTTCCTACTTTCATGATTGCGACATCTGAATACTTCCGCCATAGTGGGCTCTGAACTACATCTAATTGAGGCAATCCTCCGTGTTTCCCCTCCGCAGATTTTGAGCTGCAGCTGCTGAGAGGAGAGAGATAGTAACTCATACTCGGCTCCTCTGGATTGCCATTGATATGGTAAAGGTTCACGCACTCCTAGGCCAATCAATTATATCGGCGTAGGTACCGGTGACTGTACAATATGTTTCACTTCCCACTCTTTTGCGACCAATATCCTTGCATTTCAGCTTTTGCTTCGTGAGCCTAGGGGCATTATCAAGACAATTGATATGTTGCCATATATGCATGATTTTGGTGATTGAAGGACCGAGTCAGTTCCCTTGATAAATTGGGTCTGTACAAGGGGATTGCGCCTGATTCGTCCAAACTCCTGCATAGTCTTATGATAAGTTTTAAGGAAAATCGAATTATTAGATAAGCTTCGTTGTCTGCTGGCCGGGCATTGCGGAAATTGTTGGTTTAAAGGGTTACATTTTGCATGGGAACTTCAATAAATCGGCGAAAACCCGGCAAAACTTTATTCGGCTTTGTTGTTTGCCAGACACTCATAGTGATCTGCATATATACATACTCTATACTAAACTCGTTTGCAAAAGTAAAGCTGTTCGACAGATAAATCGGAAATTAGTCAAGCATGGTGAAATGGAACAGAGAATATGGAAGGTTCGTATGGGGACTTTGCAAGAAATCATGTCATGCTTTATTGAATAGTTCCAGAATCTACATTCGATAAAAGGACGGAAATACGGCTATAAAAGATAGCAGCAGGTCAAAGATTATTGGTCGTGAAACGGACCCAGTGAGGGGAATGCGATGTCGACATGCGGGGTAGAAATGGCAAAATATACAAAAAACAAGGCTGACCAAGCGATAAGGAAACACCCCGGTAGCCTCGTCCCCTTCTTCTACTTCAAGGAATACTTATAAAGACAAATTCTTGTTTGCTTTGGCGCTTTAGCACGAATCTGCAAAACATTCCTAGGTAATTATCATGTCTGTCACAGTAACCGAAAGTGTAAGATCGGAAGTCCTTCCAGCTAAAGACCAACACAAATACGACTTCAACCAGCTTACACCTTATACACATCCACCTGAAACCCAGGAATCCCTTCCATGGGCTGAGCTTGTCACCCTTGACCTTGAGGATTACAATCGCCCAGGAGGGAAAGAGCGATTGGCAAAGCAGCGTACGTCATAGAAAACCCCGATTACCTATCCCAGCACATTTCCCGAGTTTTGTAAATATGTCTTTGAAGCTGTTAGTCAAGGCTTTCGCAGCAATCTTTTTACTTTACCTTTCTTTTGCAAAAAGCTAATTGCCTTTTCCGCATTTCGCAGTTGAGCATGCGGTCCACCATGTCGGATTTTTCTACGTCAAGAACTTTGGACTTTCTCAGGAGCAGATAGACCAACAGTTTACACTAGCGAAGAACTTCTTTGATTTGGACACCGAAGAGAAGGCCAAATACGAGATCGACTATGCGAACGCGGATTACAATGGCTGGCGTCGCCCGGGCCGTGGAAAGATCGGTCCCGTAAAAGACAATGTTGAAATCTTCAATATTCCCAAGTTCACCAAAGATTTCGAGGGTAAGTATAGACAGCCGGATCTAATAAAGGCACATCTACCCGAGATAGAGGTATTTTCCCGCGCACTCCACAATAACGTTGTCCTTCCACTATTGCGACTTTTTGCCATTGTCTTGCAATTGCCCGACGAGGAATATCTCGTTAAACAGCATTCCTACGAGCAGAAAAGCGAGGACCATTTTCGGTACATGATTTATCACAAGCGTACAGCCGAGGAACACGCTGCAAGCGGTTATGGCCAGTCTACAGGGCATACCGATCTCGGGACAGTGACTCTCTTGTTTCGGCAGCCAGTTGCAGGACTACAAATTTTAGGAGATGATGGAAATTGGACGTATGTGTCGGCGCAACCAGGAACAATAACAGTGAACCTCGCCGATACGATTTCTCACCTGACAGGTGGTTGGCTAAAGAGCTCCGTTCATAGAGTAGTGGCACCACCAAAGGATCAATGGCAGTATGACCGCACGGGACTACTCTATTTTGCTCGTCCGCATAACGCTACGATATTGAACCCCATCTTGGACTCGCCCTTGTTGAAGGAAGCGGGTGTAAAGCCTCGGTTCGAGAAGCCTGTCTCTATGGAGGAATGGGTCAAAGCAAAGCAGACGTTGCAGGTAAGTAAATTGCACAGCACAATAGTTTCGCGCATGCTTTTGTTTCTTCTCAAGACCTCTATAAGTAGAGAGTTATGAGTATTCGAGGAAGCAGAGGAATGCTAACATCTCAACTTGCAGTTAAATCCTGAGATCTCAGCTAAAAGATTCGCGGAGTCTGCTGATGGAACTGTAGATGTCATTGGAGGCTTTAGAGACCGGAAGTATAAATGAATGCGGAGCCTTTAGGTTAGGGGGTTAATCAAATTCAACGCCGATGCATAATACTCTATAATAGCTGAGCAGAGTTAGAGATCATTTGTAATTGGAAGCTGCTTATCCCAATATACTGGCATGATGTCTGTTTGTGGTATATCAATGTTTCAAAATTACTCTGCCAACTTTGGATCAAGTCTTTTGTCAGTGAGAAAAGGATTAAGGGGCGGGGGCTTAGCTTGGGCAATTTTCGCTTAAAATCCAGATCGCTTAACAGCCCCCGAGTCCATCGGCCCCCCTTTTTTGTTGTCACTTGATTCCATAATAGATGATAAACGAGATAGTAAGAAAGATATATAATAAATCCACTCTATCATTACAGAGGATCGATATAAGCTATTGGTTTGATAACTAGCTTAGTTTCCAGGGTTCAACAATGACAATCACGTGTCGTTCATAAACCCTCTACAAAATTGTCTATGAATAAAGTTTTGATAATTCTGAAACAACAATAAACACTCTTCCCAGAGTCTGAGATCCTTCGCAGTGGGGTGGTTCCGAGCCCTGCACTGCGCTCTTGCAGGTAATAGGATTTTTGGCTCGATGTCTCGGGAGCAATGGGACATCTGGTTACTATCGCCTTCCGGGCAATGATCGGACATTCTTGGCGTTGTCTGCCGGGGGAGTTTCATGCCTGTTTGCGTGGCGTGGCTTCTATTTATTGTCGATCTATTCCATCATACTTTTATAGCTCGGAGTTGGCGATCTCCGAGATGTCGGCCGAGGGGGAAATCCTAACGCCGAGCTGGAGAAGTATCGCCGAGCATCTTCAGCCAGCGTACCTATATATTATAAACACCATGGACCACCAAATAAGTAAAGACACCGTGACGCCCACTCACCACAGCAAATATGAGCGAATTAGTACAGAATACTGTCGCAATGACACCACACGAAAAGACAGATGTCGAGAACCAACCACCATCACCACCACAAGAATCTCTCACACACGATGATGGACCTGTCAAACCTGCAACTCCCGGCCCAGGCCCGCCACCCAATGGCGGTCTTCTAGCCTGGCTTCATGTTGCGGGCTGTTTTATGTTATTCTTCAATACATGGGGCATTCTGAACGCGTTTGGTGTATACCAGACATATTACGAATCTGGAGCGCTCTTCACTACAACATCTTCGAATATCTCATGGATTGGCTCCATTGAGGCATTCATGCTACTCGTCGTCGGTTTCTTTGCTGGTCCAGTTTATGATCGCGGCTATCTACGCACATTACTTCTCGTTGGAGGTTTTTTGATCGTGTTTGGGCATATGATGCTCAGTCTATGCCACCAGTACTGGCAAGTCCTTTTGGCCCAAGGCTTTGTTATAGGCATTGGAACCGGCTGTCTATTTGTGCCTTGCATAGCCATTATCCCCCAGTACTTCACCACCAAGATGGGAGCTGCAATGGGTCTGGCAGCATCGGGGTCCGCGCTTGGAGGCGTTGTCTATCCCATTGTATTATATCGGCTCATTGACGAAGTCGGATTTCCCTGGGCTATCCGCATCAGTGGCTTCATCTCCCTCGCGAGCCTCCTCATCCCAATCACCATTCTGAGACTTCGTGTCAAGCCACCAAAAGTTCGCTCTTTATTGGACTTTGCCGCCCTCACCGATGTCACCTACATGTCTTTCGTCCTCGTCTCTCTCATCGCATATATGGGCCTCTTCGTCATCTTTTTCTACCTCTCATACTACGCCGAATCGCAGCGCATCACCGACACCTCGCTAGCCTTCTATCTAGTTCCCATCTTCAATGCCGCTTCGATGTTTGGGCGAACGGCACCAAATGCTCTCGCAGACAAATTGGGACCATTCAACATTCTCGCGCCTGCAACTTTGATCTCGGGCATCCTGATGCTCTGTATGATGGCCGTACACTCGAAAGGGGCCATTATCGTCATGGCACTACTCTCTGGTTTCATGAGTGGCGCCCTTATCGGACTCCCTCCTCTCTGTTTCGTCGCCTTGACCCAGGATAAGTCGAAGCTTGGAACAAGGGTAGGTATGGGCTATGCTATGCTGTCGTTTGGCGTACTTGCTAGTGGACCTGGCGGCGGCGCAATTCTGGGCCAAGGTGATTCTCTGAACTGGCATGGCTTGTGGATATTTGGTGGTGTCTCGACTTGTGTTGCATCGTTGGGATATCTTGCAATTAGGGTTGCCAAGTATGGATCCAAGCCGCTCATAAAGGCGTGAGGCGGTTTACGGTGCCGTAAGACTCGGAGGTTATGGCGGTATGGCTTAAACTTCGCAGCATTCTTGCATAGCCATCAGGCTATCCGTTGTCAAAATGAGGGAAAGCGAGAAGCAGGGGTGAATCTTACCTAGGTAGAGATGAGATTTATTTATAAGGTATAGTGAGCGAATGGTATACATACCCCTATCTAGAGATGAGACAATATATATATAATAAATCAATAATCATAATTATTAATGAAATATATTATATCTATAGGACTATTAACAATCTGTCTTCTATATATAATTAGTGTATACTAGTGAAAACATGAAGGTTTGATTCACTAACACTTGGATGACGTTCAGGAAGAGCTTATACCAGTCTACCTGAGGAACATCTCTCTCGTCTGTCCCTATTTTTTTGACTTTGGGGTTAGAATAGTCCATATGCTGCTCACGTTATAGGCAGGCGAGCAAGTGCGTAAAGATCTGATATTAGCCATAGGACGGGATTTGATTGCGGAAATTGAACGAACGGAGCAGTCATAAAGATGCTAAGTTGCGGGGTAGAGCACTGTAATATACGGCCACCGAAGGTGCTATGGAATCCCGAGATCAGGAATGAGCTTATCGTTGAACTATTGTAACTAGAAGTTGCGTCAGTGTAGGAAGTCTGCACTTTTGCTAAAGTTAAACTGGTATAAGTACTATAGGTAGGCGTGTAAAATAAATATACGTAAAAGTAATACGATACGCGTAGACCGGAAATTACGCTTTATATATAATTAAATATACTATGTATAGAAGATATAAATAAATAGGTCTAATATAAACATTATATATTATATATACTTATAAAAAAGGAGAGGTATATGCCTAGTTTATGCCTATAATAGTAAATTAGAGCATCTGCCTATAAAAAGAAAAAGCGTATATTAAGCATACACCTCTCTCTAAGTGTATGCTCTTTTTTTCTTATAGGCATATGCTAAGCATATACTCTAATTTACTATAGAACACCATAAAATTTCTAGTAGATTTTGAGCGTTCGGAGATCTTGAAGCAAGGTTCAGTTCTTCAAGAGACTTCGCCGAACGAGAAGCGGAAGCACCTCTACTTAGACCTTAAGGAATTTTATCGAAGTCTTTCTGACGGAGTTTTCATCAATTCTAGCAAGTGCTTCGATTGGAACGAGCCAATTTTTACCTCAAGAGGCCAATATTATCCTGCTTAAATATTAACAGATAAATAAAGGCATGAATTTGAAGCGCTTAAGGAGAAGATAGAGAGGGAAGTATATGAGAGCAAAGAGGTCAGTGACGAGTGGAAAGGCTGGAATTCGAGCGAAGAGACTGCTAGCAAGGCTTATGGCATTTGGAGGACAGGAAATTAACATGAAAAGCACAGGCCATGTGGTAAATATTTCAATTGCGTATTTTCTATCATCGAAATCAAAGTGGGGGGTTTGTGGTGATGTTCTGGGTGAGATTCTGAGTGGGATTCTGCAGTTGGTCTTTAGTTTGGTGGTGGAGCTCTAAGACGTGCAGTACTTGAGAGGGGAGAGGCATAAGGAACCGAATCGCGCTTCCTCGCCATAGTCATGTCCTCAGACGCCAGCAAAACGCACTAGCAGTAAGTGTAATGGCAGATTCAAGACAGTTAGACAAGTCCTCCACCACATAACAAAGTTGCTTCAATGCCGGACTCCATCATCCAAGAACTTAGCAATCTTCTCCACAGCCTGATCATCTCCAGAACGAGTTTCCATCAAGGTCCTATGCACCCACCCATCCGTATAGCTGCCTCCAAAATCAACCAAAAAACAATCATCACTCCCATTCCCCCATACCACGTCAATCTCGTGCAAGAGTGCAATAGCTTTTCGAATCTGTTTCGCCCACTTTGCTTTTCAGTCCTCCAAAACCCCAGCCTCATCTTTTAACCAAATCACTCAACCTTCCTTCGTTCGTAATCAATTCCTCTAGAATCCCAAGAATGACCCCATCATCATCAACAACCAACCCGAATAGCGTCCGCGCTGGAATAGAGGTTGCACTTTTCGATATCTTGATCTGTCGCAAGCAGTCGTATTCGCGCTGCACTGCTTTGAAGGATTGTGTCGTGCCATTCTTGCAGCACATGTCAAGTCTGCGTGCTGACACTTTGGCGATATATCCTGAGCCCATCAGCTTGCTCGCTACCGTAATATCTCGAGAATATTAGCGGGGCAAGTCTAGCGTGTTGTCCTTCAGATTCAAATGGAAGGAAATGAACTGTGATAGGTGAGGAGGCGTTTGCACTATCTCTGCATGTCCTTCGGTCGCAACGAGGCGAAAATATAATGTTTCTGGATTGAGGTCGGAATAAAGATCCTTCGTGGATATCTTAGGAGAGAGTCTCCTTCTGGGATAGGTGGTGCTATTGCTCTGAATTTATGCCACCCAGCACTGAAGACCAGGTCCAAGATTTCGTCTTGGGCGTCCTGAATTTTCTCATCGTCATTTTCGACAAATGCCTTGCTGTACTGGGTAATAAGAGAGGTTGTTGGGTCTTCTGGAAGAGGACCAGGTGATACTGTGACGACGAAGTGCTTCGAGTTGCAGACGATGGTAAAGTCCCAATCGTGATCGATCTCTCCAGTGGAATTTGTACAGTAATACTGAAATTTCTCGTCGCAATGCGCCTTACTATTATCTGCTTCTATCTATGATGCCATGAGAAATGTACTTGTGTATTGCATTCTTTAGCGACTGGTAAGTGCGGCTTCCGCCCCTACAAAGGAATCGTACCAGCGAGAATCCAAGCGCCAGCAAGTACCAACGACGTATCCCGGATCACTCCTTCCGAATGTCACAGAACAATTTCCACAATAAAGAAGAACGAGAGAATGCGTCTAGAGACAGAAGGTAAAGCTTAAAAGTCGAGTCCAGCTTTCACAAAGTATATCACACACACACGTGTTTATGAAACTTCGTCGGCGAGTAAGGGTAGAGGGTGGATAGGAGATTAGACACTGAACGTTTACTCCGTAGGGTACGGCCTCCTGCCTAACAAACCTTATCATCTGCCTGATACCTCCTCTCTATACTATAGGTAGGTTTTTCTCAAGACCTGGAGCGTACCTAAAGGCTTAAGAGACCCTGAAGTGCGGAAGTCTGATAATGCCCCTGGTGCCCTCGACAGCTTCGCTTACGTGATGCATGACATAATGCTCGGACAAGTGTCTCGGCCGAGAGAGTTTAACCCCAATAAGCGTCTCCTGCCCTGCTCCAACGCCAGCTTACGGAGGTACTCTAACAATCGTCTGTAATCTACTTACTACTGTAATTTCTCTTCCGTTGATCCATCACCACATCCACCTGCACAAGCCTTCTGCTCCTTCTCCGAGACAGAGCTAGTAAGTTGCAACTACTTGTACCGCTACTCCCACGGCCAGTTCCGTCCCGTTCCGCCACGCCTACGCCTCCGCTCACTCCCGCTCACTCCCGCTCTTTCGTCCAAGCCGACCCCACCTGGTGCCACGCCACTCCACTCTGTAGCGGGAATGGAAAGTCAAACGCAATCCTCAGACCATCACTCTCAGTCTCATTCCCACATGACAGGTACCAAACGGAAGCGGCTTGTTCTATCCTGCCTTGAATGCAGGCGGCGGAAGCTCAAGTGTGACCGCCAGCTGCCAATCTGCTCGAGGTGCACTGAGGTTGGCCACCCAGAGCTGTGCAAGTATGATGAGCGTCTACAAGGACTTTCTGGTGATGAGCCTGAGCATGAGCCAGACACCCAGGCCTCCCCCAAACGTGCAACTCACCAATTCCAATCCCAATCCTATTCCCACTCCCACATCCATACCCACCCCCCTATCCCCGCACAGAATGCCCCATATTCAGACGCAAGACTTTCGGGGCTAGAACCTTTACCAGGACCCCTGGTCCGGCGAGAAGCACAAGTACATGCGCAAAGACCCGAACAGCTGGAGAAGCAAATCGCAAATCTCGAGGCCAGGCTGGCTCATGCACATGCACATGCACATGCCACCAGTCCTCACGAAGTCCTCCCCTTGACCCCGGCATCGTCCAATACCAACACAAGGATTTCTGTCAACCACGATCCACCTACTAATCCTCATGTTCAACCTCGCGTCCATGCTCATTCTAATGTTCCAAAAGAACCGCTACCTGATCCTGCATTGGTGATGGTGAGAGGCAAAGGCTTTAAGACTCAATACCGTGGCCCAAGTAATCCTTCCAGCATTCTCTCCTACGTGAGTCTATTCTCGCCCAATATTGAAAACCAAAGCCTCCTTCTGATTAAATATGTCTATAGTTCCCGACAGTGTATGGCTTTTTAAAGAACCTTTTTCGTGAGCATCGCGTGCTAGCCACACATAAAGCGAATATCCAGTCACTGCCTAACAAATCTCACCTCTTACACTCTCAATCTGCTCCAGAGGCTATTGACGATACCCTTAAGAGCCTCACTCCTCCAGAAGCCCGCTGTCGCCATCTTATGCAGCTCTACTTTAAGCACTTTGAGGGTGTCTACCGAATTCTCCACGGGCCATCCTTCTGGCGACATTTTGACAAGCTCTGGTCAGGAGAGCTCGCAAATACTTCAGCTTTTACTGCCCTTCTCCTCGCAGCCATGTCATGTGCTCGCTGTCTCTATCCCGACGAACCGATATCTTTCGAAGGCGACAAATCCACCTCTGCAGTCCAGGCGGGTCTCTGGGTCCAGGCTGCCGAGAGTTTTCACGCCATGCAGAGCCATAAGCGCACCACTATCATTTGGTTCCAGTTGCCCTGTCTCCTGCTGCTTTCTAAAAGACTAAGCGGTATCAAGGTCAAGCGCCACTTTGTCCTGTCGCAAACACTCATAGCTACCGCCGTGTCCGCTGGCCTCAATCGCTCTCCGTCCGTTTTAGGAACTCGTATTACCGTCTATGAGCGGGAAATGCGGCGTCGACTATGGGCCACAATGACCGAGCTAGAGCTATCATGCAGCATTGACTGGGGCGTGCCCTCATTTTCAGGGGCCCTTTTCGCCGACTGCGAACCTCCTAGCAATCTGAATGACGAAGACTTCCAGGAGGATGCGGCCGAGCCTCCAGCAGCACAACCAGACAATACCCTCACCGATTGCTCATTCCAAAGGTATACCCATCATCTCAAGCCTCTACGCAACGCCATCAGTAACCTAGTAAACCACCCAGACAAGCACCGTGCTCTTGGCTATACGGAACTACTTTCCTATCACCAACTTGTCGCCAGCAAATTTAAAGATATACCTTCATGGGGCTCTAGTGAATCTTCGGACGATGAAATCAACAAGGCCTTTTTGCTGAAAAAGGCAATTGAGCTCCAGCTTCATCAGCTACTAATTATTCTACACCTCCCCTTTGCTGTTGGGAGTGAGAGCGATCCGAACAAAAATCATTCGAGATTCATCTGTGTCGACTCAGCGACGAATATACTTAGCACCTACGAGAGAATGCCGCAACACGGATTCAGTCAGATGAGCATTTTCAAACCGAATCTCGTGCGCGCAAGCCTGTGCATATGCTTGCTACAGGCTCGAAGTGTGTGTAATGGCAAGTCACATTTCTTCTTTACCGCGGCGTTGCAAAGTCAAAAACCACATGCTTACTCCTGCAATAGACCCAGTCATGCCGGGCATTGGAGGGGCCTTTCAGATCCGACAGATGGAAAAGGTGTTTGACCTCATTGAAGAAAGAGTTCTAAGCGTAGGCAATGAATTCCAAGGGTTTTGGCTTTTGTTTGCTGCAAGCTGTTTCATCGACGCGAACCAAGAACCGGCTGCTTTGGCAGCATGGCAAAAGAAGAACACTGATCGTATTGTGGCTCTATTTGATAGGATATGCATGTGTCAAAAAGACAAGAGCGGTGACACTAGCAATACCAGACAACTGCAACCCGGCTATGATGATATAGAAAACTGGCCGACGCCTCAAAGAAGCCAAGATCATGAATTCGATCTACCGACAGATAACCTTGGAGTGAGCTTGACTTCTTATATTGTTCACTTATGTTTTTGTTTCGCTGCTGACTAGATATATTTTTATTAGATTCTTGGCACAGCCGATGATAACTTGCTAGGCGGGCCTGAAGCTGGAGAATGGGGAAACTGGATGCAGGAGGAGTTTGGCTTCTTTAGTCTTATATAAGCGTACTACTTTAAAAGGTGCTAACATAGAGTATACTACTGTCACGGGTGAGTCACGTATACATAGAGGCTTAATGTGGTATTTAACAAGTTTAATAAAGAAGAGAGAAGAATCTTTATCTAGATCTAAAGAAAAGTAAGCGCTCTCTAGTTAAGGCTTAGTAAGCTAAGCATAGGCTATGCCTATGCTTTACCTCTAGGGCTTGCCCCTTATATTACCTCCCTCCCTCTACTAGTTTATAGGTAGTAAATAATCTATTAGAAATAGAATAATATAATAGAAACTATAGTAGCAAATAACTTAAATCTATAGATATTATACTACTATTCCTCTTATAAACTGCCTAGGCTCTACTAGATTTTAGATATAGTCTATCTATTTAGTAAAGTCCTCTAGTCTTTATTCTTGCTATTACCTCTATTTAGTTATGCTATTTACTTTATAGTATTATAAATCTGCGAATAATAAAGTAAATAGTTAATAATAAGTAATTATAAAGTCTCTTCTCTTACTTATTTTTAGACTCTTCTTTAATATTACTAATACTACTACTACTAAAGTAAGTATAATATACTATATAGAGCACTTAAGTGCTTAAGATCTCCTCTACCCTTTTTCTATAGACTTTATATAATACTAATTAGAGTTAGATATCCTTAATTATTTATTATATTAGCTGCATTTTTATAAGAGTTAACTATATTAACTAAAATATAAGTTAGCTTCTAATTAATTTCTATTAGGCTCTATTAAGTCTATATAGTCTAACTAATCTGTAACAGGTTGCACCTGATGTTATAGCTTAGCATATAGTGCCTTTATATATGCTTTTATATATATAGCACAAATATAATAGATCTATAATTTCGCTTCCTCTAGCTCTCTTTAGAGGCTAGAAAACCCTTATATCTATTTATATAAGAGAAGCTTCTCTTCTCTTTTTAGTTAATTCTTCTTATA